ACCAAGAATTCGAACTTACGACGAAAGTGCCACTTGAGGACATAATGCTGGGAGTGCAGCTATGCCTGCCTTTCACAGTATTTAAATTCCAAGGGAAAATATGCAGACAAACTGAGGAAGTTGCCATGGGATCACCAATATCCCAGTTGTAGCAGATATATTCATGGATAGGTGGGAAAACATAGCAATTGAAACGTTCAGCCCCAACTCCAAAAGTATGGTGGAGGTATGTGCATGACACATTCACTGTACTTAGAACACACTTCGAACACATCAACTCGAAGGTAGAGGCAATTCAATTCACTTATGAATTGGAAAGTCAGGAAAGGGAGCTTCCAATGTTAGATTGCAACGTAAAAAGGAAAGAAGATGGATAGTTTAACACTAGTGTTTACAGGAAACCCACACATTCAAACAGATATTTGAACTTTTGATCACCCCATCCTATATCAGTGAAAATAAGATTGGTGAAATGTTTAAGTGACAGAGCATAAAAACTAAGCAGTACCAAGAAAAATCTAAGGCAGGAAGTGATACACATAAAAGAAGCCTTGAAACTTAATAATTACCCGGATGAATTAGTCCGGAAATATGTAGGGAAATGTAAAAATAATATAAATAATGATAGTAGTGATAGTGATAATGATAATAATAATATTAATGACGACATGCTTGTCAAACATGTACAGGATAATGACAACACCAACCATAAGGAATCTAAATCATCAGCAGTCATTCCATACAAGGAAAGAACCTTGAAAACCACCTTACGCAGAATTCTTAACAAGGCAGGAATAAAAGTGACTGGCATTCAAACCCACAAACCCGATTAGAAACAAGCTTTGTCGGTTAAAGGATCCTGTAGAGCCTTTAAAACAAAACCATTTAGTTTATCTAATACCCTAACTGAAATGATTGTCAGGTCAAATACATAGATCAAACTAGTAGAACAGGGTCAGTCACTCAGACTAGTCGAACATAAAAACCTAGCCAAATCTAGATTGGTTGACCCAAGTAAGATAAGAAATCTAGAGAATAGTTCAGCCCTAGATAGCGCTCACTACATGCAATTACACACACAACCATACAATAGGATGATGGGATAAGATGACAGTTTTAAAATCTAATGCAACAGGGTGGATGGAGGGAGAGATTGATAACAGAAGCTTTGTTTATCGAATCAACTGAGAGAGAATACTATTTAAACCTACACTTCAAACAGTGCGTGTTTTCTAAAATTACGCTTACTTATTTCCCGATGCACATCATACTGATACTGTTTCCGTTAACTGAAATTTCAAACATCTATTCATCAATCATTCACTGTGTTAGTTGTTCATATACGCACATACACGCACACACACACAAAACACGAACCTGCCTTTCTCATGAAAGAGTAAAATGTAAAGCGGAAATTCCATAGATAAATGGCATCATAGAATGTTGTTCGAAGTGTATATAGGAGTAAGACAAGCTGGCTGGCTGCCTGCCTATTATCACCCACGACGATATTCTTAATTGTAGTGGACTGCACTATGCATCAGACTTTGCGTGGGGGCGATGAGTCAAGAATACGTTGGACGACTGATAAGAAGACTCTATTAGATCTGGATTTCGTATGTGGGTGATATATGTCTAATGTCACACAAATTCGAAGACTTACAGGTGAATACTAACAAACTGTCTGAAGAGGCTGGCAACGAAAACAGGACTGCAGGTGAACACACAGAGAAGATGGATCTGATGAAGATAACGAATCAATAGCAACAACAAAAAACAACAACAACCAGCACTAATCACCATCAAGGGAAAGATTTAACAGAGGTTGCCTCCTTCACTTATCTGGGAAGCATCGTTTCAACCCAGGCGGAATGGATTAAGATATCAAGGCAAGAATCGCGGATGAAGAAGTCAAAGCCAGCCAGCCAGCCAGAATCGGAAAGGCAAGATACGCCATCATCAACCTAAAACCAGTTTGGAAATCTTCTGCACTCAGCCAGCACAGGCAACAAGATTCTCATTTTCAACACCAATGTGAAGTCAGTTCTCCTATACGGATCAGAAACTTGCACTGCAACAGTTAGTCTAAGCCACGTAGGAAGGTATAGACTTCCTGGTTGCGGTCATCAAGACAGTAAAAACCATTGGTTGGAAACTATTGGTGACATGGCTCAAAATCGTTCTCAATGACTGGCTGGCGCAGATGCATCCATTCCTTGTGACTTATGATTTCCAATGAAACTCTTTTGTTCTTCGTTATTACTATTCCTTTATCTCACACCTCTGTTTACTGCCTTTCATATACATTTCTTGCTCAATGTATGCATCATCCATGTCTACTTTCTCCCACATATTTGTTGAGCGATCGGCTCTTGCTTGTTGGTTTGTTCTCATAGTTTCTTGTTGTTTATTCTTTCTGGCCATTTGACCTTCGGTATGGATCGAAGGAAGCTGTTGATTATTACAAGCCTGCAACTGTCTATTTCTCTGTTTTCGACATAAAACTTTTCACATATGTGCGGAAGTTCAAGTCGCCACACTCCCTCCATGTTGCACGAAAAGCAAGAGAAGAAAGTACAAGAAAAGCATAATAGAAACAGTGAGCAGAGGTGTGAGACAAAGGAATAGTAATAACGAAGAACAAAACAGCTTCATTGGAAATCATAAGTCACAAGGAATGGATGCATCTGCGCCAGCCAGCCATTGAGAACGATTTTGAGCCATGTCACCAATAGTTTCCAACCATAGATTTTTACCGTCCCGAGGACCCCAACCAGGAAGCCAGTCTACACCTTCCTACGTGGCTTAGACCAACTGTTGTGGATTTCAATGACTGATGCCAAGTTTTTGTTTGACCGCCGCTAGCTTTCTTCCAGCCTGACCCTATATCCGCTACCATTGCTCGTCGAGGAAGGCGATGACTAGGCACACGTAACACATGTCCTAACCATCTCAGTCTTTGTAACTTCACGACTTCGTCGATTGATTTCCCCTGTTTACCTAGAACTCTGTGCCTAACCTCCATGTTGCTAACCTTATTATGCCACTTTACAGGGGAAATAGAGCCCAGGCACCTATGATCAAAGACAGCTAATCTTTTCATGTCTTCCACTCTCAGTGGCCAGGTCTCAGCACCATAAAGGAGGACGGAGCGGACTGATGAGCAGTACACCCGCCCTTTGGTCGATAGTCGAACATCTCGTCTACGCCAGAGTCGGCGTAAACTAACAAATGCGAAACGAGCCCCCTGTATTCGTGCTGAGATTTCGTCAGAGATCAACTCGTTGGGGCTGATGGTACTTCCCAAATAAGTGAAGCGGTCAACGTGCTCTACCACTTCACTTCCTATTTTTAAACTAGGCGTCGATGTAGTCCAGTCCTGTAACATCATCTTGCATTTGGCGGGAGCGAATCGCATGCCAAACATTCGTAGATTGCGGCTCAAGGTGTTTAGAAGACTCTGCATTTCGTCAGCGTCTTCGCCTAGAAGGACTATATCGTCTGCATATTCTAAGTCAACGAGATTATTCCCTGGTAGAAAGTCAATCCCTGAGTCGCTGAAGTCACCTAGGGTTAAGTCCATTAACACATCTATGATGAAGTTGAATAGAAAAGGGGATAATGGGCATCCTTGACGGACACCACTAGTCGTCATCAGTTCAGATGACAGCTCGCCGTAAGCCCTCACCTGGCTGTATGAGTACGAGTAGAGTGCCTTAATCAGTGCAATATATTTTCTCGGCATTCCCTTTACAGCCACGCATCTCCAGAGAACTTCCCGATCGACAGAGTCGAATACTGCCTTTAGGTCAAGAAATATAATGACTGTTGGACGCCGGTAGGAATCCCTATGTTCCAGAATCTGTGGGAGGGTGAAGATATGATCAATACACCCTCGAGTGGCTGCGCCACAGGATGATCTGTCTGTCTGGATTCAACATAGAACTTGGCACCGAAGTGCAGCAGTTCGAGTTGCCACGTTCCAAATAGCACACAGAGGTAGACAAGAAGATGAGTGAAGAGAATTAATAGAGTTTGACAAATATAAGAGTGAAACAGAATGGGTAATGGTAGAAAGGAATATGAAAGATTACAGAGATTGAATACATCTGCGCCATTGACAACGATTTTGAGCCATGTCACCTATTGTCTCCAGCCATTGATTCCTAGAGTCGCGAGGGCCCCAACCCGGGAGTCTGCATCTCCCTACCTGACTGACTCAGTTTAACTGTCAAGGATTTCATGGATTGATGCCATGTTTTTGTTTGGCCACCACTTACTCTTTTCCAACCTGAACCTATATCAGCTAACAATGCCCGTCGGGGGAGGCGGTGGTTAGGCATGCGCACCACGTGACCTAGCCATCTTAGTCTATGTAACTTTATAACCTCGTCGATTGATTTTCCCTCTTTGCCCAACACTCTACGCCTAACGTCAACATTACTTACCTTATTAAACCACCTAACGTGAGACAGAGATCGCAGACATCTATGATCGAAAGCAGTCAACCTTTTCATGTCTTCAACGCGTATTGGCCAGGATGATCCTGAATGCCGGTCTCGTCTCGCAAGCAGCGCGGATGGGTGTGTTTGGTCCTCCTAAAAACCAACACCTAGTCAATAGATGTATCACTGTTTGACTAAACTGTTTGATACTGCAAGTAGTCATATGCTTGTCTCAGAGATTAAGCCATGAATATCTACGTACATGTGTGTCAGTAGCATAGCGATTAGGACGCTCGCCGACCATGAACATGGTCCGGGGTTCGATCCCCGGCTACTGACGCACTCCTTTACCTCATTCAGCCAGAAGTAAAGCCGGTGAAGAGAAAAGGTTGGGCTGGGCATGAAGCTAGCAACCCCATCCTGTAAAAATAAAAACACTGCTACAGAAAATTCAAGCCACTAACTTGAAGCCCTATGTTCCACTGGGAACGTGAAGGAAAAAATATATATATATGACGAACATACCAATAAATTAATTAAACGTTTAACACTGACTGAAATCGACCATGCTTGTCGTAATGAATCGACAACAATCTCATCAAGCATTAATTTTGAAATATGATTATTCCATGATTTAAGCAAGACATGCAACTCATGAGATTCTTTCGGTGATGATGATGATGATGATGATGGCACTGTTGGAAAGCGTGTTAAATCTGTACTGTTAATACTTAACAGGTGTTTGCATATTTCACAAAATTGTTCAAATGGTTTTGAACGTGTATTTGCATGTTGATCATTTAATGCATAAGAATCGGTGTTGTCAATTGGTGCAGCAGGCGAGCAAAGATAAATTTGACGATGTGAAAATCTTGACTTGACACGCTTTTCTAGCAACTCCATAATATCCTATAAAAAAAAACATAATATTTTGAAAAAGAAACAAAATTAATATCTGTGTAAAACTTGAGGACTGTGGTAGCAGCAAGTAATTCCATATTACTTTGTTTATTGGATATATCACACAGTGAGTGAAACAGTATTATTATTTACTGGATGACACAGTTTCGAACACAATTTATTGCGGTTCATAATCATCTCATGAATTATAATCACACGACTTCGAAACTTGAGTTTTATAGTTTTTTTTTGTTCTCTCCTATTTGTTGTCGTTGGGGTAGTAGAATTTTTCAGATATCTTGGTGGACAGGTAGGTGTTGAATCATTCCTACTAGATGTATTTGCAGTTGATTTGATAAACAAAGCTTCACTTATCAATCTCTCCCTTCACCTTGTGACATTAGATTTTAAAACTGTCATTCTATCCCATCTTAGAGAATAGTTCAGCTATAGCATTATATGCAGTCACACACAACCCTAACAAAAGGATGATGGGATAAGATGACAGTTTTAAAATCTAACGTCACAGGGTGAATGGAGGGAGAGATTGATAACGGAGGCTTTGTTTATCGAATCAACTGCAAACACATGTAATAAAAATGATTCATCACCTGTCCACCCAGATATCTGGAAAATTCTACTACCCCTACGACGACAAATAGGCGGAAACAAAGAAAACTATAAAACTCAAATTTCAAAGTCGAGTGATTACAATTGATATGATCATGAACCACAGTAAATTTTGTTCGACACGTCATCCAGTAAATGATACTGTTTCGCTGTGTGATATATCTAATAAACAAACTAATATGGGGAAATAAATTAAATAGGACAAATTATAAGTAAGTAGAAGAATTCGACTATCGACCAAAGGGCGTGTGTACTGCTCATCAGTCCGCTCCGTCCTCCTTTATGGTTGTGAGACCTGGCCACTGAGAGTAGAAGACATGAAAAGACTAGCTGTCTTTGATCATAGGTGCCTCCGCTCTATTTCCCGTGTAAAGTGGCATAATAAGGTGAGCAACATTGAGGTTAGGCCTCGGTCGAGTGCTAGGTAAACAGGGGAAATCAATCGACGAAGTCGTGAAGTTACAAAGACTGAGATGGTTAGGACATGTGTTACGTATGCCAAGCCATCGCCTCCCTCGACGAGCAATGTTAGCGGATATAGGGTCAGGCTGGAAAAAAGCTAGCGGCGGTCAAACAAAAACTTGGCCTTACCAGTCAATGAAATCCACAACAGTTGGTCTAAGCCACGTAGGAAGGTGCAGACTTCCAGGCTGGGGTCTTCGGGACGGTAAAAATCTATGGTTGGAAACAATTGGTGACATGGCTCAAAATCGTTCTCTGTGGCTGGCGTAGATGCATCCACTCCTTGTGACTTATGATCTCCAATGAAACAGTATATTGTTCTTCGTTATTACTCCTTTGTCTCACACCTCTGCTCACTGTCTCTATTATGCTCTTCTTGTACTTTCTTCTCTTGCCTCGCGTGCTACACGGAGTGTGGCGACTTGAACTTCCGCACATTTGTGCAAAGTTCTATGTCGAAAACAGACAGACAGACAGACAGAAGTAGAATTTAACTTGAGAATATTTCAGTTTAACAAATGCCTAGACAGTGAGACTAACTGACTGACTGACTGACTGGTTTCAACACAGAACTTTGCTGCACAGATGTACAGCAGTTCCAGTTGCCACTCTCCCTACATGTGTACCACAAAAAGCAAGAGATGAAAGCAAGGCGAGATTCTAAAGAGAGATAATAAACAAGTGTCAGTGAGGGAAAAACAATAGTAATATGGAAGAACAATAGAATTTCATTGGATATGACAAATTACAAAGAGTGAATACATCTGAACCAGCCATTGAGAACGAGGATTTTAAGCCATATCACCTTAGAATCCAGAGTATCCCAACCAATCAGACAGGCAGTCTACACCTCCCTACATGATTGGCGAAAACAACTAACTGTTATGGATTCTATTGACTGATGAAGCTATGCTTTTGTCTGACCACCATGTGCTAGCTCTTTTCGTATTGTTTCAGTTACAGGCGTACCACACAGATGAGGATATCAATGCCAGACAGGAATGGACTGAGAAAGCAAGACAGACATTCATACTAATCTGAAGTCAGTGTGAAAACCGGCTGCAATCGGCATAAGGAGGAACATTCAGACTTTCATGATTAATGTTAAACCCAATCAGTGTTTCTGTATAGTTTAGAGACTTGGCAAACGCATCATGGATTTCCAACAGACTACCGCCGACTTCCATCAGTAGTTGCCTTTGCTCCGTAGTGAAGATCAGACGGCCAGAAAAGATAACCAGCAAAGAACTCTTTCATGGAACGAACCAACCAAGAAGGAAATGGAGGTAGATTGGACATACATTGAAGAGATCGTTGAGTGACATCGTGTAAAAGGCAAGCCCTCGTGTGAAACCCAAATGGAAAGTTTAGGACTGGGGCACTGTGGTAGGATATGATCCCATTTTGGGTAAGTTTATTTGATATAAAATACAATGATAACGAGTTACTATGTGTTTGACGTTTTAAACACAGTTTATTGCTCATAATCATATATTTGCTTTATACATTTTTCTTACCTCCCTTGGGTTTATTGGAATTTCTCATATAATCGGTATGGGAGTTAAATCATTTCGACTGCACACATTTGGTGTCGATTCGATGATTAACCTATCCCTCCACCTATGGACTTAACCCTAACTCACTTCAGAGACACAGGGATTGACTTGCTAACAGGGAATAATCTCGTTGACTTAGAATATACAGATGAAATAATCCTCCCTCCTAGGTGAAGACGCTGACAAAATCCAGCAGAGTCTTCTGAACATCTTGAGCTGCAATCTACGAGTGTTTAGCATGTGATTCGCTCTCGTCAAACGTAAGATGATGTTACAGGACTGGACTACATCGACGCCTAGTTTAAAAATAGGAAGTGAAGTGGTAGAGCACGTTGACCACTTCACTTATTTGGGAAGTTGCATCAGCTAACGGCAACAGGTTGGTTGCCGACTAAATCTCAGCAGAGATATAGAAGGCTAGTTTCGCATATGCCAGTTTACGCCGTCTATGGCGTACACGTGATATCCGGCTCTCGAGCAAAAAGAGTGTGTATTGCTCAGCAGTCCGCTCCGTCCCCCTTTATGGCTGGCTGTGAGACCTGGCCATTGAGAGTGGAAGACTTGAAAAGCCTGGCTAGGTGTCTTTGATCATAGGTACCTGCGTTCTACCTCTCGTGTGAAGTAGTAGGTGTAATAGGGTGAGCAATACTGAGGTTAGACTTCCGTGGAGTGCTAGGTAGATGGGAGGGGAAATCAATCGACGAGGCTGTGAACGTACATCGACTGAGATGGTTAAGATATTTGTTACGTATGTCTAGTCATCGCCTTCCTCGACAACAGGCAATGTTAGCTGACATACGATTGCTCAAACTAAACATGACTTCATCAGTCAATGAAATCCACATAGATTAGTTTAAGCCAGACAGTAAGTCAAGTAAGGGGTAGAGTGGCTTCCTAAATGGGGTCCTCGGGACGGTAAAAACCAATGAAGGCTGGAGACAATTAGTGATATGGCTCAAAATCCTCGTTCTCAATGGCTAGTGCAGATGCATCCATTCCTTGTGACTTATAATACCCAATGAAACTATATTCTTCTTCGTTACTACTATTCCTTTGTCTCACACCTCTGTTTACTGTCTGCATTTTGCATTTCTTCTACATTTTTCTCATACTTTGTGTGCTACATGGGTAGGGGGGAGTGTGGCGACTTGAACTGCTGCACATCGGTGTGAAGTTCTATGTTGAACACAGACAGACAGATCACCCAACTGTATTACACTCTATTCAAACTCACGTAGTCGTGTAAGGGCTTATGGGGAATTGTCATCTGAATTGGTAACAACCAGTGGTGTCCGACAGGGATGTCCACTTTCCCATTTCTGTTTAACTTCATCATAGATATGCTAATGGAAGTATCCTTAACTGAACGTAATGACTTAGGAATCGACTTGTTACCAGGAAATAGTCTTATGGACTTAGAATATGCAGGTGACATAGTCCTGTTAGGGGAAGATGCTGACAAAATGCAGAGTCTTCTGAACACCTTGAGCAGCAATCTTCGTATGTTTGGCATGCGATTCGCCCCTACAAAATGTAAGATGCTGCTACAGGACTGGACCCCGTCAATCCCTAACTTAGTGATAGGAAGTGAAGTGATAGAACATGTTGACCACTTCACCTATTTGGGAAGTTGTATCAGCACCAACGGACTGATTGGCGATGAAATCTCACCACGGATCCGAAAAGCTCGAGCTGCTTTCGCTGACTTACACCATCTCTGGCGTAGGTGTGACATCCGGCCATCAACCAAGGGACGTGTGTACTGCTCAATAGTTCGCTCCGTCCTTCTCTATGGCTCTGAAACATGGCCAATACGAGTTGAAGACATGAAAAGGTTGACCGCTTTCGATCATAGATGTCTGCGATCTCTGTCTCACGTTAGGTGGTTTCACAAGGTAAGTAATGTTGACGTTAGGCGTAGAGTGTTGGGCAAAGAGGGAAAATCAATCGACGAGGCTATAAAGTTACACAGACTAAGATGGCTAGGTCACGTGATGCGCATGCCTAACCACCGCCTCCCCCGACGGGCTTTGCTAGCTGATATAGGTGCAGGTTGGAAAAGAGCCAGTGGTGGCCAAACAAAAACATGGCCTCATCAATCCATGAAATCCTTGACAGTTAAACTGAGTCAGTCAGGTAGGGAGATGCAGACTCCCGGGTTGGGGCCCTCGGGACTCTAGGAACCAATGGCTGGAGACAGTAGGTGACATGGCTCAAAATCGTTGTCAATGGCAAGCGCAGATGTATTCAGTCTCTGTAATATTTCATATTCCTTTCTACCATTACCCATTCTGTTTCACTCTTATACTTGTCAAACTCTATTGATTCTCTTCACTCATCTTCTTGTCTACCTTGTGTGCTATTTGGAACGTGGTAACTCGAACTGGTGCACTTCAGTGCCAAGTTCTATGTTGAATCCAGACAGACAGACAACTGTATTACCGGATATATAGAAAATCCTGATGAATAACGAGAGGAAGAGAAGAAATACATACATACATTAATATGATTAGTTGTGTGTTCTTCTGAGGTTACGATGGAGAGGATCATATGAAGATAAAATAATACCTTGTAGACAATCTCGAAGCCAACTAAAAATAACTGCAGAGAACAGAGTGGTAAAGCGATGTACTGTTGAAGCTCTATTTTCTGCTCGTAACCCAAGGGAATAATAATAATAATAATAGTAAGCATTATCTATACAAACCCAATATCAGATAGTTAGTAATTTCATGTCATCAAGTCCATATATCTGACCATGCCGATACCGAACAGAAAAAAAATGCAACAACGACAGTATGTTCTGAATTATATATGTCTTATATCATGCTGAATAAAGATTAGGAGTCGACTGATCTATTAATACACCTGTTTTAGACCAAAATAAACTATCAAAGTGAAACACTGAAAATGCATAATATGTTTGCGATTGATGTATCCTAATAATTTACATCTACAGCTATACATACGCAAACGGTTCGATGGAATACGACAGATAACTCTGAAGGCACTCCTTCTGTCCACCTGGTGACTGCTATCATCAATCAAATTAGTCGAAAAAATAGGAATCCTTATAGATTTCACTTTCCTTTTTTTCCGAACTATGGAGGAAGATGCTCATTAATACGTTTGTTGAGCTATCCTATTTGTTTGCCCTTTATAGCTTTCTCAACAGGAGCAGCTAAATTTGTAGATACACATAGAAATGGTACAGATAGTTTTAGCTTGTCTTTCAATTGAGCAACCATGATTGGTCGGCTGGAAAGTGACAAACAAAGGGTAGAGGCAATTTAAGTTCATTTTATTGCTTTCGATAACCTTAGATGTAGGACTTCAGGTTGATGAATATATATTAGTTACACTCCCCTCATCATATTTGCAATTTGTCATCTGAAAGTTACTGATACAAAAAGGAATAATCTAATCTATTACACACGCTACTCAATTTACTACCATGCTGTGAACTGTATTTATTATATGAGGGTTGATTATACTACTATCTAGTAACTAAGGCTGAAATAGATGCAGCCAGGATCGAACTCAGGATTCATTGATTGAAAGTTGACTGTTGAATCCAATGAACTACATCTCCAGGTATTCTACATAAAAGTACTTACTCAAGAAATAAAATTAAATTCATCACATTTATTCTACTAAACACTTAAATAAACAAAATGAATCAACCGTGTTTTTATAAGAGCTGTTTTTAAATTAAGTCTTATGAAAGGAAACCGGCAAAGTGCAACAATAGTGTCCCAAGGGATGCGAACGCGCGTGTGTCCAATCATAAAAATGAGAGATTTTTGTATGAAAAATGACGTATATTTACAAGAAAGTACACGAAAACATATAGAACAGGGTATCGTTCTCTGATATGACTTAAAAATACGTCCCAGTTATAATGAGGAGTATCAGTTGCTAAGTTAGACTAGTTTCTGTACATGTATTCACCGACGTGACTGAAGATTAGCTGTTTTTGTGAATCGTCTATCTCTCTTATCCTGTTGTGCAGTCTTCTCCAAAAGCCTTCGGTTGAATTACTATGGTTTCCAGTAAGAGGATCGACAACTACTTAGCAGGAAAATGTGGATAAGAAAACAAATTTAAAATAAATAACTATCCCTAATCGTAACCCCAATCTTAATCCTGACCATAACCCTAAACTTAACACTAACGTTAACCTAAATCCTAACCCTTATGCTAACCGTAAGCCCAACCCTAATTATGACCCTGATCCTAACCCTAACCCCAATACTTAACTCAACAATAACCTCAACGAGATATTAACTTACTGTCCAAACAGTACTTAAAAATGTGGTCTGGGTGAAATTTGCTCCTCATTTGGTGAATAGCATTGATATTTCAGCTATAATAATTACAGGTGCCATTAACCAAAGACTAGCATGCGTCCAAGGTAATTGGAGCGTTCGCCCTCCTGTGACGCTATTGTTGAACTTGGCCAGGAAACCTTAAGTCGCAGTCATATACATTTATCACGAGTTCGAAAACTTTTTTCGATTATGAAGCCGAAAAAACATCTTATTACATTAAACTCAGTGAAATCCTGAAATCAATAACTCATAGGATAATTTGACTGGACTTCTGGCTGGTAACTAGTGTCAGTGGTAATATCTCTAAATGCAACACTGGGCAACGCTCATTTGAAGTGGTACGAGTTCCTTTAAGGTTGCAGATACACCTTGCTGATTGGTAAGTGCCAACTAGCACGAAACCTAGGTCCAAGGCTGGGCTTCTTGTGGCCTGTCCGTCTATTTTCGACATAGAACTCTGCAAATATGTACAGCAGTTCAAGTCACCACACTCCAAGAAGCACACAAAGCCAGAGAAGAATGGAGAAGAAATGCATAATAGAGACAGTAGACAAGGATATGAGACAAAGGAATAGTAATAACGAAGAACAATATAGTTTCATTGGGTATTATAAGTCACAGGGAGTGGATGCATCTGCTCCAGCTATTGAGAACGATTTTGAGCCATATCACCAATTGTCTCCAGCCATTGCCAGGAAGTCTACACATTCCTACGTGACTGGCTGGCTTAAACTAACTGTCGTGGATTTTATTGACTAGTGCCATGTTTTGGTTTAATCATCACTAACTCTTTTCCAGCCTGACCCTACGTCAGCTAACATCGCCCATTATCGAGGAAGGATATAACTAGGCATATGTAACATATGTCCTAACCATCTCAGTCGATGTAATTTCACAGCCTCGTCGATTGATTTCCCCTCTCACCTACCTAGCACTCAACGCCTAACCTTGATATTACTCACCCCAGTATACCACTTCACAAGGGAGATAGAATGCAGGCACCTATGATCAAAAGCCAGCTACCTAGCCTTTTCATGTTCTCTACTCTCAAAGAGCAGGTCTCACAGGCATAAAGGAGGACGGATTGGACTGCTAAGCAGTACACACGCGCTTTGGCCAATAGCCAGCTGAATATCACATTTACGCCAGAGACGGTCGGACACTAGCTAGTAACTAGTGTCAGTGGTAATATCACTGACTTCAGCAGAGGGTGACGCACGTTCGAATCTCAGAAGGAGGGATATGAGCTATTCCTTCAATGTGGTTGCAGATACGCCTTGTTGATTGGTAATTGCCCAACTATCACGAAACCTAGGTCAGCTAGCTAGGCTTCCTATGGCCAACTGCTTCCAACCATCTAATATCACCAATAACATAGTACAGTTTAATTCGCTTACATAAACAAGAAATAATTTAAGCGTAACAAATAACGAGAGTTATAGAAAAGTATTTATAAAAACATTTTCAAAGGAAATGACGACTTACTAAACGACATGTTAATCCAATAACACAAATTCTAGACTCCGCAGACTGCTGACAACAATCAAATAAATTATACAATAGCAATTGTTTGTTATGTAGAGCAAATAAATCGAATTCACTGAGAATAATTAAAACAGCTTTCTGCTGCATCTCGTGTTTCCCTCCAGTCACTTTACTCAAAAATAAACTAAGCTGTTGTGAAAATGGTAAATTCTTTGTTTTATTGTATGATTCATTGGAGGATTTATCATCTGACGTTTGGTGGTCAATTAAATTGTCTAACAAAGCTTCTTGATGTAGTTGTTTGGCTATAGACTTGACAGCAGAACGATCATCAGTATGAACTAGACCTACAAATTCCACGATAACATTATTGGTTAAAAGTAAATGGAGATACCAACCATTTAAATAAACCACAGAAAGTTTAGAGTTGATAAGTGAATCCTCTTTGCACTGTTTTATAGCTTCTTTGAGTAGCTAAAATTAAAAACAAGCAAAACAAAATAAAAAGAATAACTATAATATACAAAACTTACATGATGTTTACCAACACCTCTTCGACCATTGATCAATAAAGAGTTACTTTCTCCCTTTAAAACTGTAGCTTTGATGATAATTTGTAATATTTCAGTGCTTCTTCAAAGTAAACAGGACAATGTTCACTTCCTCTTAACTTTCTACGTAATATATCTGAAATGATATCCATTTGTACTAATCCATTCAGTAAGAAAGAGAAATCTCCTCTGGAAATAATCACACGATGGTGATCACAGTTCAGTAATAAATAAATCTGAAGTTAACAGTGAAATTCTAAAAAAAACGAAAATAACACTGGTAATATAAGATACGAAAAGGCTAGCTATCGTTAACCAAAACAAAAACAGTATTCTATCTTTCGTGCAAAGTGGTATAGTAATATAATGAGTATTATTGAGGTTAGGTAAACCATTTGGTGAGGTTATAAAATTACATCGATTGTGAGATGGCTAGGAAGTGTGCCGCACATACCAAGCAATTACCTTCCTTGGCACATTGACTCCTAGCTTAGAAATAGGGAGTGAAGTTGACCAGCTCACTTATTTGGGAAGTTACATCACCCAACGCCAAAGGGTTGATGACTGACGAAATCTCAGCACGAATACAGAAGGCTAGTTTCGCATATGCCAGTTTACGCCGTCTATGGCGTACACGTGATATCCGGCTGGCTAACGAACAAATGCCGTTTGTACTACTCAGCAGTATTCTCGATCCTTCTTTATAGCTGTGGGCAAGACCTGATCACTGAGAGTGGAGGATTTGAAAAGCCCGGCCAGCTGTCATTGATCATAGGTGCCTGAGTTCTATCTCCCGTGTTAATTGGTAGGTGTAATAGGGTGAGCAATATTGAGGTTAGACTTCGGTGGAGTGCTAGGTAGGTGGGAGGGAAAATCAATCGACGAGGTTGTGAAGCTACATCGATTGAGATGGTTAGGACATGTGTTACATATGTCTAGCTATCGTCATCCTCGACCGACAAGCAATGTTAGCTGACATAGGATGAATCAGATTGGAAAATAGCTAGCCAGTGGTGGTCAAACCAAAACATGGCTTCATCAGTCAATGGAATCCACAACAGTTAGCTCAAGCCAGCCAGTCACGTAGGGAGGTGTAGACCTGCTGACTGGTTGGGGTCCCCGGGAAGGTAAAAACCGCTGGAGGCTGAAGAGAATTGGTGATATGGTTGAAAATGGTTCTCAATGACTAGAGCAGATGCATCCACTCCTTGTGATTTATAATACCCAATGAAATTATATTGTTCTTCGTTATTACTTTTCTTTTTGTCTTATATCCCTGTCTACTGTCTCTATTTTGCATTTCTCTTACATTCTTCTGTTGCTTTGTGTACTACATGGAATTCGGTGACTTGAACTGGTGCACATCGGTGCAAAGTTCTATGCCGAAAACAGACAGACAGATAGACCTTCCTTGCCGGGCAATGTTAGCTGAGGAACTTAGAAATTCCCATCCAGTCATATAAAAGAAAAGGCGTTCAGCGAAGAGTTACCCTTTTCGGTGATATCACTGTCAAACTGTATTATCGCATACATCTAGTTAATTTTATCAACAAAATGAATATTTCGAAGAGTTTTCATTAGAATTGTCAATTTTAGATAAAATATTTCGTTAATTGGCTGGAAATTGCATTACGATTAAATAAGCAAGTTGACTGACATAATCTGACGGCGTTAAACGTGGAACTAACTGCTTACTGCATAATTAGCATAAAAATGACTGTTATTCTCCCATGTTTGTAATGTTATGTTATCACCACTAATTTTATTATTATTATTTTATATTTCTACATTTTGACCCTACTGTTTGCGTTAATGCCAAAAGTTGCTATCAGGTGCACCCTGCTTTTTTTCGTTCACGTTCCCAATGGAACATAGGGCCTCAAGCTATGGCTTGAATTTTCTGTAGCAGTATTTAATTTCACAGGATGAGGTTCCTAGCCTCATGCCCAACCTTTCCTCTTTACCAGCATTATTTTTGGCTTAATGAGGTAAAGGAGTGCGCCGGCCGGGGATCGAACCCCAGACCATGTGCATGGTCGGCGAGCGTTCTAACCACTGTGCCATTGACGCAGGTGCGCCCTGTAATGTTTGTTTTTTCTGTTGCTGTTGTTGTTGAGTAAATTAGATTTAATATTGTACAAAATCCTGAAAGCAATCAAATCCCTACAAACCATCACTTGAAAATGTTGAAAATTCCACGCTGTATCATAAGTATAGTTTTGGAATAAAGCGAACCATTATTACTATTATGACTTTTGAATCTTTTTTTCATTCGTTTATTTCTGTGACACGTGAAGTGTCGCGACTTCAACTAGTGCCCAACTGTGCTAAGTATTATGTTGAAACTCAGCCTTTCTCTTCTTTATTTATCAGAAGTGTAAACCATCAAACAAACAAATCTTCACATGAATATTTATAACCAATCAGGATTTCGCATTCTTAATAGTTTATATGAAACCTAGTCAACACAGCAAGAACACAAAGGATTATTGGTATGTAGTTCCCTATACCCATATTTATAATGGCAAATGAAGATCTATGCAGATATTTATGTCAAGATATGAACCGAATGTTTACTACCACGAATTATAACGTATAGATGCATAAACTCTGGTTCCGACGGCAGCCTGATAATATTCACTAAACCCACTATTTCCAGTTAAACTTAAATGCCACTGGCGCTAAAGATAGAACAATTAGTAAATTGCTTAAAAAAGACTTTCGCATCCGTATTAAGACTTTATCGCCAACCACTTTGTTAGGCCTACTGTAGTTTCCTATTATCACGCTACAAAATTAATCCAGACTAGTTCTATAGTATCATATTATTAAATTAAATGAAGTCTTCAATAAGAACGCTAACAATTAAAGGGGACAGATCTTTAGTAGTGTTGACGGGGATAGAACTTCAGACAAGAAATGCATAGTGTCCCATGGAGAATGACCCTTTCCAGGCCATTACACAAGTAATTTCATTACCTTCCGTGACTTTAGTCTTACGTATCCTGCTTGATAATGTGAACATGCGAACAGAAAACATTCAACTGTGCCAATACCTAGTGCCCTGTAATCACTAGAAGGTCATTATCTCATTATTAAGAGATTAATGAAAGGTAGACACCCGTTTTAATTCATCAGCATGAACAAGAGGTGGTAACAACTCTCTGATCATTCACTTATCGCATATTATAAAATAACAAAGATCGGCATATTAGGAGTTGATATTTGTGGTCGCGACTGAAAAGCTGTCACCGATTTACCTAACGTTGCCTTGAAGTAAATTCATATGAAATTGGGTATACCCAAACTTGCAAGTTTTGAATCGATAGGGCCATTAGAAAGATGCAGCATACTTTTATGTGCGTCCTACCAGCATATATATATAGTTCATAACACCTCAATGGTGTCATATGACACATATTTATATATAATGTAGGTATATATACACTCAAAAACTCAAAAATAGACAAATCCACCATTCTGATGTAAAATTTCATTAGTATATTTCACTGCAGCAGAATCTTGAGCCTCAGTAAAGCCATAAAATACAGTAAGAAGAAATACGATAAAATCAACCATACCTTCCTGTAATTGCCGCTCTGAGAAGTGTAACCTTGTGTTTTCGATGATGGCTCCTTGGTTGAACTTTGTAATCTGTGATGCATCTCAATAAATGATGCGAATTAATAACTTTACAATTGGTATGACCACATATTTAAACTTAGGTTATATGTAGAATTTGTACTTAGTTAATTGTACATACCTTTATATGGAGCTTTCTATGTCTTCTAGACGGCAGCACAATTGAAATAATAAATAAATTTATTTTCATGATACAGTACATGAGGGACGCCAGTTTACAGGCATCATCAAATTGTTACAGAAATAGAACCATATTATTCAGTCACAATTTACAGTCGATAGCAAAATATGTTTAACATGTACACTGGAGATTATACATACACTTGATAAATGTTAATCCGAATAGTATAAAACATCCTTTTCACTTATGTACAATCATTTCTGTGCATAGTTGGAAAAATCCGCTAGATTGTCAGTGAGTGCAACACATCAGGAAATACAGAAGTATTGTCTTCGCATTAACAAAAAAACCAGGTCTTTGGTGGATGGGTTATAAGTGCCTGGGAAAAAAATAAAGCTTGAAGTCAATTTTCGTACAATACTTTGTTGTGTACAGAATCCTTGAATTATAGTTCATTGATGTGTTATTTTGAAATCAGTGATATGTTTATCTCATTTGATCTGCAATGTCATTGTTGGGAGTAAAATACATAAGCTTTAGACGCATTAATTAATGGATTTCTACTGCTTGTGGGTATTTACTTCTCGTGAGGAAGGTTTTTGAATTTTAGTTGTTCCGACAGGAGTTGTGGATATTGACTGCTCAGCAACATTACGGATATAAGTTCATCACATTATCTCAGGAATGTTGGGTTGTAGTTGGTGAGGCATATATGATGTCCGACGAGCGTACATCTGTCCATGTGATGTTGTGGTGAGTTATATCTTTTTCATGTTGTCGGTTTATGTCCATTTTATTCCACTTATTGTGTTGGGTAGAAGTTTTACAAACGAAACTTCTTGTCTGTTTGAGGGTAAGTATCTTAATCGTTAATGTTTTATCTAAAATTATAAATATAGGCAAAAACAACAGGTGTAGTATTTGAGCTTATACATTAAATGGACCTATAATTTCGGAGGCTCTCAGATAGGAACTAGGACTACTGTCGTTTGCAAACTCGTGTAGTTTGTCGTTAAGCACTTTTTTGAATGAGGCCAATGTACCTGCTTGACGCATTTCCATTGGTAGTTTATTCCATATCTGTGCATACCTAATCAAATAAAACTTTTGCCTGGTAGCTGTTTTACATTGTTCGATAGCTACTGTACCCTTAGTGTGTCTTAGTTTGTAGCCACTGTCATCTGAAAGTCGAATGCCATTAGTAGAGGTAAAAACTAAGTGGTTTAGAAGCTTATAGTAAAGTGTTAAGTTTAGTCTCAGGCGTCTTAGCCATAGTGTTTCTAATCCTAGGGTGTCACATCTAGTGGAGTAGTTCGCACCATTTTCGGTTCCGAGTAATTTTGACGTGAAGTACCTCTGCACTCCCTCGACTTTCAATTTGTCCTCTATGCGTATACTACTATACATGAATGAACAGTAATCAAATAAAGGACGCACACAAACCTTGTACAACAGAATTCTGGACTCATTTCTGTAAAAGTTCCTGAGTAGAAAGCCGATAAGTCTGCGTGACTTTGACACTTGTTTGGAGATATGTTCAGAAAATGATAAGTCATGTGAGTATTTCAGTCCTAGGTCCAATACAGATTCCAGTCGTAAAAGTGCATGGCCTTGAATTGTCAGGTCAAGTTCTAAATTGTTGCAACCTATGCAGAGCCAGCCACATTTGTCGACATTAAACTGGAGTTGCCAGGTGTCACACCATCTGTCCATTTTTTCTAATTCTTGCTGTATGGCGTTTACTGTTATTCCGAGATCTGTGTTCTTGCATTTATAGGTCACTTTTAAGTCATCTGCATATAGTATTGGTTTACCAACACTAAAGCATTCACAGATACTGTTTATATATATTATGAATAGGAGTGGGCCTAATACACTTCCCTGGATTACACCACTACTTACAGGTTTAGGCCTTGAGATTATCGAGCCAACTTTTGTTATCTGATTCCTGTCACAGAGAAATGATTTTATCCAGCTCAGGAGAGGGTCACATATCCCTAGTGAGCATAACCTGCTGACTAGCAGATTATGGGGGACTCTATCGAAGGCTTTTGTTATATCGAAATATAGCACAATTACTAGTTCTCTGTTGTCCCTGCTTCGTGTAACTTCATTGAAAAAGTCTATGTGACAGGTCGCACATGATCTCTTTTTGAGGAATCCGTGTTGTGATGGGTTGATAAGTTCATGTTCTAGTAAGTTGTCTGACACTTGGTCTTTAACCACTTTCTCCATTATTCGTGATATTACCGGTGTTATATTAATAGGTCTATAGTTGCATGCACTGGTTTTGGCCCCTGCTTTGTGCTTAGGTAGTATGTATGTGGTTTTCCACACTTCAGGATAAGTTCCAGTTTCCAGTGACAGAGTAAATATTCTAAGTAACAAGACTACCATTTCCGTGCTACCATTTTTGTATATGACAGATGGTATGTCGTCTGTTCCAGTACTGCCATTTGACTTCAATGTCTTAATCGCTGAGTCTATATTTTGTATATTAAAATCTATTTCTCCTAATTTGTGGTTACTTTTGCAGGTCATTTGGAAATTTGGGGTCGGGTGCACTCTGGTGTCATTGCAAAACCACTCACTGAGGAGTTCACTTATAGCCTGGGGATCGTTGTATATTACACCCCTATGTTCCAAGATGCTTACATTATTGTCTTTACTGCTTTTTAGACGTTTTTGCAATATCCTACAAAGTTCCTGAGTTTTGGTGTTACCCATTAGCGCTTTATTTTCCTCATGTTGTGACTTCATTTTGTGTTTCTCTTCAAGCAGTTTAAGAGTTTCATGTATTTGGTTTAACGCATTAAATTCCTTAAATACATGGTATTTCCTTTCCAATTTCTTTAGTTTTAGTCGCGTTTTCCGGTCAATAAATGGAGTTGGTGTCTTTAGGGCAGATTTTAGGGGCGCGATTGTGTCTCTTGCTGAGCCAACTGTTTTGTAGAAAATCTCAAGTGATACTTCTAAGTTATTGTTGATGAAGTATTCTTCCCAGTCAGAACTTCTCAACAGATCTGATAGGAATTCCCAATCAGCATTCTTATAATCCCTATATTGATAGCGCACCGGGGAATTTTTAGGTGTGTATTTAGTTGTTAGTCGGAGGGGTAGCGTGCAGTACAATATGTTGTGATCACTGTTATCGAGTTTATTTCCCACCTCTATCGAGATGGGCTCTATGTTATGACAGAGGATTAAGTCAAGAGTATTTTGGTTCCTTGTAGGGAGGCGCACGCACTGCTTCCATCCTCCTATGTCTATAGCTTGTAGTAGCTCTTCATGGATTCTTGGTCCTGTACAGGTATCCCAGTTTACTCCAGGTAAGTTGAAATCTCCACATACTACTTTGTAGTCGAAGTCCAGCGTGGCTACATGCTCTAGTATTTCTGCAATAGTTATATCAGTCATTTCAGGGCTATTGGGGGGTCTGTATATACATCCCACGAGAATTTTACTTTCGTTTGTGTGGATGCTTATCCACTTAGATTCTGGGGTGTCAATGCAGTTGAAGATTGAACGATCAATTCATTGTTGTTTGCTCAAAACCAACTTCCCCAATTTTCGCGGAGGCATCAATACGACAGTCATCGTCTCATTGGTCGCTGTTCAGAAAGAAGTCAGGAGACAACCGTCAGAAGTAATATTGTGATTTATTATTGTAATATTTGTTCACAGACCTTGGAGGAATTATTTTTTATATGTTGGTGTTACAATAAAGAGTTCTCAAGTGGCCAATGGGTGTTTTGGTTTTTGCGCCCGTTATTACTAAGCGTTTCTGAGAAACTTCAAGGGACAGCGTGAGCCCGAGCGTAGCAAGAGCTGGGCATTAACGGTTTACGAGACGTGACTGACAGCGGGTTTGTCAGTATTTGGGTTTTTGAAGATATTGGAGTTAGTGGATTTATAGGCATATATTAAGCAACCGCCTCCTCTTTTGTCAACTCTATCGTTCCTATAAATGTCCTAGTTGTCTATTACTAGCTTTGTGTCAGGTATATCAGTAGTAAGCCAGGTTTCAGTCACCATTATTAGTGTTGGCCGTTCTATGTATGCCAGGCCGCGGAGCGTTTTTATTTTATTAAGGAGAGATCTAGCATTCAGGAGCATAATTGTTAGTAAACCAGAGTTATTGAGGGAGAGGTTAACACGGTTACTTGTTACTATCCCTACGTTATGTTTGCAGGGGCTCTGAGGTGAGACAGAGTCAGTGTGTGTACTATTTCCTGGATGAACTGTGCAGCGAGTGGGGCTATTGTTTGCTGCAGCCGAAAATATTCCTGTTGCATATTTTGACTATTAGCATCCATGGGTCGGCATCCGCGTTGATCTACAGGTGATATATGGTCTGCCCTGCAGTTTGGGTTGTGGTTTGCTGGACCTAGGTACCCTGTGTTAAGATTACCCTGGTAGTTGTACCTCATGGGGCTTTCATAGCCGTATGCATATTGGCTCACGTCACGTGCGTGGGTGAAGTTATTGAGGGGATCAAGTGTCGACCTGTTCTCATTATGTTGATGAGGTTTAACATATATAGTGCGAGAGTCTGGACGAGAATTTTCGTTAATATGGTGCCTATATGAGTCCCGTTTAGTGCCCCATATATCCCGAGGATCCATTCTACGTTGCATTCCCAAGTTATGTGCGTTGTTAGGCATGTTACTTCTAGTTCGGGAAGGGGTATTCCTTCTCACATGCTGCGTGACGTCTTTGGGAATGTGCTTCGTTACCCATGCTTTGTCATTTTTTAGACTGACACGCTGCTTATTAGACTTATCACGAGGGAGGTATGTCGAAGTCTGGGGTGGGACTCTGGGTTTTGTGGTCGTTTTTGCGGTTTCTACTGAGGGACTCTCTGGCTTGGATCCAGATTGAGTGTGGTCTGCCAGTAGTTTCTGGTCAGCCATAGTTTGTGCGTCTATGTCAACCTCATGTAGGTCAGCAGGTTTTCGAGATGTGCTCTCGTGCACTCTAAGATTGCACCCAGTGGCACTGCTCTTACTGAGTTTTGGGTCGCTCTTACTTGCCGTTTTTTCTCCTAACACTATACACGTGACTTGCTGTGCTTCAGTGTCCGTCGACACTTTAGCACTGATACCAGATGTATTTCTCAGTGTTGTCAACTTTGTATCGAAGGAGTTCTTGGTTGCTTGCCTTTGGTTTGGTGTTTTATCCGAGACTACTTTAATAGTCTTGAATTTAGTGGCAGTAGCCAGAGGATCTTCGGCCATCTTAAGTCGTTCAGCTGTTATGTAGCTGTCGAACCTAAAGAGTATAGGACAAGGATGCTTTAGGTCTTTTTTGCTTAGGCGAATGCACTGACAAGGTGCATTCAAGAGATTTGCAGCCTTCAGCAATGAGTGCTGGACTGACTTTATGGGCTCGCTATCCGGTACATTATACACTATTGCGTTTTGTTTTGAAGCCAGCCTTTTAACAACTTCGCTGGATAGAAAGTCGATGGCGTTTTCTAACTCCTTCGCATTTTCTGAGTCAGTATGAGTCATTCTAGAGGTCATATTAAAAAGCTTTAGGATTGTAGGATCCTGCATTTCTTTTTTCATACGTGAGATAGTTTCGGGTATACATTCTAGTGAACTTAATTTCGTTTTTAATTCATCTATCTGTAGCTGCATCTCTTTAATTACGCACGTTAAGTAAGAGAGCTCTACTTTTTCAGACAGAACATCTTCCACCTGTATTACAGGGGTCAGAGTTATGTTCGAGGCTTTTATGTTGGGTGAACTACTAATAATATGGGGTGATAATGTGTTATCAGACGAGCCGGTGCTATTTTCTAAATTACTGGTGTTCACACGAACACGCTTTTTAGAATTTTGAACCATCGTTATTAAAGATCAATTATTAGTAACCAATAAATGAATATAAGCGAAAACACGTGCAAAAGCGTCACCTGATTTGAACGTACCGGGTAAGAAGATCTGGTACAAAGTCGATGGAACAGTTTTTCCTGCCCAGTCACAAAATCATATAAACGGCATCGGGGCATTGTAAGTTTGGCAAAATAATGTAAAAATATGGGAAGGTCGTTTTTCAACGCTAACAACTCATATGATGCATATATTGGTTTCCTGAGTGCTTCATTTACTGTTTTTCCTGAGATGATTTTCCTATTTTGAAAGGTCAATGTACTTCAGTAGAGTTTTGAAGACGGCTGAAAAGACACTCGACAACTAATCTAGACACAGGGTTGTACCCTAATTAGTATCTGTCAACGCCGATGGCATTAAAACAGTGGTTTCAGGAGCCAAGAAACTGAAATTTGACATTCTTTACGCTCGTGAACTATCCCAAATGCTTGCTGAGTAAAGAAGTTGTACAAGAATAGTTTATTGGGATTTAATTTTGCCTAACCGAGACTAATATATAGGGATTTAGTTGAAAATGACTATGGTGAACGTATACGTCAGTAAACCCTGTGGACCGAAGGCCACAACCTTTCATATTTCTTCGTACTGTCGATGTGCACCTAGCTCGCCCAGCTCTAAACATTCAAGAATTTTGTATGATATAATCAGCTCCCAGTCTTTTAGTGTTCGGACCACGGAATAACTCTTGGCTGAAATGTGCTGTGAACGTCTGCGATTTCGAATAATGTCAGAAATCATTCATTTTCATCTAAAGCATTGTGCATGTCGAGCAAGAGTTTCAGAATGTCTGTGACCAGCTCATGTTTAAAAGTAGTTTTTGAGATAAGTATGGTGGCATTTTGTAAGTACTAATTACAGAGTATCCTGGAAGGTTTTATTCCTCTGCAGATTATAGACGAGTTGGCGATAATAGGAAAATATGGTGTCATTTTACTTACAATCATTTGTTCGGAATGCAGTTCCTAGAATTCATCCTAATCAACGTGCTGGGATTTTTGTGGACCATATGTAGTCATGATAACTTCGAACTTGAGTCAGTTTGGGACTATACATGAATTCAACTTAACTAGACGTTTTCGAGTTATTTTTGATCAGGGAAGGGTGGCAGTTTTCAGATATAGCAAACAATCACAATGCATCCAGAATGCCTGAGAAAGGCCCATTTACCTATGATATAGCGTGCCAAGTTCCAGTAAGATGTTAATGAATATGCAGAAGAGTAAATTGTTTGGGCGCACTCAACATTTTCGTACTGTCCAGTTAGAGCGGAAACCATTATCTGACACTGATTATAATTCACTTTAAAACAGTCACAGCAATCCAATATATTTTTGGGCTCTCAAAATGTCTTAGTTTGCTTACAGTTTGAATGAATTCATGTTTCACGATAGTCTCTTGAAAATTTTTGTAATATTGTAGTTATGGAAATTGTGATACTGAGCATGTGACCAAATAGCATGAAACGTACTGATCTGACTTTTTATCTTATATAAGTCTGCTAAAAATGTACCATGGGAAGTTTTGTTATAATTCATCCAAACGTTTTGCATTCCTAGTGCAAAAGCTGCTGAATTTTTAAAATGAGTTCAATACGGCAACTGCGTAATTACTGATTTTACGACAAAAACGAGGAATTAAAATGTGTCGTTTTGCGGTACTGTCCGAAATTTCTATAACTTTATGCTGTAAGTTGTTCCTGGAGGACTTATCAAAATAGACACTATTTTATTTTTTTCTTCAGTGGAAAGTGTAGACACCTATACTGCGAACAGAAATCAAGGAACAATTTCTATCCTTTTGTCATCTAATTTCCCAGGTGTTTACCAGGTGAGACGAATTCACGCATATTATGTGACACGCTTATCGTTTTTCAAAGTACACAGTGACATGTGCTCTATCAAAATTACCGTCTGCTGCAGAAACGAACGGCGTATTTACTGAAATACAACTGTCAAATTCTATTCCGAACCGCAGCATTATTTTTCAGTGCTACCAGTTTGGACGCGCAGTTCCATTTATTTGTTATGACAAGACTAACTCTAGTATATTGTTTTTAAGCAAAAGGTTGTTGACACATGCATTATTTTAACTCATTTTTTTACAGTTTCATTCAATGTAAAGAAGCACCGGTGGTTTCTCTCCGGCCTGCTGTTGTTCGTTTGTTGAAAAAGTCTACGCCTTTCACCCAACAGTTGGGTATCCTTTTGAGGTAAATTATCTGCAGTCATATAATTTATGTACAGTGACAATGTGACGGAATCTCCTGTTGTTGTGACATGTCAGAAGAAGGGAGATTCAGGTGAGACTCCTTTCATTGTTCGATTACTGGAAGTGTAGCTGTTTTTAAAATTTAGTCGTGCATTTTGTATAATTCCCACTTCAGATGCTTATGCATGTCAAAATTTTAAGGCATAGCTTCTGCAAAACACTTAGCTATTTATAGTTTGTGGAATAAAGAAATCTGACGTAACTCTGTGGGCGAAGAATTGTCTATATCGTAAATAATACAGAAACTTAGCTGTGAAGCTTTGTAATTTTAAGTCGTTTTATAAATGTGTGCCTGGAATTCACTTTTAAAAGATACGAATACATGACTCATTGACGTAATGACAGGTAGTCAACAGTTGCGCTCACCAAAAAGCAGCTAGGATGATATCTGTTCAGTTCGAAGTACTTAAATTATAGTATAACGAGAAGTGATATGTGACCATCTGATTTTTCATTGATTTATCACTTGTCGTATAAAACTGTAGAAGCGAACACCTAATCTTGGGTGAAAATGAATGATACCGAAGTATACACGGAATAGGTTTTTAGCTGTCCTCGCTACCATTAAGTCAAATATGAGATCAGAGAAAAGGCTGACACTGTGGTTAACAAAATTTCGAATTGGGGTTACTTAATTTTCTTCAAAAAGCAACAAAAACCACTTAATTAATTGTTTTTGATAGGGTGTTTATTTTTCAGACAGTTTGATAGGAGTCTAGACTCCCTGCTTACAAGTATACCCTAGCTGTACAGAACAGTGAAAACAAAGTTGGGGTATAACTTTTCGAGGTGTATGCGAACTTCTGGAATGAAATATTGTAAAGTTTTACTTATCATGATCCGCATGATACATCTGTGTCATGCTTGAAATAACTAAAACGCTTTAGTAGACGTTACTAAGCAACGAATTTGAATTTATTATGCTGTATTGAAATAGCTCATTAACACGTCCAACATTGTCAGCCTCAATTCAGAAATACATTTTTGGAAGGAATTCTTATCATAACGGTGGTGAAGGCCATACTATTCTATTTTCTCTGTGTTAAGTGATTACTGTTTCAGGTTTTATTTCTAATTTTTTGTAAGAAGAAAATAATCACCAGCTTAGGATAGTCGTTATTTGCTGATGTGATCTGCCTAGGAAACCGTAAGGAAGGAATCTCTCTCTGAAGAAATTATCTATCTGCACTTCAAAAGTTCATACTTATTTTTTCGCAAAAAACTAAAACACTCTTAGCTTCTAGACTTAATTTCTCCTGCCTCTTGTATTGATTTTTCTCTCTCTAGAAAATGTTTTTTAATACCAATTTCTTCTCCCTTCTTCTGACTTTCCGTGCTGTGATAATTTAAGTAGTATATTGTCGTTTCAAGGTATTCTTAGACTTGAAGACAACAAAATCAACTTTTCTGCTCAGAGGTGTTAAGTCATTTTATTTCTGCTGCATAACATCCACCCAATAAATGGGATTCCATAAGTCTAGTTGTAATGACATAATATTTATAAGCTGTATATCTTAATCTATAGATATCCTGCATAATTTCAATAATGTATAACTATGAAGTAGTCAAATCCAAATATCGTGAAGGGACTATGAAATCTGAATATATAATGCTTCAATAGGTGATTTAATCTAAATATATGCTATGACTTGTCAGTATATTGCTATTGTAAGTATATAACTTTATACAAAATGTCTTATAGTATTGATCATGCCTAGCCATCGCCTCACTCGACGGGAAATGTTAGCCGCCGACATAAGATCAGGTGGGAAAATTGCTAGGGGTGATCAAACGAAAACATGGTTTTATCAGTCAATGAAAACCACAACAGTTAGTTTGCGCCAGCCAGGCAGGGAGGTGTAGACTTCCCAACTGGTTAAGGTCCTCTGGATGGTAAGTGCCAATAACGATTGGAGACAACTGGTGGTGATATGGCCCAAAATATTCGTTGTCAATGGCTGCCGTAGATGTATTCTCTCTTTGTGATTTGTCATATATAACCGGACTCTCTTGTTCTTCCATATTACCATTCTTTTCCTCTCACTCAAACTTCTATTTATTATCTCTTTCGAGTCTCTCTTTACCCTCTTCTCTTGCTTTGTAGGGCAAATCCAGCGGAGTATGGCAACTCGAACTGCTGCACATCTGTGGAAAGTTCTATGCTGAAACCGTCAGTCAGTTAGTCAGGTGAATAAGTGTTGCAACTTGTAACTAAATTATTATTCCAGTCCAACATTCACCATCATATTTCTGATAGTCAGATTATAGTACGTGACCACTCAAGGCTTCATTCACTTCCTTTATGCATTCTATTTTTAAAGATCAATATCTACACGATTTCTTTGTTTATAATGTACAATATAAAGTAATACTATGCATAGAATAATAAATAATGGAATATTTTACCAACAAAATTAAAAAATCTTAATTTTTTCACATTAAGAAAGGTGGATGTGACAGATAATAAAGTGGTAGCACAGATAATGCGTCGGTGGTACAGAGGTTAGGGCGCTCGCCAACCATGCACATAACCCGGGGTTCGATCCCCGGCCAGTGACGCACTCCTTTACTTCGCTAAGCCAGTAATGAAGCTGATAAAGAGGAAAGGTTGGGCATTAGGCTAGCAACCCCATCCTGTAAAAATTAACACACTGTTACAGAAACTTCAAGGCTCTAGCTTGAAACTACCCTATGTTCCAGCACTGGGAACGTGAAGGAATATAAAAAACTGAAGATGACTTAATACACACGATAATGTATTGTCTTTTACTATTGGATTTAAGGTTAGTTTAAGTTACTGAGAAACCGTTTTGCAATTCCATACACCTAAGAATGGGCCACATCTATGGTGTTACTGTGGCGAATGCTACTGATAAGATCTACCAGTAGTATATAAAGAGACATTCATCGACTGGCATAAAAACATCAAATATCAAGGAGATACATTCGATGTCAAAGAAGGCAAACGGTACAGTGTTGTGGAGATATATGGGTGACGACGTGAAAGGAACACAAAGAAACAAACACTATATGAAGGAAGGCAAGAAGTACCACAATACGAAGGTCTGTGCAGATTGTGCGTTAAACATAAAGTGTACATAATTTGGCTATATAGAGATACCAATTTCTTTTACCAAATCTTCGTTTTCTGCCCTGACATTACTAATTGGCTGCCCAAACCTCGTTGCATGAAACGCGATTCAAACTCGTGATCTAGCAGTGGAAGTTGATGGCCTGGGCCTATACATTAAAAAGATATACTAGCGGACTTGTTTTACTTTTTACTTTTATTGTTTAATATTTCATCTGCTGTATACATTAAATGCCTGTTTCTGCGTACTAATGAAGAGTCCCTAACTAGTGGGACGAAACAGCTGTCTAGCAGTACCCCGACTGATTTTCCAATATTTTTCTAACCAGTGTTAGATCATAATGAAATCCTGTAAACAATCAGTCGAATCCCTACAAACCAATATTTGAATACCTATTTGTCTTTATTTGTTTCTTTTTGTTCATAGATGTGTCTGTCTCCATTGCTCCCGTTTCTGTTTTGCCTGGAACATCAACAGGAGTTGTATGTTTTTTAAAGTTACTCTGATTCAGATTTAATGAAATGTTTAGATTTCTGTGTCAATAACATCATTTTCCAGTTCCAATTCAGTTACTATCTCTTGTAAAGCACAATCAAATAGTGGTAAACAATATTTGACAGCAACATCTGAAGGTGTGTGTAAAACAAAAATTAATTTTATCTAACTAATTCAATTTCTAGGAGCCAGTTCAAATATTTTTTTAATAGATGGACAAATGGGATTAGAACCTAATGGTGTAAATTTATACAGTCTTAAATTTCAGGTTAGTTTTTTAAAATTTTTTAAATATTTTTCATTTTGCAAAGAAAACTTTTCGATGAAAATCTTCTTTTATTTTACGGGTTCTTCATGATATAGTTAAAAAGCCGTACTAATACCGATGTCTTCTTTTCTCATTTCTTCCAACTTTCAAGTGGAACGTGCAGCCATAAGCCATGAGGTTACAGTGGCGATAGTGTTTGCTTTTAAGGGGTTGGATTATTAACTTTATGTCGAACCTTCTATTTTTCTGCGCTAGGGGAGTTTTAAGAGTGTGTGTGTGTTAGGAATTGAACCCAGATCACATGAGGTGCGGTTAGCGAGCATTTTACAATTAAGTCACCGGCATACACATATCGACATTATTATTATTGTTCCCTTGGGTTCCTAGTGGAACATAGGGCTTCAACTGCACGTCTCCACTTGCTTCTGTCCTCTGCTGTACTTTTCACCTGCATCCATCCATGTTAGTCCATACTCTGTCAACCAACTCCTCTTCACACAATCTCTTCCATGTCACCCTTGCACTGACGTCCCACTCGCCGCTTCCCTTTCGGCCTGGTTCCACTCGAGCAATGGCCTGACGCGCGCGTGATGTCACCCAGCGGTCTCCTCAGCGAGTGTCCAATCCATCTCCACCTTCTCCTGCATATTTGTTGGTTGGCGATTGGTTCTTGTTTTGTTTCTTCCCATGGTTTCTTGTTCGTGATTGTTTCCGGCCCGGCCATCTGATCTTCAGTATGGATTCAGCGAAGACAGTTGGTTGTTGATAATGGTCTGGTCTGCAACAGGCTGTTGGAAATATTCTTTGTGACCCTCCCGCCAAGTTTCTGATCTGTATAGGAGAACTGACTGACTTGACGCTGTTTGTATTGAAAATCCGAGTGACGAAGATTTCCAGATTGGTTTCAGGTTGATGAATGTGTTTCTCGCTCGCCTTCCCGATTCTCGAATTCTCGACATCCTCGTCCGTTCCGACTTCCTGTAGTTGAGACAATGCTCGATGCTACATAAGTGAGTGAATGAAGTAACTTCTTTCAAATCCCTCTCGTTGATGGTGATTGGCACTGGATGTTGCTGCTGTTGTTGTTCTTGTTGTTGGTTGATTGGTTATTTTCATAACTTCCGTCTTGTCTATGTTCACCTGGAGTCCTGTCTTTGCTGGCTGCTTCTTCCACCAGTTTGTCGGTTTTCGTTTGTATGTCTTCGATTTTGTGTGACATCGAACATAAATCATCCACGCGCGAAATCCAGGTCTTCTAGGTTCTTCATGTCGGTCCAGGATATCCCTTCCTGTCTTCTCGTTCCCCACTGTCTGACACATAATCCAGTCAGTCCACCACAATTAGGAATATCACTGGTGATAATAAGCACCCTTGTCTGATTCCTGTGTTTACTCCAAACGCCTCGCTGAATTTTCCGTTGTGGACCACTGGACATGTGCCGCCATTGTCGTACAGCTTTTGAATAAGGTTGATGAGTATTGGGGTACGCCGTAGTACTCGAGTTATTTCCAAATTACTCCGCAGTCAACGCTGTCGAAGGCCTTTTCAAAGTCTATAAAGTTGAGGTAGAGGTTTGATTGCCATTTCATACTTTGTTCAGGTATGATGATGCGTAGAGTTGCTATTTGGTCAGAACATGATTTACCTTTCCTGAATCCAGCTTGTTCTGGTCGGAGTTCTGTATCCAGTGCGTCCTTACAGACATTGCTTAAATAAAAAGTTTTGATTTGGAGAATCGTAATAATAATTCAAATTTCAGACCATATTTTGGTTTGTTTTGATTGGAGGAAGAAGACATTAAACCTGTGTGAATTCTTTTCTGTTAAACAAATATACTTGTCGGTGGTTCAGGAGTAGGATGCTTGCCAAACATGCATGTAGTCCTGGTTCTATTCACGACCTATTCACTGCTAAGCCTCGCCTAGACGGTAGGAAATCCCGGTTAAGAGGGTAGGCTGGGTACAACACAAATGTTACTAAGACTTAAAAGCCTAAAGCTTGAAGCCCAGTGTTCCTCATGGAAGGCAAAATAATGAAAAGAATTCTCCTTTTAAACGAGTTGACTGAAGACACAGACACTGTTTATTCTCGGAGTTGGTAACCAAGAGCTATTACCTTAGTGAGAAAAGCAGTACTCCACACAGATATAGTACGTCATTGACTTGCGAACTCTCCTTATCTGTTTTCTCAGATATTGTAAGATAGTGGGAAGGAAACGAGCAAGCGCAGGTGATATGACTCACGAAATTTACTCTAACACCTTTCCATCACATCAAGTTTAGCGTTTTTCTTATCCATAATGATGTTTTATTTAAACACAGGTTCAAATGTGAAGCATAAAGTTGAGTTTGTATGAACTTGTCAATAATTTTGATGTTCTTTAGAGTTTTAAGTGTATTACTTTCGGTCGGCTAATGGTTATAAGCATTTCGTTTTGACCGAATCTTGATTAGATTTTGACCTTATTCGCTTGAATAACCAACGCTTCAACACGATGGATAACGTTATTTCCTGTAATAATCTTGTGATGGATATCTCATGGCAGTTTTCTCATTGAGATGATTAAACCATTCATTAACTTGAAATGGTGAAAATGACTACTTAAAGTTAAAATCAATGAGGTGAAGCAGGTCGGATGTGAGACAAATACTCGCCAGCGATGACAATGGCTAGTACCAGTCTCGCTATATAGTAGTGAATTGGCAGAAGTTGGAATTCATGGGTTGGCCAGTGGCTAAATTGTCTACCAGCTCGCCTTCTAATTGGAAGGTGCTGGGTTCGAACCTCAGTATGGTGGGTAAGTACAGTTGAAGAGTCCCACACCGGAACGAAATAGCTATCCAATACTCCCAGCTGGTTTTCCAATAATTCTCTAACCGATGTCAGTTCATGGGTAATGACACAGCTGCGAAACTCTTCTTTTATGGTTCTCCTTATTCTTTCGGATTCGTCGTAGAGGCAGTAGAGTTTTCCAGATGTTTGGAACAAGTATTGAATCATTCGTGTCGCAGGTATTCCTAGCTGTTTCAATAAATAAAGCTTCAGATATCAATCTCTCCTTCCACTCGGTTATATTAACAGTATTGTCTTATACCATCCTGTTGTTGTACGGTTGTTTTGTAATTGTATGTATTGCTACAGCTGGACTACTTCCTGGATTTCTCATGTTATATGGATCTTATAGTTTATATTTCGCCAAGTTTTCGTGCTTCTCTAATCTAGCTCATTCTGGCCTACTACTTTGACCTAATTATTTAATCTGACAGTTATTGTAGGGCATTAGGAAAACTGAGTCACTTTGTGTGATGGGCTTCACAAGATCCTTTAATTTGACCTATTTGTTTCTAAGTCAGTTTGTGGATTGAAACCAAATCTTTTTGAATCTATGGAAAATCATATTACCCAATAACTAACTTTGCTTATAATTTTGTTTTTCTATAGTCGGTTTGTAAGGAGTAATTGTTTGTTTTAACAAGTTGAGCACGGATTGATTGAAACTGGCAGGGAGTACTGCCAGACAGCTTTTTCATCCTAGTTTGGGAATCATTGGCAGTACGCACCCACCGCCAGGGTTCAAACCCACTATCTTCCGGTTACAAGACAAGCTGGCTTGTATACCGTTCAGCCACTAGGACCCGATTCAATGGCTGCCAGCTTATGAATTCTAACTTCTATCAATTCGCGATTTAGCATGACCCCAACCAATTTTGTAATAAAACAAAAGAAAGTTTTATAACGAATCGACTTCGGTTAGATAGTAGTAGTAGTAGTTGAAAATCAGAGGACATTGGAGGACTGTTTCGTCATAATTGAGGAATCTTCAACAGTATGCACCCATGACACTGAACCAGCGACCTAGCCTAGTACCTTCATTTTATAACACCTGTTTATTGAGCATTTCAACGACTCGTAAATATCAGATTCTCTCATTTCGCAACGTAGTAATGCCACTAACCCGTGCCACACTGATGGGTGTCCTGAAATGATGAACCCCGTTGGCCACGACTTCAGTATATCCATTCAGTAGTCAAGAAGGACCTGGAGATTAATATTCACATTAGGAGTTTTTTAGGGGATTGGATATCGTCACGAAACTAGAATCAGTCAAAGAATGAATTTCGTTCTCGTTTGGAGAGTCTTCAGCCTCCATCCAAGAAGCGGTTGTATTTTGTATAGTTTGTGTAACTCATCACTTTTGTTTTTCTCCATTTCAAACACCAAACCAATTGAATAATATTTGCAAATAAATGCAGGGAAATTTAATGTGAAGGTGACTGGACTTTTGACTCTTTCCTACTAAACACTGGAAGGCCTGCAGTATATATAAAAATGCAACTATCAACGTCTCTATGTACTGAATACGTAGATCTCACTGATGTAGGCTATCTATTGAATTGAATTCTTGATTTTCCCGTCGATTGATTGGACCGAAGTGCTCGGTCTCAGGTTGACATGTCGGCTTCTTGTGCAGATGCTTCGACGATGTCCGGGCATTTAGTTAGTATACAATTGGTGGATGGTGGCTAGCAGTGGAATCCAGGATGCGCATTTCGTCCTATTTAGGACTCGTCAGCTGGATGTACCTGCATTTCTCAGTGAGTGATGATGTTCCCACCGAGGCTACTACTAACTAAATGCCCGGACATCGTCGAAGCACCTGCACAAGAAGCCGACATGTCAACCTGAGACCGAGCACTTCGGTCCAATCAATCGACGGGAAAATCAAGAATTCAATTCAATAATTAATATGACCCGTTGCACAAGAGGTGGCTCTCGTGGCCCAAGTGGTCTAGTGGATAACGCTTTGGCGTTTGAAACTATGGGTACTGGGTTCGAGCCTCGGTGGGAACATCATCACTCACTGAGAAATGCAGGTACATCCAGCTGACGAGTCCCAATTAGGACGAAATGTGCATCCTGGATTCCACTGCTAGCCACTATCCATCCACCAATTGTAGGCTATCTATGTTGAAAATTTCTTGTCAAACCATAATTTCGTTAATTCTGTTGAAATTGAGCGTTGATCAAGTCAGTAACAGTGGTAGTGAGGTGTAGAAATTAAATGGGGTGGGGGTAGAGAACAAGAAAGTTGAAAATGCAAAATATTACAATTGGGAGGACGAAATAATACTAACGAAGAGACAGAAAGAAAGAAAAGATTAGGTAATAAGATAGATTAAGTCCATCGCAAGTGCAGTGAGTGATTGAACGAACTTCTTCTGTATGCAGAGTTCAAGGCTTAGCAAGTGAAATCGCCATTGCTTCTGCAGCTTGAAGAAGTCTGATTCGTACACCTTTGGGAAGACTACTTCTTACTCTGAACTTCTTACTTCTTACCACATCAAGCTACATCCTAAACAAACTTCAAATTCGTCTACAGAGTTAGAAGTAGTCTTCCTAAAGGTGTACAAATCAGACTTCTTCAAACTACAGAAGCAATGACGATTCACTTGCTAAGTTCTGAACTCTGTATACAGAAGAGTTCGTTCAATCACTACACTTGCAATGGACCTAATCTATCTTATTACCCGACAAGTAAATTCTACCTAGTCTTTTTTTCTGTCTCTTCATTAGTATTATTTTGTCTTCTCAATTGTAATATTTAACATTTTCAACTTTCTTGTTCTCTACCCCCACCCGATTTAATTCTGGTGAAAATCAGTGGACGATGATCACAGCTTTACACTCTTAGATACAAAAGTTCTCATAAGTAATTCAAACTCTATCTGCTGCGCTAATCAGGATGTACTGAAGTCAAGAAAAAGCCTGAACCCAAACAGGTGAAATAGTTGTTTGGTGTATAAATTATTCTGATTTACCAGATGGACTTATACATAACGGTTGGACTGCATAGTTTATGACATTATATTGAAGAAGTTGTCTGGGATGATATGAAGATGTTCTTCATGAAACTAAACAGTGAAATTTATTGACATAGTTATAAAACTCGGGCCCTTTGATGGTAGAGTATAACTCCATTATGGATGAAATTTTATTTTGATAAAATCATACAGTGTGTTGTTATACAGTAAGTAATATTTACTGATGACCACGCTTCGAGCACAATTTACCATCGCCACTCATAATCATATCAAGTCACTCACTCACTCACAGAACTTTCTCGCTTCATTGATATATATATGAGTAAACATTGATGCAATTAGACATTTGATTGAATACAATCAATATTACAGGATAAAGTACATTCGGGAATAATAATATTAGTGTTGTCAATAAAATACAGTCAGATGGGAAATAAGACGAGTGTTTTTATAGTAAAATAAATAAATAACTTGATGGAATGTTACAATGTGAATTGAATACATTCCAGGATTATTTATTATCCTCCTCTGATTTGACTGGTGGTAATAATATCTTCCATATCTTTGGTATTTGCATTGAGTCAATTCTATTGCATATGTTGTGTTGTGTTGTGTTGTGTTGTGTTGTGTTGGGTGTGTAGACTCGATGAACCAGACAGGATTCAGTAGTCAACCTCTCTCTACCCCAACCTACCTACCTATATAACCTTTTAGAATTTTGACTGTCTCAATTTTTACTCGTGTATATAAATAAAGGAAGAAAGTTTACAATTGGTGGATGGTGGCTAGCAGTGGAATCCAGGATGCGCATTTCGTCCTATTTGGGACTCGTCAGCTGGATGTACCTGCATTTCTCAGTGAGTGATGACGCTCCCATCGAAGCTCGAACCCAGTACCCATAGTTTCAAACGCCAAAGCGTTATCCACTAGACCACTTGGGCCACGAGAGCCACCTCTTGTGCAACGGGTCATATTAATTATTGAATTGAAATTTTGATTTTCCCGTCGATTGTTTGGACCGAAGTGCTCGGTCTCAGGTTGACATGTCGGCTTCTTGTGCAGATGCTTCGACGATGTCTGGGCATTTGATTAGTATACAATTGGTGGATGGTGGCTAGCAGTGGAATCCAGGATGCACATTTCGTCCTATTTGGGACTCGTCGTCCAAACAATCGACGGGAAAATCAAAAATTCAATTCAATAAAGGAAGAAAGTTGTCTGAGTAGTGCCTTGATACGATTATGAGGGAGGGGCAATGAGAAATTGTGCTCGAAACGTGGTGGCATTAGTAAATATTACTGTATAACAAACACTGTGAGACTTAATCAAAATAAAATCGTATCCATAATAGAAGAACTTTGAAGATTGTTAGCAAGGTCAGTGGTGTGTCTTTTATCCAACTAACTTACATTCTTTTGACGATATTAGATAGTTGGAGGCAATCGGCCACAGGAAGCCTTGCATGACCTAGGTTTCGTGCTAGGTGGCACTCGTCAGCAAGGCCTTTCTGTAGCCTTGAAGAAACTCATGTCCCCTCTGAGATTTGAACCCACGTCACCCAGTGCTGCAGTCAGAGACGTTACCACTGAGCTATTTGGGCTCGCGATTGATCTCCTGTAGGACTGCTGTGGACACATTGATTGTACACTAGTAACTAGTGTGATGTGTCTAGTCCTTTCTTTCTTTGGTGCAGACTGAATTCTATCAGTCAAGCTTGCAATGTGGCCACCATTCTAGGTATCTCGCCATCTGTCTAATATCATCAAATCAATGTGCACCCAAGAAAGGACTAGACACGTCACACTAGTTACTAGTGTCCAATCAAAATAACTTACATCGTTGTTGATAGACATTTTAATTCTTGGAAGCGACAAGCTAAAGTGATTGTATTGTTCACTGAAGATCCTCTTTGCATTGGCAACCTTCTATTTGTATCTTTTCGGTTAAAATCAAGATCAATTTCATAAGAATTTAGGTTTCTACGGCTAAATATAAATTTTTGCAACATGTAAAAACGCTGCAAAATTTCATTCTGTATAATTATTATCGTTTGATTCAATTTTAGATTTTCCCGTCGATTGATTGGACCGAAGTGCTGGATTTCAGGTTGACATGTCAGCTTCTTGTGCAGATGCTTCAACGATGTCTGGACATGCGTTTATAAGTGAATTAGTGGATGGTGACTAGCAGTGGAATAGGCACTGGGTTTGAGTCGTGGAGTGAAAATCATCACTCACCGCAGAATGCAAGTACATCTAGATGATGAGTCCTGAATAGGACGAAATGCGCATCCTGGTGGATTCCATTGCTAGTCACCATACGCCAATGAATTTATAATTATTATCGTTGTTTGGAATAAAGTTATTATTATTATTAGTAGTAGTAGTAGTGTGGTGAGAGCAGGCTGCTAGCCGATTGGTTGGCACTAATCTACGTTAAGGTCTAGGTCACTAATATGGGCCGTGAGAAAATATGAACAAGCCTGAGTCAACAACCAATCACAGCAAAGTTAACGTGGCAGAATATGATTCGCAGAGAGAACTCTATTTGTCAAGGAATCCCGAAACAACCAATCAGAAGCCTGCGTTTGTCTACCTAAACAACCAATCAGATGACTGCGCTTGTCTATAATAATGTAGTTGAAAGATGTATAAATACGTGTTGATTTTCATAATAAAACGATCTGTTGCCTGGCCCTTGTCTTCTGTTGTTACAGTAGTAGTAGTAGTAGTACAATTAAACCACTACCTAGCATGGGTGACCGGAGTAATTTACTGATTCTCCAGTTGACAATTCGGCTATTGCAAATCTATTCCGTCTGCTCTCTCGCAGATTCCAAGCACTTCTATAGCATATTTTCTCATTTCTTTGGCTACCTGGCCAGCCTTCCCGGTCTCATACATTGTACGGACATTCTACGTCCCCATTCTTATTTTTGCTTTCATCAAGAGAAGACACATCGGTTGGCTGACTGGCTTCCTGAAGGCTTTTTTTTCACCAGCCAACTGTATCATTTTTGCCTTTCCGATTCCAGAGGAGAATAAGATTGTTTTTTTTAATGTCTTTTGTATTTTTAATATTTTTCTTGTGCGTTGAAGTTTCTGCAGCAGTTTGATTGATTTTCCGGGGTAGGGTCACTACTAGACATCCTCCAAACCCTCCCTCTTTACGCGGGCTTGGGACCGGCTTAAAAACTAGCGAACTAGTAAACTAGGCGAGGTTTGCATCATTTCAACCACAGGCGAAACGAGTGAAGATGTCAAAGCTAGAGTCGAAAAAGCGACATTGACCTTCATCAGCCTGAAACCAGTTTGGAAATCTTCTGCAAGAAGAACAAGATTCGTGTCACCAAAAAGGACTTTTATCAACAGCTGCCATCGCTCGATACTGATGACTAAATGGCTAGCGAGAAAGAATTAGCAACAAGAAACTATGTGGAGAAATTAACCAAGAACCTGTCGTTCAACAAATTTGCAGAAAAAAATGGAGGTGGATTGGACACACACTAAGGAGACCGTCGAATGACATCGCACATCAAGCCCTTGAATGGGACCTGAATGAGTAATGATGAGTCGTTCGTCGGTGCGAGGGTGACAAGGTAGAGATTGTGTGGAGAGGAGAAGATGAAAGATTATGGGCAATCGTGGGCCCAGACAGCGAAATAGTACCACAGAAAATAGGGCAAAGTGGAGACGTACTGTTGAAGGCCTAAGTTCCGTTTGGAACCCAAGAAAACAACAGTAATTATAAAAACTATCCAGCATAGAGAATACAGTGGAGAACACGAAAACAATCCACCGGAACTGCTGCGCATCTTACCCTACATTTCAATGTTTCACTTTGTTTTTTTTTAATACTACAGGTCTTGTTATACTTAAATGCGATTGGTCGAGATCTTGAAGTTCTATGTAGCGTCAATGTGGCTAATAATGAAACACAAGCGAATAGTTTACTTAACGATAACACGTGTGGAATTGCATCAAATAGTGGTAATGTTAAATGTTTCAATTTTTATTTTCAATTTTATCACTAAATATTTTGAAAGTGTTAAGGAATTAAGTTATTTCGTTTATAGATTAATTTTGTTTTCTTTTATTGTTGGTTAATCATGTTGGAAGAAAAAGCTCTTTCCCCTGCTGACATGTCGCCTCCTTTGGTACGGAAGCTTCGACGATGTCTAAGAATTAACGTGTAGTTACTTTTCTTAAGTTGATCCCAATGGCCTAATGGTTAATTCTTTGACGTTTGAATCTATGGATGCAGGGTTCGATTCTCAGTGAGAACTCCATCATCACTCGCAAAGGATGCAGCGACGTCCAATTGATGAGTCCAGAATAGGAAGAAAAGTGCATCCTGGTGGATTCCATTGCTATTTATTTCCAACGAAAGTAACTTTTAGTTATTTCTAGTTTATTATGTATAGCAGAAGAAGGGTGTTTTCCAGATGTTATTATGGCAAAGTTAAACTTTAGACACCACTAACTACCAATCAGCAAGCGACCTTGAACGGACGAATCACAGTAAAGAGGCATATATGATGATGGATATTCCACATCGTTCGTGAATCTCATTGGATAATTCGCTGATTGGTAGTTAGTGGTGTCGAAAGTTTAACTTCGCTGTTATTATTTGGGTGTATCCTATATTTTGGAGACGGAAGTTTTATTAAATGTAATTCCTGAACAACTTTTTCGTTCTGATTTACTACCTTCATTGTATGCCTCCTGGTTTGACGACTCAAACACTTAACTTTTGGCTAATAGTTCCAGGGTTCGAACCCACTCAATCTACTTCAGCCTAGGCAGCTGGTTGTTTCAGTAAGGCACCGAAAAAAATTGTCACTAATGGCCTGAATTATTGAATTCTATGAACTGAGCTTCATGGCATCCTGAACAGTGCTATGTATAAGTCCTTTCTATTTTTGTACAGAAGAGGTTCCTCTAATGTAAAAATATGATGATTGAATAACTGACTCAAAACTCGACGACTAAATATTTGAATCATTCAGTGAGTAAGTATGATAGTTATTTTAAACTTCGGACTATATTCAATGGCCGTTCATTTTAAAAGATGAAGGTTTAATTAAACACCATTGAAAACCAGCGCAATAGTCCTGAACACCTGTTTTATCAGCCTAGTTTGGAAATCATCGGCAGATTCAATGGCCAGTTAATGAATTCTAACTTCTACCAATTGAAGATTTTAGTGCAACCACCAACCAATGTCATTGGCGTGATGGAGTTCCCGCCGAATCGGTAGAAGTTAGAATTCGTGGGCTGGCCATTGAATTGGGTCCCAGTGGCTGAATGGTATACGAGCCAGCTTGCCTTGTAACCGGAAGATCGTGGGTTCGAACCCTGGCGGTGGGTGCGTATTGCCGATGATTCCCAAACAAGGCTGATGAAACAGCTGTTCGGTACTCTAGTGCTGGTTTTCAATGGTTCTCTGGCTGATATGAATTCGTGGTGAAACTCAAACGGACGTACTAGACAAAGTGAGTTGGAGTACTAAGGTATCTATCCCAGAATCTCTCTCATCCTAGGCGAGCGCTCTACTATTGGCGTTAGTACCTTGACAGTGGTAGCATACCGATGGTAGGATGATCACCAGCCGTGTGGGAGGTCCACGTTCGATTCTTGGTCAACTCAATTCTAAACTTCTCTTAGTTAGATTCCAAGCCGGTAATGAGCTTGTAAACAAGGGAAGGTTGGTGTAAGGCTAACCATCTCATCTCGATATAAACAACACTACTACCGAAACTTCAGAGCTCAAGCTTGAAGCTCTACGCATCACTCGGAACTCAGAGGATGGAAGGAAAATGGCGAAATATTTAAATATTTAGTTTATAAGCATGCGACTGACTTCAAGTTAGATTTCGTTATGAGGTGACATAAGTTAAAGAGATGTAGGAAACCTGCAGATACCTATTTCGTCTTGGTTTTAGAACCTAGTAGCAGTAGTACATTACCAAAACTACGACCATGGATTTACCGAAAGACCTTCAGATTACCAGATCAGCATGTCTACCATCTTTTTCCTGTTAGAATTCTATGCTATGTGAACTCTATCATCTGTTATGGTGAAGTTCAATAATAGTGTCCCAGAAGTGCGAACACTCCAATGACCTTGAACGCATGCTAGTAGTTGGATAACCGCACTTGTCATTATCATAGCTGAAATATCAACGCCATTCACCAACTAAGGAGCAAATTCTACCCAGATCACGTTTCTAAGTACTGTTTGGACAATGTGTTAATAGCTGGTTAGAGTTAGAGTATATAGGGTTAAGGTAAGTATTGGAGTTAGGGTTAGGATAAGGGTCATAATTAGCATTAGGGTTACGTTTAGGGGCAGGATTAAGATTGGTTTACACCTAAGGATAGATTTATAGTTGATGTCATTTATTTTAATTTGTTATTTTATCCACATTTTCCTGGTAAGTAGTCGTCGATCCTCTTACTGGAAACTGTAGTAATTCAACCGAGTGCTTTTGGGGAAGACCGCACAACAGGATAAGAGAGATAGACGATTCACAAAAACAGCTCATCTTTTTTCATCTCGGTGAATACACATGCGAAAACTAGTCTAACTTAGTAGCTGATACTCCTCATTATAACTGGGACGTATTTTTGAGTTATGTCAGAGAAAAATAGCCTGTTTAATGTGTTTTCATGCATTTTCTTGTAAATATACGTCATTTTTTGTGTGTAAAAGTTCCTCATTTTGTATGATTGGTCGCCTGAAGGTCACCCATGCATTCGCATCCCTTGGGACGCTATTGTTGAACTATGCCTCTATCATCTCGTGATACTGCTCCAGTACCAATCGACATCATTTATAGGCAACTCTGTCGTGTTGCTAACATGGCCTATTGAAGAAATCCTTCTTGATATCAAGATATTTATTCACTGGATGGTACAAATGTGTGGTTATCTAGATCCGAGTGTAGCTTTAAATCAATCTGCCAATCAAATGTAGAGTTTCTGAAATAGTCGTGTTTTTGCTATTAGTCCTCCCATCAGTGGTGTTGCTGCATTAGTTACTTAGCCTAGTGATCACATTTCACACTTTGATCGATATTGTTTTGAATAAGACTCATGACCAGACAGCGGCCCCGATTTCCATTCAACAGAGCAATTTCATAAATTATTCATCTCAACAGAGAATTAGTAATTGTGATCAGATGTGTGAGCCAGTAAAATCGAAGTGACAAGCAACTTCCTGTTAACAATAGCTTCTGTGCATTTGTATTGTATTAGTCCACTGTCTTTCGAATTCTGATTCACTTCAGCGAATCCACTATGTCTGTTGTGATTCATTTCACTGTCGTCTCCAATTGGTAACACTTTGTAAACTCTTCATTTTCTGATTTACGAACTGCCTTTGGGCTAGTAGTCCGGAGGCGATTTATTTGAATTCTCTGGCGATGCAGATTTTCTGTCCTGACCTTCAAACGTCATCCATTAATTACATCTATAGGTAGTTTTTCAATCCAACAATATTACAAATAAAATTGCCCGCACTTAGTAAGGTACCTGAACATTTTTTTATACGACTCAATACCATAACCATAAAATTTTGAATAATTTGTATTAATTTTGTGTATATGGGTGTGCATAATTTTCTCATTTAGATGGAAATTCAAGTGGTTGGACGGTAACACCTTATCTAAATGAATTTAAAGTAAGTTGATATCTTTTATTGAATATTACAATGTAAAGCGTCTAACATTTGAATCAAGCGGTTTACCAGGTGACCTTGAACACAACCAATCAGATTCTAGCTTTATTAATAGGAATTTGATACACGAGCTATTCTTACATTTCTACTGGATCCTAAATTTGTAAACAGTCAACAAATATAATCAGCTTGTATCTTTGGTTCTACTCATATGTGCTCATCAGTGAACATTGACGAACAGTTTCAGAGTAGGAGGAAACATTCGTCCAGTTCTCACTGGCTTTATTGATTCACTAACTGAAATACACTTATTGTAAAACTCACATTAAATTATTCAGTAAGAAAAGCTTTATTGTGCATTATAAGTTTACACAATATGCACAGTTTTCAGGGTAGTTTATTGTTTAATATTTGCTCTCCATCCAGGAGTTTCAAGTAAACACAGCCATCTCCAGTACATCATGTGATGCGGTGATGTTAGATTTGAAGAATACAATAAATCTCTACAGTACTTTCCTTTGATCCCACAGAAATGCTCAACAATGGGGAATATAACTGAATGATTATAAGAAAATAAGATGCATTGTCTCGGACGGGAATTCAGCCAGTTCAGAGATTCAAGGAGGCCTCCGAAATCCCTACAGGCCCGATGCACAATGCTGAGAGGTTTTTACAATCGGAAGCCTCTTCTAGCTCAAAGTATGCGGCGCACCCATAAAACTTTTCTTACATCCGTCTGTGGCTACCGGTAGAATGCTCTCCAGCTAGCTTGCGGGTTCAGTTTCGACTCCCCACCGACACACTCCTAAACCAACAAGTTCATCAGCCTGTAGTAAGTCCGTAAAAGGGAGAAGGTTGAGCGTGGTACCAGAAGCTTCAACGCATAAAAAAGTACAACCTCTACTAAAATTTTCAAGCTTGTAGCCCAATATTCCACTTGGAATGTAAGGACACGAAAGGTAACTATTTTTTATTAGAGAGAAGACCAGTAGTTCAGCGAAGAGTCTCTTTACGGTGGCGAATTCATTTTCATAGCTGGACAATCGCATATATATATCTGGTTGTTTTGTATGTGAGTGTGTGTACATTAAATATGTCAAACGAAAATACAATTAGTAAGATTTTGGTGGAGTTACGTAATACAAAAAGCGTTCAGAAGAATTGGATGTTGATATAAGAGGGTAGTAACAAAAGTGATGAGTTGTCACAAATGATTGTTAAAGAAGAGTTACATAATGACATGAAGAGTTTGATGAAAGAGTTGTCCTCAGGGTGAACATAGAAACAAAATAAAATATGGAATTACGTAAAAGTTTTAAGTAGTTAGAAACAACAAGCAAACAAGCAAAAGATAAGTCAGATCAACAGAGTTGTAACCATAGTCGAAGTGGCTGAATAATTTTCTTTCGTATGCATATTTCTTGTTCTACTAACTGAATGGCTAGAGCTTCTGCAATGCAAAGAAGACGGAAGTTTATTGTCCAATGTACCAGGCACCACAGCAACAGGTGAACTGATATATAAACATAGAAGTTGTCACGTGCGATATCTTGTCCTTTGGGTCTTATATGACAATAGGTATTTCCAAAAAATCATACGTATATATTCCAGATTGATAGCAGTTAGAATTCATGAGGATTCTTCAAAGTGACTGTGAATGGTCAACGAGTTTGCCTTGTAACCTGATTATCCTGTGTTTGACTCCTAATGGAGTTATTGGCTCATAATACTGAAGAGTTTCAAGCTAAGACGAAACACATGCTCAGTATTCTTCATTTTTCAATAGTTGATTGACTGAAGTTATCTTGTGATATTGTTACACTTTATTTATATGAATATTTACAGGTATCGTCGACTTCAACGGTTGATTCACTGTCACGTTTATTAACTATAAAACGTAATTATTATCCATCAGTTGCGAATGCTGATAAAATGGAAATATTAATTCTGAAGTGTTGTAGTACAACACAAAGTGCCAGTGTTGATCCCGCCTTTGCAAATATTAAAACAACAGCTAGAGTAAATATTTTGCTCCAACCACCTTTAGTTATCAATAATGGTGATAGTTTGCCTTCAGGTAATTTTTTTTTAATGATTTGATATTTTCTTAATAATTCCTAGAATTTTCTGCCGTATTTGAATTATACTCTGCCATAGTGTCTAAGTTCTATTCTTGTATTCTTCTTCTAAAAGTACTCGGCTTGGGCAACGGTAAAGAACAGACACCACAGTCATTTTGTGGTGAGAGTTGTCTGCTAGTCAAAATTGTATACAACAATTTACGTCTATGTTACTTCCCGAATCGGGATCATGCAGAAAAACAATAACAAGGCTTAACCTCGAGGGACTCAACAACCAATCACAGCAGACTTAACGTGTGAAAATACGATTTGCAGATATATGGCTTAACTTTCTACGAAACGGTCACAATCAGTACAGAACAACCTTCAGTAAGAAAACAACCAATCAGAAGACGTTGCTTCTCCAAGGATATATTAGTTCCTTCGACGTTACATTTACACCCTACTGACGACTGTCAACAAGCACAACACTTACGTTCATGGTTTCTTACTAACTGCCTTCAGCTGATGCTAGCAGAACATTGAATCACTGAGAAAAAATTCCACTCTCATACATCTACTTCAAGAGACTTTAGTTTAATGCAACTCTTCATCTTCGTATAACTGATCTGTAAGGATTCAGCTAATTTTTAAACAAGGTTTGTTTTTATCACAAATTGACATCAATTAGACAAGTGATTATTTGTAAACGAAGGATCAGTAGACATCTTTTGCATCTGATATGGATACGCATTGTTAGTACTCAACTACAACTCCATACAGGATCATTCTCATGAATATTACGCTTCTGGAAAAACGCCTTTTTCAGTGTTCCAAACTACAATGAAGTAATTATGCGGCACACCTTTTGTTTTTCAATGGTTCTTCAAATGACATCTATTCTTAAAAATCCACTTAAAATTCACCGTTTTTAAGATTAATTTATGTGTGCAACTGCACACTGTTGGTGAAACACTACTTATTTTAAATAAGTAGTAAGATTTGTTCTCCAAACTTTTTATAATATATTATTAATTCAGCCTATATCGTTAATCGATTAGTCTTCTATATGAAATTTTTATTTGTTTCCATGTGTTCATTTATTTCCAGATCAAATATTTCCCTATCCTGATCCTGCTTGGATAGAATTATCACCTTGTCCTTGTGATCTAACCAAAGATACTTGTGATCTTGGATGTTCGTGTGACAAAGTAAGTAATTATAAACTAGGGGAAAATTCTGATGTGTTTCTCTGAGCTAGATAGCTGGTTTAATTGCTAATCAATCTTTCGTAGCCTTTCTAGATAGAAACTTCACAGTAGATTTCAATATAAGGTACAGTAATCTGGATAAACCAACCCACAAATGTCCGAGAGTTAACCAATGGAAGTTTAGGTAGATAACAATGCAGATAGGGCGGATAAATCAACTTTATTCTTCATAATGAATGGTTTTCAGTGACTGGGCTAAAGATTTCACCCCTATTCGGACCTAATCTAACCTAATCTCAGTTCAATTTCAGACTCAATCTTATTCTAACTGTAGTCTAACTGCATTATTATTAGTTACAGCAGTACATCATGAGCTGACATTGGTTAGAGAACCACTGGAAAACCTGGCTGTTTCGTCATTCATCAGTACGCACCCACCAGACTGGGGTTAGAATCCACGACCTCCTGGTTACAAGGCGAGCTCGCAGACCATTAAGCCACTGGGACCTGATTCAATGGCCCATGAATTCTAACTTCTGTCAGTTCACGATATATGGCGACCTCTAGCTAATGTCATCGCCGGTGATGTCCTCAGACCCGACCCGCTGCATCCTACTGGTCACGACTTCTCACTAGAAGCCCAGGTAACTACCTACCTGAATAAGGCAAGTTGCCAGTGAGCTTAATGGTCTACGAGCTCGCCTTGTAACCAGAAGGTCGTGGGTTTGAACTCCAGTGTGGTGGGTACGCGCTGATGAAGAGTCCCAAACCATACTGACGAAAAATCTGTCCAGAACTCCCAGGTTTTCCAATGGTTCTCTAACCAGTGTCAGCTCATGATGGAATCCTGTAATTAATTAGTCAATGAAATCCCTACAAACCAGCACTTGATTATTGAAGATTTGTCTTATTTTTCCGATCCTGAATGGCTTTGACATCTTTATCTATACGACCTATAGTTGGAACGATGATGTCTTGATAAGTGACTGAAGTGACTTCCTTCATATGTCTTCGGTTAATATTAATTGACGCTTGTTGTTGTTCTTGTTGTTGGTCAAGTAGATTCATCACTTTTGTCTTCTCTATGTTCACTTTAGTTCCTGTCTTTGCTGTTCACCTCTTCTACCAACTTGTTGGTTCTCACCTGTAGACCTTCGAGTCTGTGGGACATCAACAATTAATCGACCATGAAGCCCAAATCTCCTAAAGTATTTTTGTCGACCTGTCTTGTTGTTCGCCTATAGTCTGCTTCATGATTCACTCCGATGCAGTCAGGAATATCATCGGTGATAATTAGTAATTGGACTTTAAAAATCGTTATAACCTAACGCTAAAATAAGCTGAAGATCCTAAATCTGGATGACAGTCATTTGGATAAAATACTCACACTTCTATGAGACATTTTAAAAAATATGTTGTGTTCAATATTCTTCCGCGTGAATTAGACTGATTTACTGCGATCGCCATGAGTTAACTTCACTTGTACGCTTCTTCGCATAAATCATTCTTCTGTGGGTCGGTGGCACAGTGGTTAGGACTCTCACCGACCATGCACGTGGTCCGAGGTTCGATCCCCTGCCGATGCACACCTGATATCTATGGTCGGCCTGCAAAATTTGGGCTACCGATATCCATGCTGAAAATTCCATACTTGTACCAAAAATACAGTGTGGAATCAAGCTGTAATCAAAAATTAAATTAAAAATTTAACTTAATCACTGGTACAAATCAGTGCAGTGAATCTTGCAGGGGACTACTTGTTCGAATCAAGCGAGGCTTATCACTTAATTTTGTTGGTGACTTAATAACAGACTTGATAACGATACGAAATATCGGAATAAATATCCAAGTAAGTGTAGTCCACCCGGAACAAGCTGGATTCAGGAAAGACAAATTATATGCTGGTCAAATTGCAACTCTACGCATTATGATCATCATCGAGTAAAGCACAGAGAATGGCAGTCAAACACCTCCCTACCTCAACTTCATCGAATTCTAAAATGCCTTCAACAGACAGCGGTGACGGAGAGGTAATTTGGAAATTACTTCAACACTATATAGCGTGCCTTAAATCTTTATCAACCTCATTCAACAGTTGGCTATATGACAATTCCTCATATCAGGTAATTCACAATCGAAAACTCAGTGCGTGTTTGGAGTGCAAACAGGAGAAGTAAGATAAGGCTGGCTGCCGCCTATTATCCCTGGTGATATTCTTAATTGTGTTGTACTGGATTATGCATTAGACTGTGCATTGGAGTGAGAAGATAGAAATAAGCTGGACCACCGCTAAGAAGACTACAGAAGATCTGGGTTACGCGCGTGGATAATTTATATCCAATGTTACACAAAATCGAATACTTGCTGGCGAAAAAATAACAAAATGGACGAAGATGCAGTCATCGAAGACAGGACTTCAGTTGAACATGAAGAAGAAGGAGGCAATGAAGATAATCAACCAACAGCCAGAACAATAACCACTACTAATCACCATGAACAGAAGAGATTTGACGGAGGTCACTGGCTTCACTTATCTAGGAAGTATCGCTTCCAACCACAGGAAGTCGGAACGGATGAAGATGTCAAGGCTGACCAGAATCAGAGAGGGAGAGATACACCATCGATCTGAAATCGGTTTGGAAATCCTCTGCACTTAGTTAACACAAAGAACAAGATTTGAATTTTCAAGACAAATTTTAAGTTAGTTCTTCTATGGGTGTCTCACACAAAACAAACTTGGAGGATCTGGACTTCGCCGACGATGATATATGTCTGATTTCCCACAAACTGAAAGATATGCAAGTGAAAAACAACAAGTTGGCGCTAGAAGAAGCATCAAAGGTAGGACTTTAGGTGAACATAGAGAGAACAGCCAACACCAACAGCAACAACAACAACAGACGACAATCAGCATCAATGGGAGGAACCTGAAAGAAACAACCTCCTCCACCTACCTGGGAAGCATCGTTTCAACTACAGGCGGACAGAACTGATGAGGATGTCAAAGCGAGAATCGGAAAAGCAAGATAGGCTTTCATTACCCTTAAGTCTGTGTGGAGGTCAACAGCACTCAGCATCAAAAATAAGATCCGGATTTTCAACTCCAATATAAAGTCAGTGCTACTCGCTATACGGATCAGAGACTTTGCCAGCGCGTCATAAAGAGCACCTCAAACAAACTCCAGACCTTCATCAACAGCTGTCTTCGCTCAATACTCAAGATCAGATGGCCGGCCAGAAAAGATCAGCAACAGTGAGGGGTCTCTGGGAGCAAACCAACCAGGAATCGATTGTGAATTAAATAAACAGGAAGAAATGGGGATGGATTTGCCATACTCTGACGAAACCATCAAGTGAGTGACATCACTAGACAAGCCATCGCTCCAGTGGAACCCTATCGAATGGAAAGCGACGAGTTGGTCGCCAGTGCGAGGGTGACTTGGAGGAAGTGATGATGTGAAGAGGAGATGAGAGCATGTGGGCAGACTTGGAGCCAAGTGAAAACGGTAGCAGAGAATCGAAGGCAATGGAGACGTGCAGCTGAAGCCCTATGCTCCTCTAGGAATTAAAGGAAATAATAATAATAATATTTGTGTCTTATTCAAGTAAACTCTTTTAACATATAGCTAAACAACGTCTTTATGCGTGTGTGTTTTCATTCGTTCGTGTTTTTCATTTCTGCTTGTTTTTTCATTAGTCCTGTCCAGTGAATCAATCAGCAGCTATACTACCTGGTCTTTTTGGCGGTAATTATGACATACCCAGCCAGCATAGTTGTAATTCAGTATTCAAAACACCGGAGAATCAAAGAAATTTACTCGATTTGATCAACAGAGGCTTTACACGTCAACCAGCCTATCATCCACTTTTATGCCTTACAACTAATAATACTTCTGTACTGGGAAAGTATTATAAGTCATTGACACCAGCCAGCAGTTTAACCGGCTTTGTAAAAAATGCAAAAAATGCAAAATTGGTTTATCCATCCGATCAAGTGATTGATTCAGGAGCTAGAGAGATGATTGTTGATCAAGGGACACAAAAATATCGTCTGTATACTAACGGTGATCCATTGAATTTATTATTAGAGTTAGTTGTTATAACATCGTCAAATGATCCACAAATTGTTGTTAGTCCATATAATGATTATTTAGTTCTACCCAGCGATATGAACTGTGATTTAGAATCGAATATGCCAGTGGAGTATCTTTCTGATCGTAGTGTCTACAGATGTCCTATACGTTTATCAAGTACTCAGTGTCAAAATGCTGTCAACACGAAGGAAAATATAGGCAGTGGTATGAAACGTTTTATATACATACGTTTATATATATGTAAAGTAATTTTCTGTGAACCAAGTAATTGATGATATATATTTTTGATGTGAGGTGGGAACAAAATTATCCAGGGCCAAGTTAAACTTTAAGCACCACTGACACTAGCAATGGAGTGCGACCGCGTTAATGATCTTGAAACACTCTCTGAACAAGTTAGTGAAACGTGGCAAATAACATTGTCATCATCAATAAAATATGCTCATCGTAGTGTTATGCTATTAAATGGGATATCTGGCAAAGTTTCAGGTTTAGGTTTGTGAAAGATTAGATTACGCTTTAAGCTAAGGACAAGACCCTATATCCGCTAACATTGCCCATCGCCTCCCTCGACGAGCAATGTTAGCGGATATAGGGTCAGGCTGGAAAAAAGCTAGCGGCGGTCAAACAAAAACTTGGCACCAGTCAATGAAATCCACAACAGTTGGTCTAAGCCACGTAGGAAGGTGTAGACTGGCTTCCTGGTTGGGGTCCTCGGGACGGTAAAAATCTATGGTTGGAAACAATTGGTGACATGGCTCAAAATCGTTCTCAATGGCTGGCTGGCGCAGATGCATCCACTCCTTGTGACTTATGATCTCCAATGAAACTGTTTTGTTTTTCTTTATTACTCCTTTGTCTCACACCTCTGCTCACTGTTTCTATTATGCTTTTCTTGTACATAACATAACAATGTCGCTTTATTCCAGAAACAGTACTTGTGGTACAGTGTGGAATTTCAGCACATATCTACAATATTGCATCTAATTTCATCGTACATTAAAAGGAGTATTACAAAAAAAATATAAAAAAAACACGACAAAAATAAACCAAAAAAACGAAACACAGAAATAACAAAGAAAAAACAAGAGAAAAGAAAAAAAATGCAAATAAAAAAATACCGAGTAGAAAGGAAGATAAACACTAATAATGAAAAAAAAAATATTTCAGTACCGGGTAATGGAAGCTATGATATGTGTATGCGTGGTGAACAGTAACAGCTATGATCAGACAAGAAGTTATGAACTGATATTAAGAATGTTTATAGCTAAGATGATCACTTAATTTGATTGAACAACACTAAACAATCATAAAATAAACATTTCAGGTTGTGCTTTTTTTTATTGTCAGCACTAATGCAGTGTTAGTAGTCAGTTAAATAGTGCCGAACAAAGAACAACCACAAAACTAATGTTACATGATGGTTAATGACGGGACAATTTTTAATAATCATAGTGATAATATAGTCGGACCCAGTAGATGTACAAAGAAAGAATAGAATAAAGAATAAAAATGTAAGCCAATGATAATAATTTTAAGCAGCTAAGTATGTTTAAGAAGGTTGTTCACTATAGAGTACAAATAAGAGAGTGTAAGGGGAAAAAACAAGGCCAAAATTATGTTATTAACAACAAAACAAGTCATAGGTTTCACGCTTAACATTGTCTCTGTCACTTAGAACACGGGCCAAATATGGTATCGTTGAGTTCCTTCTTTCTTCTGTTGCTTCGCTTGCTACACGGAGTGTGGCGACTTGAACTTCCGCACATTTGTGCAAAGTTCTATGTCGAAAACAGACAGACAGACAGAAGGACAAGTTAGGGTTAGGTTAACCTAATAGAAGCGGCATTAAAGTTGGTTCGGGTTAGATTACACTCAGTTTAGGCATATTTGCAAGTTTGGACTAGGTTTAGATAAGATAAGGGTTATTGTTAAGGTTAGAAGACCTAAACAACTGGATGCATAGAATGTGGTTAAATTACTCTGTTGATATAAGAATAGAACTAGTGCACTATGGCGGTAGAGTATAATTCCGTTATGGGTAAAATTTATTCTGATAAAGTTTCACAGTGTTATACAGTAATATTTACTGATGACCAAGTTTCGAGCGCAATTTATTGCTCAGTAAATATTGCTGCACAACATTGTGAGACTTTATGAAAATAAATTTTACCCACAATGAAATTATACTCTGTTGATACTCCAACCTAAAACTGAGAGCTATTTTTATCCCATGTGAGAGGAAGGTTATCCTGTGTAACACCTTTCTACAGTTTTTATGCATTATTTCATAAATATCTGTATTCCATACACAAAAATGCTTCCTTCACGTGATTGGTGCGTTGTTCGAGGTCATTCGCTGATTGTCAGTTAGTGGTACTTAAAGTTTAACTTTGCTTTATCCAGGAACCTGTTAATTTCTGTTTCTTCACAAGTAATAAGTTTATATAATGATATGAAATTAAAGACGTCCAGCTTTTTGCTGACAAATACTTCAATAATAGTTAACCGATATACATACAACAGTTACCCTCAAGGGTGTTCTACAGAACAGTAATACCTACAGCAAGATAAAATTATGCATTTTTCATTGACCGTTTGACTGGAGTAACTGTGGCTTTACTAAATGTAGACAAATGCCCCGTCATCTATGTCCCCTCTCTCCAATCGCGAAAAATACCCTATGTGAAGTGAAAAACGAGAAAATCCCCGACCATTTTATATAGTGCTGTTAATGGTGTTTTCCGCCACCTAATCGCATGTTATCGCCCATCACTTACCCATGAACGCTCTGTGTACAATAACAGACGCTACACTCTGTGACCTTCGTATAATTTTCTAATATCGGTGTCCCTGTACAAATAGTCTCCTTTTGGCTACCTAGACTTCAGCGACTACTTTCTGTCTGGTGCTCCGAGTATCAACGTGAAGATACTCATCTGGCCACGGATATTGACGGGACCGAGAGTCGAGTTACACACAGCAGCCACCTCCTCATGGCGCTCACTCGGAGGGTGGTCGAACAGTTGAACTAGAAAAGCTTGAAAAATCATCAGCCAAGCATAGTTTGTCTACACGCTAAAGAAACAGGCCACAAAAATGATTTTGACAATATTGAAATCATCATCCAGAAAAAGCATTTCAGAAATCACAAACAACTGTCTAATATCACCAAGAGCACATCATTTTGGTATTTTTGTATTTTTTTAGTAACTTTAGGGTTGAAGACGTTGTCTAGAAAGACACTGAAAGCTTTCCAGTCAAAACAATCTAGCTCATAGAATGGCACAACCCCAAGACTGCTCCCCACCCCCCTTCACTGAGATACAAATTTTTTCCATCATTACTACCTTATACATTCACTTATTGTCATCGTTAGGTCATCATTAAACGCTTATAATTTTCAAGTGTTGGTTTGTAGGGATTTGATTGGTTTCAGGACTTCATCATGAGCTGACAATAGTTAGAGAACCATTGGGAAACCTGGGAGTATTGGACAGCTGTTTCGTCCTAGTTTGGGACTCTTCAGCAGTACGCACCCGCCGGGATTCGAACCCAGGACCTTCCGGTTACAAGGCGAGCTCGTATACCACTAAGCCTCTGGGACCCGATCCAATGGTCCTTGAATTCTAACTTTTGCCAATTCACGACATAGCGCGACCGCTTATAATTTTATTCAAACTTAATCAATACATAGAAGTCATTAAGTCTACTTCATTAATTTCTGAGTTAACTTTATTTCAGACCTCTGGCACGACTGATGTATATATTCCTCTCATTCATTATGTATTCATTTAGGTTGGGGACCAAGAAAACTATGGGATCGTTTGTTTGCACGTGCCTACTTAATTGATGATTTAGTAGTACCAAAGTATTCTACACCAATATTTCGCTTACGTATGAATCGTTTACGTGATAATTTACCGGTACCAACAGAAGTGAACTACTTTTGTTTAAGTCAAAGTGAAGTACAATATTTTATGATTTCTACTCAGGTATGTTCTACTTTTCTGTCAGGATTAATGCCAAAAACTATTTGTGTTTTAGGTTATAGGGTGTCATCATGAGCTGACATTGATTAGAGAACCATTGGAAAACCTTGGAGTGCTGCCAGACAGCTGTTTCGTCCTAGTTTGAGACGCAGTCGCTTGAGTTCGAACCCAGGACCTTCTGGTTACATGGCGAGCGTACTGGTGAAGAGTCCCAAAGTAGGACGAAACAGCTGTCTGGCAGTACTCCCAGGTTTTCCAATGGTTCTCTAACCAATGTCAGCTCATGATAGAATCCTGTAGTTAATCAGTCGATGAAATCCCTACAAACCAATACTTGAATATTTTTGTTTGGATGGCTGACAACCGAGTGTCTTTTTTTTGGTTTACAGCTTGATTCCACACTGTATTTTTGGTACAAGTATGGAATTTTCAGCATGGATATCGGCAGCCTAAATTTTGCAGGCCGACCATAGATATCAGGTGTGCGTCGGCGCGGGCTCGAACCCCGAACCATGTGCATGGTCGGCGAGAGTCCTAACCACTATGCCACCGACGCACTCTCTGTATAATTTATGGGTTGTCAGAAAATATGAATCTATTGTTTGTATTAGGATACTTAGTGTCCATTGATTCATTTTAGCCAACTTGAAGCATTATATGGATGTTGAGCTATGTGTTATGTAATGTACTTCGAGTTATTACTACAACCTCCATCTTGTAGCTGTGTCAGTTTGGCATTTTCGAAATGTGTTATAGCCATTTGTGAAGTAATTTTCTGTACTACTGTAACAAAAGAAGACAAGGGCCAGGCAGCTGGTCGTTTATTCAGAAAATCAACTGATATTTATAGATTTTAATGTACATTATTATTGGCTATTGTAAACTGAGAAACAGCGTCTTCTGATTGGTTGTTTTCCTGCTGAAGGTTATTCTGTCATCACTTTGTTACCGTTTCTTAAACACTCCGTTGATATATATCTGCTAATCGTATCCGCCCACACTAAGTCTGCTGTGATTGGTTGTTGAGTTAGTCTTTGTTCTTACTTGCTGTTTTCGCATGACGCTGATTTGGGACGTAACATTGACGTAAATTGCTGTCTACCAATTTTGGCTAGCGGACAGCTCTCACCACACTTCTAATGGCTATTTAGAAAGCTGTAGGAGAACTCATTCAGTAGTTTTCACTTTCAAAACATGAACTTGGAAGATGCTATTGGTTTCACCCATGTACATATATGTTACCACTCAAAAGCAGGTGAACTTCTCGAGACAATGTGAAGTAGTGTCTGTAGAATTTCGTTTTTCGCAGGAGAGAGAGTGCCCCCAAAAGATTAAGAAAATCCATATGGCATAGTCTACCCTTAAGCTTAATATTATCCCCGCACCAGCCGCCTAAACAAGTTAAGCTGAAGAATTTTCTTGTATATTTGTAATTTAAGCCAAGTAGAGTTAGGTAGATAACTCCACATGGGTTTTGTGCGCTCGTATCAATGACCTAAAAAATATCCAAAGTCTCAGATGCTACAGTTGCGAATAATGATGGTTTTCATTTGATTTAACTTGAGATCAAGACATTGAAATGACCACTACGAAACTGTTAGGGGGATTTAGGAGTCTAAGTTTTCTGATTAGAAAGGTAGGGAAATAACTTCTTGGGACCTGCTACAAATGATCTGCTTGGAATAGCTTTTATGGAAATTCTTTCGTGCAGAAAAACCAACTATTGTTTGCTAAGTGTCATAGGATAAGTCAGGTCAGACCTTTTCTAGCCTCTTTAACGGAGCAAGAAGACAATGTTATAGCAGACTTGAAATTAACAATCCTATCTATCACCAGTAGGAATATACCTTCAAAACCATAACACGGAGTGAGCTTTCCACCCCGTTGTGGTAACTTCTCCTGGTATAATCGCTATTCACCCAACTTTTCTGACATGGTCGGACATGTAGGAAAACAATTGATCCCCGCCAGTATAGCTCGTCAGGTCAATGCGATAGGTAAGACCCATCTTGACATCAAGTTTGTAGCTACCAGTTGGGTTATACAAACTCTGGAAACTTATTATTATTATTATTGTATCCTTTAGTTCCTAGAGGAACATGGGGCTTCAGCTGCGCACCTCCATTGCCTACTGTTTCCTGACAACTTTTTCACCCGCTCCAGGTCTGTCCACATGCTTTCATCTCCTCCTCGCATGACCTCCTCCAAGTCACCCTTGCACTGACGACCAACTCGCCGCCTCCCTTTCGGGTTCCACTCGAGCATTGGCTTGTCTAGTGATGTCACTTGATGGTTTCCTCAGAGTATGGCCAATCCACCTCCAATTCTTCCTGCCTATTTGTTTCACAATCGGATCCTGATTGGTTCGCTCCAGAGATCCCTGTTGCTGATCTTTTCCGGCCATCTGATTTGAGTATTGAGCGGAGACAGCTGTTAATGAAGGTTTGAAGTTTGTTTGAGATGCTCTTTATGACTCGCCAAGTCTCTGATCCGTATAGTAGCACTGACTTTATATTGGAGTTGAAAATCCGGATCTTATTTTTGATGGTGAGTGCTGTTGACCTTCACACACTCTGGAAACTTGTAAGGTTGTAATTCATTTCCTTGCCTGTATTATTCCGTACACATTGGCATCGTATTATCAGTGACACCAGTGCGGCTTGTCTCATAATGTGAAAGTCCTGGGTGCAATTTTCGGTGGGATCATAGGTGCGTACTGATGAAGAGTTCTAATTTAGGTCGAAACCGGTGTTAAGTACTGGCAATTTCTCGATGATTTTGATGTCAGTTCGTCATGAAGTTTACACCGAAATTTCCACAAACCCCGAGTTTGGCTGAAAATATGAATAGTCTTGTCAGTTATCTACTTAAAAAAAAAATGAAGTTGTTAATTCTTACTGCTTATTGTTTCTGAAATAACAATTTAATGCAACTTAGCTCACCTTATGTGTATAGGATTTTCATACATCTGGCAATGTTCCCAACTCGCTCAACCAATTCGAGCGATTATTCAACGTTCGTGAGCTTGAATAAAGCAAGAACAACACAGTGGTTTGTACAAAATAAAATGCTGCCATCATTTACTCAGTTGGTTTCTCATCACCTGTTTACAGCCTAGAGATATTATTAGCTTTATGTACAGAAACAATATTCACGCACTTACCCAGAAAGTTTCAGTTTAAATATAGAAAATATCCCCATTTAGACATTTAGAAAACAGAAATATTGAGCAAGCGAAGAAATATTTACTTTTCAATTAGATCCTGCATCTCACTCTTGCTCTACTCTAATATATATTAAAACAATTAGTCCCTTTGATAAATTTGAATAAGGCATTAAGAAGACAAATTTCGCGAGATGATATCATTTCGTAGTTTCTTTAAAACCGCTTTACAACTGACATGGTTAACAATAATAAAATAAAGATCATGACAATTACTCAGTTAAATAAAAACAAAAGTACATACTAATGACCAATCATATTTAGATAGGTCATGCAGTCCAGGGTAGGCGAAGATTGAAGTCTATTGATTTTTGTATACACAGTCTAGGCTGTATGTGATTAATCCTTAAAAGTGCTTCCATCACCTTCAATAACCTTGAAATAGAGTTGTGTGAAATAATTGTGAAACAGTCATTTATATTGATTGATTTTGTGACCAGACATTAATAAGTGTTTTGCAATTGATGATGCTGGATTTCTAACGCGAACCTAACGCGATTAATCTTAGTAGAAATCCAGCATCATCAATTGCAAAACACTTATTAATGTCTGGTCACAAAATCAATCAATATTAATGACTGTTTCACAATTATTTCACCACATAACTCTAATTCAAGGTTGGTTATTGAAGGTGATGGAAGCACTTTGGATTAATCACATACAGCCTAGACTATGTATACAAAAATCAATAGACTTCAATCTTCGCCTACCCTGGACTGCATGACCTATCTAAATATGATTGGTCATTAGTATGTACTTTTGTTTTTATTTAACTGAGTAATTTTCATGAACTTTATTTTATCATTGTTAACCATGTTAGTTGTAAAGAAACTACGAAATGATATCATCTCGCGAACTTTGTCTTCTTAATGCCTTATTCTAATATATATATCCGTAGCATTTTTTATTACAATACAAGACAACAGTTTACCGATCAAGTGGCACTGATATGTTTGTTAACAATAATTAGTCATTGTCAAAATGTAAAGCAGTGGGGTGATAATTAACGAAAAGAAAAATTAATATATATATAATTAAAAGGTAGAAATGGTTACAACAAGTGGTTTGCATAATGCATAATTTTCGAAAAATGAAGAGCAATTAAGGAATAAGCGTGTGCACAGGTTGATTACGTAACAGATTGTTAAAGAAAATAAAACAATTTGGACAATGATAATTTGTAACTAAAGTTGAAGTGGTCATAAGAATAAAGTAAATTTTACAAGGATGATAACACGTAATTAAAGATGAAGTAGTCAGAAAAATATAAAATAATTTGGACAATTATAGTTTTCTAAAAAGAAAAATTATTCTAGGGGGAGGGTGATGGAGTAGTCCGGTTTATACAGTCATGTAGCGATGGCCAAGGTAAGGAAAGATTAGTAAGAATGCGATAAATAATTTTAAATGCTGAATTAACGTCAACCTTATGCTCACTATCTACAAGGTGGGCTGAAATAGAGCTACGAATAGATCTTGTTTGTCCCTTGCTTAACCATACCGGATGATGTTCGGAAATACGATGATGATGAACCTGACTAATTTTACGCCCGATGTAGCTGGTTCCGCAGCTGTAGTCAAACTGGTAGATACACATAGAAGAGGCGAATTTAGGTAGTTTATCCTTATTACTCGAACGTAGGATAGGTGTGGTTTTGAAGAGACAGCGTACCTCTGCTGCATAATAAGCTCTTTTAACTGCATTCTTCAGTCGTTGTGTTATTATTTCGCTGATGTCGTCACCAAGGAACTGAAGTTTTATGAACAGTGGTTTTTTCGGAACTGTTGCCATAGTGACTGTCCTAGGTGATGAATTCATATTTATCTGGATAACCAGTTTAATCAAAAAAATCAATGTCTGTATACACTGGCGTTAATCATAATAACTTTATTCTAAACAGTCATAACCAATCAAATAAAGGAGAGAATAACGATATACAGTTACCACAGCAAGGAAAGACTGATAACTACCTCTTTCTCAACTCATAAATCGGCTTTCATGCCTTTGATGGAGATTGCTTCAGAAAACTTGAGAGGAATTGAGCTATTTTCCACCTCATCACTTGTGTATCAAAGAGATGCATGGCAATGATACTATTGAAAGAATTCGTTCCCTTGAGATGTGGAATTTTCAGTGCATGTCTAGGAAGTCGGAGGTGTGCCCTTCCTTCTGTTCTCCTAATGTAACTGCTCCCACAGATACATGCGAATTTGTATACATGATCGGAGTGAACATGAGAAGGGTATCTGTGGACTTCCAATTGCATCAAATAGGACATGTTGTCCAATAAAATGAGGAACCAACTCGGGTGCAAGAAGCTTTGTGGTTAGTGACGTATTCAATCTAGTGTTGTCTATTCCTGCAATATTTACAGCCTTGAAATCGATTTGAATGAAGGTAGGCTTTTTCTTTACTGTGATTTGTTTCATTTTTAGCCTTGATATCTTCTGTACTTACCCACGTATATGATGAGGTTAACTGCTGAAAGCGTGCTGACATTTCCTCCTTCCTGGCTTTTTTTGGAAATGATTTGGTGAATGTTGTTCGTTCTTGTGAAATGTAACTGCCTTCTTCTCAGATGAAGTCCCTTGTTCATTCTCTACCTGTTTTAGTTTCTCATATTTTGTTTTATTATTAATGGTGTGGTGTGCCGGTTCTTATGTTTCAAATAAAATAAATAAATAAATAATAACAACGACGCACATACGAAAATATTGAATTTACTATGGAACATGAAAATGACGGAAAGTTCCATTTCCTCAGCATTGCCATGCAACGCCTAGAAGATGGTAGTCTCTAGAGATCAGTTTACGGAGAGCCGACATGCAGTGGACAATAATTGCATTTAAATAGTTTTTCTCCAAATAGCTATAAACGAGCACTAATCAAAACTGTGTTTTGTATAGTCAGGCTCTATAGACAGATTAGAGGAAGAAATTCTGATTTTTCAAAAAGTGTGAAGCCTCAAATACCAAATAAATCATAGAAAGGAAAAGGCCTGTCTTTATTCAGCTGTAAATATTGCAAGAATAGTCAACACTAGATTGAGTACTTCACTAACCACAGCCCTTGCTGTCCCAAGTTGGTTCCCCACTTATCCCAAAACATGACGTATTTGGTTCAATCAAAAGACCACAAGTACCCTTCTCATCTAAAATTTACCTGTGTATACATGTATCTGAGGGAGCAGTTACATTGGGAGGACAGAAGGAAGGGCACACCTCCGACTTCCTAGACATGCACTGAAAATTCCACATCTCAAGGGAACGAATTCTTTCAATAGTATCATTGCCATGCATCTCTTTGATACACAAGTGATGAGGTGGAAAATAGCTCAATTCCTCTCAAGTTTTCTGAAGCAATCTCTATCAAAGGCATGAAAGCCGATTTATGAGTTGAGAAAGAGGTAGTTATCAGTCTTTCCTTGCTGTGGTAACTGTATATCGTTATTCTCTCCTTCGTTTGATTGGTTATGACTGTTTGGAATAAAGTTTTATTATGATTAACGCTAGTGTATACAGACATCTCTGAAATAACGGCTAGAATAATGAAACCGTTTGATATAGATGTAGCACACAAACCAGCTGAATCGCTTAATTCTATCTTATGCAAACCAAAAGATCCGATAGAAAAGGGAGATAAAATTAACACCATTTACAAAATAAATTGTGTGAACTGTAACAAACATTACATCGGCCAAAGTGGGCGTCCCCTTCGAATAAGAATCCAGGAACACAAATCAGCCGTGAAAAGACATGATATAAATTCTTTAGTATCAATACATTCAGACGATCATGGACATCAATTTGATTGGGATAATGTCAAAATCTTAAACAGAGGAAACACCAAATATGCCAGGGAATTCCTAGAAGCCTGGTACTCAAATGAAAACGCAATTAATAAACACGTTAATATAGATGAAATATACCAACTAATAAGAAGTAAATCAGGTGATCAGAAAGTTTAAAATCCCAATCAATAGAAAACGGTCAATAAATATCTAAAGATGGTTACCGGGAGACTCATGAAGAAATTTAAATCATTTCACTTTATCCTAAATACTGCGCTGAAGATGTCGTCCAGAAAGACGATGAAAGCTCCGCAATTAAACCAAGGAGCTCAGAGAACACTTTTTTTGTTAAAACTTGAACTGTCTGGGTAAGTAAGGTAATATTGTTTCTGTAGATAAACTTGATAATATCTTTAGGCTGTAAGCCGATTTGATGAAAAGTCAATGAAATAAGCAATGAGGTGGTACCATATTATTTTTGTACAAACAACCACTGTTGTTCATGCTTTATGCAAATTTATAAAGTAGAATAAATGTATTCAATTTCATCAGTTTGGTTGTTGGAACTGGATTTGTTTACAGCTTAACCATGGATATAAATACCAGTTACACAACCAACAAAAGCCAGGGATAATTCAAACACTGCATAGGCTAATTAATTTCCGTTGGGTTAACCTTCATTCAATCCTCACTCGTATTGGATTAGAGCTTCGTATTTACTGCGTTCACCCATGACTTCATATAATCATGACAATTAGCCTACTTCAACGTTATTCTGACTCTCTGCTTTCGACATAAAACATTGCACACATTTGCAGCATTTCAAGTCGCCACACGTTATGTAGCACACAAAGCAAGAAAAGAAAGTAGGAGAAATGCATAATAGAGACAGTAAACATAGGTGTCAGACAAAGGAATAGTAATAACGAAGAACAACAGAGTTTCATTGGAAATCATAAGTCACAAGGAGTGGATGCATTTGCACCAGCCAGCCATTGAGAACGATTTTGAGCCATGTCACCGATTGTTTCCAACCATTGGTTTTTACCGTCACGAGGACCCCGACCAGGAATCCAGTCTACATCTTCCTACGTGGCTTAGACTAACTGTTGTGGATTACATTGACTGGTGCCATGTTTTGATGTGACCGCCACTGGCTCTTTTCCAACCTGTTCCATCCTATGTTAGTTAACATGGCCCGTCGAGGAAGGCGATGACTAGGCATGCGTAACACATGTCCTAACTATCTCAGTCGATGTCATTTTACAACCTGGTCGATTGATTTCTCCTCCCACCTATCTAGCACTCAACCGAAGCCTAACCTCAATATTGCTCACCTTATCATGCCACTTCACACGGGAGATAGAACGCAGGCACCTATGATCAAAGACAGCTAATCTTTTCATGTCTTCCACTCTCAGTGGCCAGGTTTCACAGACATAAAGGAGGACGGGGCGGACTGATGAGCAGTACACCCACCCTTTGGTCGATAGTTGGATATCATGTCTGCGCCAGAGACGGCGTAAACTGGCATATGCGAAACTAGCCCTCTGTATCCGTGCTGAGATTTCGTCAGACATCAACCCTTTTGGCGTTGGCTGATGGTATTTCCCAAATAAGTGAAGTGGTCCACACACTCCACCAACCATTTCACTTCCTATTTCTAATCTAGGAGTCGGTGTAGCCCAGTCCTGTAATATCATCTTACATTTCGCGCGAGCGAATCGCATGCCAAACATTCGTAGATTGCAGCTCAAGATGTTCAGAAGACTCTGCCCGATTTTGTCAGCATCCTCGCCTAACATGAAGGACTATATCATCGTTATTATTTCTTGATGAACTTGTCTGGATAATTCTTATCAGCCAGAGTTTGTATCAACTTTCTTTCGTCCTCATCACGTGTGTCTTCAGTGCATATTCCTTGGATTCTACTGAGAAGAGGCACCCCACTAAAACTCTTTTATACTGAACAGGGTAGAAAGTGTGATAATTAAGATACTATCCTGTCCATGTAGGAAGAAGGATAGTTGACAGAAACTCTGTTTGATAACAATTATCCAGACAAATTCATCAGGAGATATCAGTCAATATAAAATATGCTCGTACCACTAAGTACAGAACTTCTACAGTATCCTATTTAGCCCGTACTTTATGTGACGAAGACTCTGTTAGACGTGAAACTTACAAGTTACTATGTAATTAGCACAGTGAATCGACCCTTTTATCGTTCATCTTTCTGTATTTTATGGTGTTACACTTTCTATCGTTTAAATCGTTACTCTGCTATTTTATATTAGTTGGTATTACTATTATTACTACAATTTTGTACTTGATACATATTTTTCTCCGTATGGCACACAGTATTTTGCTACGCAGCTGCTACAACAATCGTTTTATTACTATTATGTATTGTGTATTTTTAATTTTTTTGTCGTTTTTGGGTAAATTAGATGCAATATTGTACTGAATGCTGAAAATTCCTTGCTGTATCATGAGTACTGTTTTTGGAATAAAGCAATTATTATTATTATTATTATTATAAGTAATCAGAATACCAAGACCCGCTCTCCAACTCGCTCTCCCTAAGAAAGACGTGTACATCAAGCTACTGTATATGGGACATCGTAGCAGCTTGATAACTAGACAAAGATTGAACGCTGGTGTTAAAAAGACTGTTTATGTCGTGATTATTCCCATTTTTAAACTAATTAATCAATATACTATTAAACCATTTTCTTTCCTTTTTATCTCTGAAATATGTCTTCTCTGTTTGCTGCTGCCCGATATGAATTAGTCAACCATCAGTGTAGACCAGACTGGTTTTTTCAATCATAATTGTACCTATAATGAAATTACCAAGTTGACCACGTGTATTCCATCGAAAACTATCAGTACAACAACCAGTTTAACACCAAGTATTTGTAATTGGCATAACAGTTTCACTTTTCCACCGGATGTCAGCTATTCAAATAATATATGTAATAATGTTGTATTAAAAGTGGATTATAAGTAAGTACATTGTTGTGTGTAACTGAAATAAGCGCTTAATTGTGGGTGCTTTTTTTTTATTCCCTTCACGTTCCAGTGGAAGGTGGGGCTTGTAGTAGTGGTGTTTATTGCTTTTACGCAATGGGTTTGCTAGCCTCATGCCCAACCTCCCCTTTCTGCCAGCCCTACTACCGACTTAGTGTGGGGTAAAGGAGCACGTTGACTGGGGATCGAATTCTGGACCATATATGCGTCGTCAGCGAGCATTCTACCTCTGTGCCACCGACTCATTGTAGGTGTTATTAGACTGTTAATCCCTTGATTTTTTTTTGTTTAAACGCCTTTTAATCGAGTATACCTTACTTAGCTCGTGTTCTGTGCGATAAAGAAAGCATTAGGCATGATACTTATAACTTATTAAATAGTCAGTAGAACAATTGGATCTCGTCTTTCCAGCTCATATCATTTATAGGTACAACGTTTTCTTTCTTTATTTTGCTTTTCTCTCTCTCTTTTTTCTGTGTTATGTGGTGTTTTGTTTCTCTCTTCCTTACAAACTCTACTTGAAACATTCTTCTTCGTTCTTTCACACTCTGTATATCTCGACGTTTTTGTTACCGCTTAGGCCAGTAAATATGCTAGTAGTATCTACTTTACTAACACCTTCAAACACTCTGTTCAATTTTCGGCTTTGCTACCGACATGCCAATATGTTGTTGTCATAATATACTGAGATTACCCTAATCTATATAGAATTGTCTTTATTGTTAATGTACTAACTGAATGCAATACTGTATGTAGTGAAATGCTGAGAATTCTCTTCTGTACCACAAGTACTGTTTTGGAATAAAGTAAATTATTATTATTATTTTTTTAGAAAATAATTGTACCATTTTTTTCTGCACAAACACCACTGCTGTATTCTTACTTTATTCAAATTCATATGTAAGACTTTATTCACAAATAAAGAAGTTCACATAGTAATCAACAGAGATGCTGGTACAAATGAGAAATTATATCAAAGCCATAGGCGCTTCTAAGAGTTTATTCCGTCTGAATTTCTTATTCTTCAACGATAGGCAAGTATCACTTGTTTTTGTAGTCATAATTATCTAGACCATTCAATGTGGAATCTAAATGGGAAGCGACAAGTGGGTCATTATTGTGAAAGGTGACATGGAGGAGATCGTGTGGCGAGGAGGAGGAGGAGGAGATGCGAGATTATGGGCAGTTGTGGAGCTAGCCAGCTGAAGAAGACAGCAGAAAATAGAAGAAAGTGGGGTTGTCTTGTTGAAGCCCTATGTTCTAATCGGAACCCAGTGGTGTCCGACAGCGATGTCCACTCTGCCCATTTCTGTTTAACTTCATCATAGATATGCTGATGGAAGTATCCTTAACTGAACGTAGTGACTTAGGAATCGACTTGTTACCAGGGAATAATCTTATGGACTTAGAATATGCAGATGACATAGTCCTGTTAGGGAGGATGCTGACAAAATCCAGCAGTCTTCTGAACACCTTGAGCAGCAATCTTCGTATGTTTGGCATGCGATTCGCCCCTGTTGTAAAATGTAAGATGCTGCTACAGGACTGGACCACGTCAACTCCTAACTTAGTGATAGGGAGTGAAGTGATAGAACATGTTGACCACTTCACCTATTTGGGAAGTTGTATTAGCACCAACGAACTGATTGGCGATGAAATCTCAGCACGGATCCGAAAAGCTCGAGCTGCTTTCGCTGACTTACACCATCTCTGGCGTAGGCGTGACATCCGGCTATCAACCAAGGGACGTGTGTAATGCTCATCAGTTCGCTCCGTCCTTCTCTATGGCTCTGAAACATGGCCAATACGCGTTGAAGACATGAAAAGGTTGACTGCTTTCGATCATAGATGTCTGCGATCTCTTTCTCACGTTAGGTGGTGTAATAAGGTAAGTAATGTTGACGTTAGGCGTAGAGTGTTGGGCAAAGAGGGAAAATCAATCGACGAGGCTATAAAGTTACATAGACTGAGATGGCTAGGTCAGGTGGTGCGCATGCCTAACCACCGCCTCCCCCGACGACGGGCATTGCTAGCTGATATAGGTTCAGGTTGGAAAAGAGCCAGTGGTGGCCAAACAAAAACATGGCCTCATCAATCCATGAAATCCTTGACAGTTAAACTGAGTCAGGTAGGGAGATGCAGACTTCCGGTTTGCAGCTCTCGGGACTGACTCTAGGAATCAATGGCTGGAGACAATAGGTGACATGGCTCAAAATCGTTGTCAATGGCGCAGATGTATTCAGTCTCTGTAATCTTTCATATTCCTTTCTACCATTACCCATTCTGTTTCACTCTTATACTTGTCAGACTGTATTGATTCTCTTCACTCATCTTCTTGTCTACCTCTGTGTGCTATTTGGAAGGTGGCAACTCGAACTGGTGCACTTCGGTGCCAAGTTCTATGTTGAATCCAGACAGACAGACAGAATCGGAACCCAAGTGAATAGTAATATTACTCAATGTGAACAAAATATCCTTTCCTTTTATTCAGCCATATTTAATATAACAGATCGATAACAATTCAGAGGTTTGTCAGCATTTATCTTTGCTTTCTTTCTTCCTTTGCAACTAGGTTTGTTTATTCTAACGGGAGCATAGCAAAAGCGATAGCTCAAGTCTATTTAGCTAATCTACCTGTAACAACATCAGAAGTTACTTATTATCAAGAATATTCTGTTAAATTTATACATACTACTGAAGTAGACAATGAAGTGAGTACAAAATTACCATCACATTTATATGGTAAGTAAACAATTTTGTGAATTTATCCAGATAAATTTATCTCTTAATACGTTTTATATTTTCCGTCACAGGTTAGAAGAATATAAGTGCAAAGGAGTTGTGTATTAATTGATTAATTGCGATCAGTTTTCAAGAGTTTGTTTGTGGGGATTCGACTTGTTTCAAGTTTGATCACGGATTGATATTAGTTGGAGGACCACTGGAAACTAGCATCTGTTTCGTCCTACTTTATAACTCATCATCATTATGCACCCACCACAGTGTTTCTAAACCAGAACCTTCTGGTTATAGGGCAAGCTGAGATTCGACTCAGTGGCGACCAGCGCATGAATTCTAACTTCTACTAATTCGTGATTTTTTAGCTTGACTACCAGTCAGTATCATCGGAAGAGAGTATCTATCCATGCTCCCGACGGGATGATGAACCCGTGTGAAGTGGTATCACAGGGTGAACAATATTGAAGTTAGGTGTCGGTCGAGTGCTAGGTAAGTGGAAGGGAAATCAATCGATGAGGTTGCGAAGCTACATCGACTGAGATGGTTAGGACATGTGTTACGTACGCATGCCTTGTCATCGCCTTCCTCGATAACAGACTGGAAAAGAGCTAGTGAGTGGTGGTCGAACCAAAACATAGCTCCATCAGTCAATCAACTCCACAACATTTAGTTTAAGTCAGCAAGTCACGTAGGAAGGTGTAGACTTCCTGAATGGTTGAGGTCCTCGGGACAGTAAGAACCAATGAAGGCTGGAAACAATTGGTGACATGGCTCAAAATCGTTCTCAATGGCTGACACAGATGCATCCACTCCTTGTAACTTATGATTTACATTGAAACTATATTGTTCTTCGTTATTACTATTCCTTTGTCTGACACCTCTGTTTATTGTCTCTATTATGCATTTCTTCTACATTCTTCTCTCGCTTTGTGTGCTACATAACGTGTGGCGACTTGAAATGCTGCAAATGTGTGCAAAGTTCTATGTTGAAAACAGACAGACAGAGAGACAGACCTCAGGGGTCACGACTTCTCACTAGAACTCCAGGCAACTTCGTTCTGCAGCCAGTTAATTAGTCGCTAACAAGCATCAGATTAATTTTCAAGGGTTTGTTTGCAAGTCATTTATCAGTGAAAGGAGGGAAACTTCAACAACTTATCGGTGGTTCCATAGCAGTAGAATGCTCATCAGTCCCTCAAGTGGTCAAGTCTTGATTCGTAGACGACGCACTTCTAAGCTTCATCTGATTTTGTCAGGAAGTGATAAGCTTGGAAGAAAGTATAGGTGGGGTGAGAGGCTAGCTCACACCTCACTCTTTAAATACAACACCGTCGCTACTGCCACTTCAAAGCGTAAAGCTTGAATTCCTATGTTCTACTCACAACACAAAAAGGAGCGAAGAAGCAAAATACATTTAAATAAACACATTTTGTACGTGTGTAATATACACTGGTTATTTCATAGACAGACGACTGTGAACAAGTAATTGTGAAAATATGTTAACTACACGTTTCTTGACTAGTATTTAGATTCATTCAAATAACACTTTTGCCAAGTTTTTTCGGTGGCCAATGTCTTATCCGTACCTAAAAGACATCTTATATACAAATTTCAGTGACCTTTTCAGACTTTGGATTAATACTTTGATAGTGAACAGCGAAAAGTTACAAAATCCAGGTGAAGAGTGTCTTTTGAACCATTGGTGACGTCTTTTGAGTAAGATGCTTTATACTGCTGACTGACTCATATGAGTGACCATATTAACCAGTAGTATGCTAGCTGGATCGTAATGATCTAGACACCAGACAGCCGTCTCTCTGGTTCAGCGCTGAATATAGGCATATTTATTGGCGTCCAACAACCGTCATATTTATTAACCTGGAAGTGGCATTCGATTCCGTTGACCGAGATGTACTATGGCGATGTTTAACTGTGAAAGGAATGCCGAGAAAATACATCACACTGATTAAGTTGTTAACTCTAATCGAACTCATTCAGCCATGTGAGAGCCTATGGGGAGTTGTAATCTGCAGTGATGGAAAGCAGTGGTCGTCTCCATCAGGAAGGATTCTCAATATCTCCTGAGTCTTCTGAACACCTTGACAAGCAGCAGTCTTTGAATTTTTGGCATGTGATTCGCTACTATCTAATATAAGATGATACTATGTCGACTCACTCCTAGTTTTAAGATAGACAGGAGTGAAGTGATAGAGCATATTGACAACCTCACCACATATTTGGGAATTTGCATCAACCAGTTCCAGCGGGTTGAACACTGACGAAGTCTCAGAATGAATAGAGAAGGCTTGTTCAGCATATACCAACTCACACTATCTCTGGTTTAGTAGACATGATGTTCCGCTAACTATTGACCAAAGGACATGTGTACTGCTCAGCAGTTCGCTTCATCTTCCTCCTCTTTTATGGATAACTGTAAGATGCGGCCATTGAAAGTGGAAGACATGAAACGACTGACTGGCTAGCTGTCTGTGATCATAAATATCTGCGTTCTGTCTCCTGTGTTAAGTTGTAGATGTAGTAGGGTGTGTAATTTTAAGGTGAGGTATCGTCGAGTGGTATGTCGTTGGGAGAGAATATCAATAGACAAGGTTATGAAGTCACATAGATTGATATGGCTAGACCATCTGTTACGCCCCTTAGCTGACAAAGGATTTATAAGGTTGGAAGAGAGAGAGTTAGCTAGTGGTGTTCAAACGGAAACATGGCTTGATCGGTCAATGAGATCTTTAACAGGTTATTTTAAGCCAGTCACGTGGAGAGCTGTAGACTTTCTGACTTGGTGGGGTCATTGGTAAAAACCGATGACGGCTGGAGACAATTGTTGATATGGCTCAAAATCGTTCTCAATGGTCAGCACAGATGCATTTAGTCTTAATGATTAATCATAACTAAGGAACGTCTAGTGTTTTTCAGTAGTAGTATCTCTCTTTCGAACCTCTCTTTTCTCTCTTCTGCTGCTTTGCGTGGTGCATGGATGGAGAGTGATAACTCGAACTGCACATCTGTGCAAAGTTCTTCGTTGAAACCAGTCGGCAAGTTAGTGCCGAGCTCATCAGTGGTGTAGCCGTTGTGTGTTCACACCACCATATTTCGACTGCAGAGCACTACTGGAGTTGAGTTAACGTCTTGTATAACATTTTAAAAGCTGAATTTTTGTCAGTCTGGTGCTCTGTATCCACTAAATGTGCCAGTTTGGAACTTCTGACTGACTTTACGAAACTGCAATGAAATTTCAGCTCGAACTTTATGTTATGTACTCGTCGCTAAATTATTGTTATGGACTGGTCGAGAAACTAATAGTCCTGACGCGAGAAGGCGGAAATCAGAAGACCACTAGGTTTGCGATGATACTTCTATTGTCCAAACACAAGGAGACAAAAATAAATGGTCTCACACCAAAGTGGTAAGTAAGTAAAGTAGTTGTAAAGTAAAGTCACAAGATTGTGAATGCGAAATATATATGAATGTTCCAGACAAAGCGTGGGAGCAAATCATTAGACAGTCTTAACATGAATGGCTAATTATAATGGAGTGTCGATCCAAATATACATAGCGAATATAGCAGACATGTCAACAACCATATATGGATATATGTCACCAAGCAACGGACTGTCAACAAACACTCATATTATATATAATATAATATAAGGAGAATACACATTATTAAAGGAGACAAGTTCATACAAGTGAAATGGTCACAGACTAAGCGAGCAAACAGAAAGAGAGACCAACATACACACACACATAAATATATATATGTGGATACATATCACTTTGTCAATTGCAAATGGCGAATCCATAAGCGTTTGGTTTGATTGATTGATTCCACGGTGAATATCGGCAAATCCCCCAAAATCTGACACTCGAAAATCAACCCACTGATCATTAGTAACTGAATGTTGGATAGATTTCATGGAGTACTGATGGAAAGTTGTTACAGGTGGGTTAATGGCGTGAAGTGGGATGACAAATACTGACTTATGGCACTGTATCAGTAATGGCGCTATATCGCTCACACCGGCAACAGTAAAAATTCTTGGGTCACTGGATTCCGTACCACTGACAAAATGAGTGATAAGCCTATTCCAGTAGACTGTGGGTCCATTCCTGATAGGATGGGTCGTGTACACAGAAATATGACGTTGATGCTGGAGGTTGAGTGGAGTATGACACGTATCACCAAAAGAACTGAAACCATGGGAACGAGAGAACGATAAGCGAGGATTAAAAAAATGCAATACTGGTGACCATCAGATTTAAGCGCTTATCACTTTAATTGAGTTTCCGAAGTCATAAAGATGCATTTTTGAAAGAATGACTGGTGTCTAACTATTCAGTTCAGCATTTGTGCGGAGGACTGATCCATACAATAGCAAAGCTCCTAATCAGCTTTCCAACTCAGCATTTAATGGATGACAGAAATGACGTTGATATTACCGAATTTTTCTCAGTTCTCAGCACAGACTAAATGTAAAAATACTTGCATTTGCCGAAATCAGTTAAAGAACCATTGGAGACTAGACAGTACTGGACAACTGTTTCGTTTTAGTGTGGGACTCTTTACTAGCACCATAACCTTCAGGTTACAGGGTAGACCAAATGACCACACACCTACTGAGACGGAATCCGATAATTGGCCAGTGGATTTTAACTTCTGCTGATTTGTGATACTTGGTGCCACTACTAGACGATGCCATTGTCGGGAATTTGTCTCCTCATACCTAACTTGGTGGATTTCACTGGTTTCAAGTGGTTCTATGACTGTTGATGTAACTTGATTCCAACCATATGCCTGCAAGTCGACATTTAAAATACTTTGATTTGCAAAAAAATGACAGTTTCGTGTTTTGAAATTAAAATATCTGTCAAAAAGATACCTTTTTATGATTTCAGTTCATGATTACTGGAAAGCATAAATTATAACTTAATGCCTGAGTGTTGACATCCTTAGTTTCTTAGAAGAAACTCAGAGTTACTCGGTATGGAGCTATCAGTTCACTTAGTGTATGAAGGTTAAGTGTAGCGAGGTTCGAACTTGGGAAGTATTAGCTGAGAATTGAGTGCTTAAGCTCATGGTGAGAGCTCTCTGCAAGAAAAAAATTGTGGACAACAATTGACATCAATGTTTAAGTCCCGAATCGAGGTCATGAGGAAAAACAAGAGCAAAGCTTAACCTTGAGGAACTCAACAACCAATCAAAGCAGACTTAGCGTGGGTGGATACAACTCGCAGATATATGGATAACTTTGTAAGCAACGGTCACAAGCAGTACAGAATAACCTTCAGCAAGAAACCAACCAATCAGAAGACGTTGCTTCTCTACTAACAATAACGTATAATAATGTACATAAAAATCTACAAAAATATCAGTTGATTTTCTCAACATTTCTCTCACATTGATGAGATATCAAATCCTCTCTGTATCATAGATATACATTTATCGTGAAGTTTCAAATTACAGTGGAACAGCTAACTTGCACCTCTATGTACAACAGTTGAGTTATTTCCATATTTAAGTGAACTATCGCATAATTTAATTTAATTTTCAAATTTCTTATCCTTAAATTATTGTATAAATATGGTTTTTGTTTTTTTTAACCAAACTTTGGATTAAGGCTATGAAATGGACGATCTCTTGGTTGTTGGCAAAGTGACATCTTCAGCTACACAACGTTTTCTTGTTCAAACTGACAACGAAACTAATATTCTGTCTGGTACTGTTAAGGCAGGTATGAATTATTATTATTTTTTTATTTACAGCTTGATTCCACACAGTATTTTCGGTACAAGTATGGAATTTTCAGCATGGATATCGGTAGCCCAAATTTTGCAGGCCGACCATAGATATCAGGTGCGCGCCGGCGTGGGCTCGAACCCCGGACCATGTGGATGGTCGGCGAGAATCCTAACCACTGTGCCACCGACGCACATTCATTCATGACAATTCTAGTAACTCCTCCTCTTAATTTGTAAAACAAAAAACTTCACAATACGATTTTCGTCAATTTCTTCTAAGAAATTCGGGACGATTATCCAAACCACATGTAGAGTGACGCGTAAAATACAAAGAAAATCCGCAGGATTTGTCTAGACTACGGTCCTATATTAGACTTTTTTTATTCCTTTACCTGCGCAGTGGAACATAGAGTGGCTTCAAGATAGAGACTTGAAGTCTTGGTAGCAGTGGTGTTTATTTTTACGACATGGGGTTACCACTGGCCTCTTGCCCAACCTTCCCTCTTTACCAGTCATATCACTGTCTTACCGAAGAGTAGGAGTGAGTCACTGGCCAGGGATTGAACTCAGGACCACCTACATGGCTGGGGAGCATTCTACCGCTGTGCTACTAACGCACATATTAGACATAAAATAATGAAACACTATATGCAAACCTCGAATTGCCAGGTATCTGTGGCTGAATGACAATCAAGAGCACAATCGATGTGAGACGATAAGAAAAACATCAAAGCTGTGTCAAAAGCCGATCCACGTGTAGATTTAAACGGCGAGCAAATGCCAGACTCAGAATATAGGGATACAAATAGACAATGTTTAGAAGGAAAGGGTATATAAAAAGGTACATACGGAGTATAATGTTTAACTACAAGAAAATAATTACTATGCATCAAATGGATTAGTAATACATCATGGTTAAGAATTAATAAATATACTCATACTACTCACTAATGGTAAGTAGTATAAATTTTGACACAAAAGAACGAATAACAAAGGACATGAATTACCAATATAAATAGACTATTAAAATGACGTTGTATAACAATTGAAGTGCCAATCGAGAAGGCAGTAAACTTGGTAACGGAATGTTTATTTGGAACCAGATGTCTCTATGTAGGAGAAATACGTACACTCTATATGGAAATCGTCAATTACACAGGTCTTCCGTCTGGTGCTACTTCTGCCCCTCCTTCATATCGTGTTGTCTTCTTTTCGAGTCTCCCATGTTTCTTCTCATTACTGGTGGTTCATTTCCTCTTCCTTTCTCTCTTTGAAGTCAAAACTATCTCTCGGTTATTCGATATTTTTGTCCCGATGAACGTATCTTTTTACATATAATACTACTGATAAATCTTGTCTGTAATACATGACACAGAAGTAAGTAGATGACGCTTTTCTCTGATATTGATAGGGAATATTGGCGATGTTGGTCCCTTTGTTGCTCCAACTCAATGTATGGCCCTTAAAACATTTAAAATCGAGGTCTTTAGAAAAACCATTATATAGAGAAATAGAGGAAAAGTGATTCAAGACATTACATTTTATCATTAATAGTGGAAGGTGTTGGCTGTAGTGTTATGATGTTATAAAAAGCAATTAGGCGCACATGGGAAGAATTAAGAAAAGGTGACTAAAACTATCAGTGGTGTGGTATGGCTCAACGAAAACTTACATCCAGGTATTGCTGAGGAATTCGGAATAAAATCGATCATTATTACTGTTATTATCCCCTTGGATTCTGGATATCTGAAGAATATGAAGGTACCTAATGAAACAGAAAAGAGTTCTGGAACGAGTTCAAGATGACGAAATTATTTTATATATTTTGTTAGACCAACGTGTTGTCAGCAGTGATTAAATTTATGAATTTTTGGAGTAAAGGTATAGATTTCAGTTGCATTGCTAACCAAGTTGAATAGGACAGCAGAAAATAGAAGAAGATGGATATGTGTTGCTGAAGCCCTACATTACACTGGGAACCCAAGGGAATAATAATAATATTACTCTTACAATTAGGCATAATCTCGTTATGTTACTGTTATGTTGCTGCTGCTGAGTGGTTAATATTAGTTTTCCCCGTCGCCAAATTGTTATGTACTCGTCGACAAATTATTGTTATGGACTGGTCGAGAATTTAATAGTCCTGACGCAAGAAGGCGGAAATCAGAAGACCACTAGATTTGCGATGATACTTCTATTTTCCAAACACAAGGAGAATGCAAAAGTGGTATCACACCAAAGTGTCACACAAGATTGTGAGAGCGAAATATATATGAATGTCCAGACAAGTGTGTGAACAAATCAATAGACAGTCATAACATGAATGGCTAATTATAATGAAGTATCGATCCATATATACATAGCGAAATATAACAGACATGTCAACAACCACACATATAATATGGATATATGTCACCAAGTTCAGACTGTCAACAAACACACATATTATATATAATATAAGGGGAATATACATTGTTAAAGGAGACAGGTTCATCAAAGTGAAATGGTCACAGACTAAGCGAGCAAACAGAAAGAGAGACCAACACAAAAACACACATAAATATATATATGTGGATACATATCAGTTACACAATTATAATTCATTTGGATTATCCATTTTATTGTTCCATAAGTTATTCTGTTTTCAGGTGTCGATATGCTTTGTGATAATGCAGTGAAAGATCAATTTAAATTTGGGATAAATGTAGTCAGTTCCTGTCGTGTTCTACTTGGTCTAAGTGATTTTGCGAATTGTGACAAATTAAGGTAAGTTTTAAAATGGATTATGGTGAGATATTGTAGGGATACTGTGACTGATTGAAAGCTTTTTTGTAATGAATTGAAATTTGTATTTATGTACAGTTCAATGCAGATATTTACACTTGTTTTTGTATTCATAATTCCATTGAACCATCCTACCGTCGTTAATCATAAATCCTGGTGTTGTCAAATCTTATCCTTTTCAAGTTGCATTACGGATTGATAGACAGCTCTTGAAAATCAGAGAGTATTAAAGAGATGTTTCCTCCTTATATGAGACTTTTCGAAGGTACGCACTCATTACTACCTCACCGGGAATAGAACCCAGGAAATTCAGGTTATAAAGTCAGCTTGTGGATGATTCGGCCATTGGGTTGTTAGTTTTAGATACTAAGCGCTGTCGTCAACCAGTGCTCTGGGTTCGACTTCCATGATAGTCATGGGTACATAGAGATGATGAAAACTCGCAAACCAGGAAGTAGCAACTGCTCAACTCCACTTTATTTTCACTGGTTCTCTAACTGATATCAAACCATCATCAAACTTGAAACAACCATTCAAGTCCCCAGAAAAAAAAAACTAACACCTAAAAACTGATTCTTTTTCTAGTATCTTCAAATGAATCCAGATAGAATGTATTGCATAAAGTCCATCTTTTATTTTCTCCTTGATCATTAAAGTTATTAGGAGAGACAATTATATCATTATAGTAATAATCCCCATGGAAACATAAAAATGGAGAATTCGGCGAAGAAAATTCTCTTTTTTTGGACGATTTCATTTTTATAGCTGATTTTTTTCTTTTCATGTCTCAATGGAGATCATAAATTTAAATCGATAAATGTTAACCTAAAGTTCAATAGATGGGTGTGAAATAGATGATCGGATACACCCTAAACACGTTTTATAGATAGGCTTAAAAGACGTGTAAATATTGATTTTGAGTCCTGTCTCTATAATATGTTTCGCAATAGAGGAGCTACGTCTCCTATTCTCACTGTCAATAGGTTCTTGGGATTCTGTTTGCTCCTCTACTGTGAAACATATTATAGAGACTGTAATGTACTCGTCGCCAAATTATTGCTATGTACTGGTCGAGAATTTAATAGTCCTGACACAAGAAGGCGGAAATCAGAAGACCACTAGGTTTGCGATGATACTTCTATTTTCCAAACACAAGGAGACACAATAAGTGGTATCACACCAGAGTGTCACACAAGATTGTGAGAGCGAAATATGTATGAATGTCCAGACAAGTGTGTGAACAAATCAATAGGCAGTCTTAACATGAATGGCTAATTATAATGAAGTATCGATCCATATATACATAGCAAAATATAGCAAACATGTCAACAACCACACATATAATATGGATATATGTCACCAAGCAACGGACTGTCAACAAACACTTATATTATATATAATATAAGGGGAATATACATTGTTAAAGGAGACAGGTTCATCAAAGTGAAATGGTCACAGACTAAGCGAGCAACAGAAAGAGAGATCACCATATATATATATATATATATATATATATATATATATATATATTTATATATATATATGGATAGATATCAAGACAGAACATAAAATTGATGTTTATACGTTTTTAAAACCTATCCATGAAACGTGTTTGGGGGTATCCTGAAGATTTTGGTAGCCTTAGCTGGCATTTGGAAAGTTTAAACCACCTTTATACGTTCAAAGCGAAAATTCTTCATCACTCTAAACCTTCCTTGGTAAATTTTGTTTTGATACCAGCCGGGGCAGATGTACTATTACCTCTGCAAATTGGTGGTTTAGTGGTCTTCATTGTTATTTTGACCTTGAATATGTCCTTTTAACTTGACCTAAGTAGTCTATTTTCTCATTTCTTAAGTTCTTATTAATTTCATTTAAATATTCCTATGACAAATCTGTGTGTGATATGATGGTTCGAAATGTGTGTTGCGCAAATACACAATACACGATTCAAACAAATTACGTCTTCTTATTTCTCTGTTTAAATAACAAAGTTTTCATGTGAATTATATATTAGTAAAATCAAGACCATGGTGACGAAAGAGATCGTAAAAAATTGTTTTTTTTTCCCAAAGTTCTGGCTTTATGTCTTCTGTATTGCGAAAGCCTGTGCTATACAACAAAGCAAATGCACTCGAGGTCTCCCGTTCGGCAATCTTTGTCGAACTTTGTTGACTATATCAAAACGATGTGTTCAGATGTTGCTTAGTGGTCAGTATCTACAATATGTTGCAATATCAATGAATTAATACCTTTACGCTCTCCTTTGCTCAGCCAACCTGGAGGGTGCTCCCGAATGTGGCAGCGGGATATGTTTCTCTACGAAAATCCTATGAACACTTATCTACTGAACTTTGGGTTGTCCCTTATTTGTTTAGTTATTCATTCAGAGATGAAAAGACATGATATAAATTCTTTAGTATCCATGCATACAGATAATTATGGACATCAATTTGATTGGGATAATATCAAAATCTTAAACAGAGGAAACACCAAATATGCCAGGGAATTCCTAGAAGCCTGGTAGTCAAACGGAAATGCCATTAATAAACACGTTAATATAGATGAAATATATCAACCAATAAAAAGCAAATCAGGTGGTGACCAGACAGTTTAAAATCCCAATCACAATAGAAAACGGTCAATACATATGTGAAGATGGTTAGTAACCAGCAGGCGCAATTGTACCATTATTCATGGAGATTTTTAAATCATTCAACTTTATGCTAAATACTGCGCTGAAGATGCCGTCTAGAAAGACGACGAAAGCTCCGCAACTAAACCAACCCGTTCAGAGAACACTATTAATTGTAATTCAGAGATTTAATCAATTTGTGACTCACAAATATTATTATTGCACTTTAGTATTTCCACTCACTGTCAAACTTCAACACACACAAAAAAATTGACTGTTGGTTAATAGGGGGTGACAAAATTGATATAATTACTCAGAAGTGGCAGGAAATTACTAGTTCGCTTCTCGAGCACTTAGTGAACTCAAGCCCTGTAGCTCCACTAGAGTCCACTAGAGTCGTCTTTCAAGATTATCTACTAGGGAAGGCTGAATGGTACAAAGGGCGTCAGGTTTCGGCATTTATGTGTGGCGGAGGCGTTGGTGAATCGTCATTACAATCGCGAACTCTGTACACAGAGAAAGTTTGTTCAGTCTCTTATCATACCATGGTCTTAATCTCATCACTAGTCGTTCCCTTTAAAAAAACTTTATATTTTAATTTTCAATTTTACTTTTAATTTGTTTTTACTTTAATATATCGCCAATGATTTTCCTGATTGCGATAGATTGGATACTGTGACAGACAGTTAGCGGGAAAAGAGGAAACAGGCATAAAATTGACCCACATACCGATGATATATGTCTCATTTCCTACAAACTGGAAGATATGCAAGTGAAAAGCAACAAGTTGACAGAAGAAGCATCCGGAGAAGATAGGACTTCAAGTGAACATAGAGGAAACAGAGGTGATGAAGATTCCTGGCCAAAAACAACAGCAGCAGCAACAGTAACAGACAACAGTCAGCCAGCACAAATTGGAGAAATCTGAAAGAAGCAGTCTCCTCCACCTACCTACCTACCTACCTACCTGGGAAGCATCGTTTCAACTATAAGCGGATGGAACTTATGAGGATATCAAAGCAAGGATAGGGAAAGTGAGGCAAGCTTTCATTACTCTCAAGTCCATATGGAGATCGGCAGCGCTCAGCATGAAAATGAAAATGATATCCGGATTTTCAACTGCAATGCGAAGTCAGTGCTACTCGCTATACGGATCAGAGACTTGGTATTGCACCGCGTCATGAAGACCACTTCGAACAAACATTCATCAGCAGCTGTCTTCGCTCAATACATTGCTCAAGATCAGATGCCCGTATGTATTATTGATATAAGTAGAAAACTTGGGCGCTGTGGTAGAGTATAACTCCATTATGGATAAGATTTTATTTTGAGTTACTTGATATGATTATGAGTGGCAATAGTTTGTGCTCGAAACGTCATCAGTTAATATAACTGTACAACACTGTGTGATTTATCAAAAATAAAATCTTATCCATAATGGAATCAGATGGCCGGCCAGAAAAGATCAGCAACAGGGAGAGATCTCTGGGAGCTAACCAACTCCGCAGGAGCCGATTGTGCATGAAATAAGCATGAAGAAATGAAGGTGGATTCGTCATACTTTGAGAAAACAAACCATCAAGTGACATCACACGACAGACCATCTCTCGAGTGGAACCTGACCGAACGGGAAGTGGCGAGTTGGTGGTCAGTGCAATGATGACATAGAGGAGAAGGTCATGTGAAGAGGAGATGAAGGCGTGTGAGCAGACCTGGAGCTAGGCGAAAAAGTTGGCAGAGAACAGAACCCAATGGAGATGTACGGCTGAAGCCCTATCTTCCTCAGGAATTACAGGAAACTAATAATAATTTAATTTAATAATTAATTTTACTATTATCACCCTCATATGTTCCTTTTGTACATTTTCACACCCTCTTCACACTTGTTAAATTGACACTCAACTACCACCTTTATTCTTAAATTTCTAACCCTTTCTTCCTTTGTACTCTTGAGTACTACGTAATTTACTTCTGAGTAATTATATCAATTATGTCACGCCGTAAAACTGATTGTTATTGTCTATTGTAATTCATCAATATCTACATTTGTACAGCTATGAAAATGTAATTAATGTAAGAGAATTTTCTTCGCTAAACTATTCATTCATTATTCATTGACAATTCAAATAAGTTCACTTTACATTGAAGTCTACCCTGAATAATATTCCCTAGAAGCACAGAGTAATAAAAGCCTCTCAATTAATTACGCCTATCCATCTCAGAGAACACAACCATAGCAAAGTATACTACATTCAACTGTGTAATAAAATCATTCTAATGATGACCAGGTTTTATTTTAACAAGTTGATCACGGATTGGTATCAGTCAGTTAGAGAACCATTGAAAACCAAACCAGGGAGTACTGGACAGCTAGCTGTTTTATTCCAGTTTGGGAATCATCGTCAGTACGCATCCACTGCCAGGACTCGAACCCACGACCTTCCAGTTACAAGCGAGCAAGCTCGCATACCATTCAGCCACTGGGACCCTATTCAATGACTATCTCATGAATTCTAAATTGTACCAATTCGTGATTTAGCATGACCACCAACCAATGTCATCGGGGGGGGGGGGGGGTAGAGTTCCCGCTGAATCGGTAAAAGTTGGAATTTATGGCTGGCCATTGAGGAATCGGGTTCCAGCGGCTGAATGGTATACGGGCTTGCCTGCTTGTAACCAGAAGGTCCTGAGTCCGAACCCCCTAGGCAGTGGGTGAGTACTGTCGATGATTCCCAAACTAGGCTGATGAAACAGCTGTCTGGCAGTGCTCCAGTGCTGGTTTTCAATGGTTCTCTCTCTAACTGATATCAATCCGTGATCAACTCGTCAAAACAAATCTAATCCTTACAAACCAACTATAGAGATTATGTTTTAACCTCTCTTATTCCTTTAATATCTCTTACAGAAGTTTAATAATCCTAGATTGAATCAATTCATGCCAAGTGAGGTGATTGCCGTTTATCCACAAGCATCCAACATTTTACCAGAAGACTGGGTTTTTATTCAAAGGTGAGTTGGTTAATTTCTTTGTCAACTTAACTTTGTTTTCATTCATACCACCTTTGCTTTCTTTTTTTTAAATGCGCTAAATTTTGAATATGGTATTGATTAAAACTGGACAGATCTACTGGAGATTTGACGCTTTTTCTCACTGACATTTGCGTCCCAAGTGGGAGTTTTAAGAATGATTGTGTTGTTGTTGTTTTTTCACTGGGTAGGGGATGATAGCCCCACTTTCCCTCTTTACTATGCTTACTACTGGTTAGGTGAAGTTTAAGGGTGTATATCGGCCGTAAATCGAACTCGAACCACATGTATGTGGTTGACAAGAAGTGACTGAAGTTTCGTAAATTAGCAGAATCAGAAATGAAGATTGTGAGAAGGACAGGATACAGTGATAAAGAGTTGGTGTATATACTTGGGACTGTGATACCAAGATGTTACTCTATGGACTGTTTGTTATAATAAATTTTGTAGCATCTTAAGATTTCTTACTACTTTGGTAATGATGATGATCTCAGTGGAACATAGGGTGGCTTCAAGCAAGAGCTTTAAAGTTTCGGTAGCAATGGTGTTCATTTTTACAGGATGGGGTTACTAGTCTGTCGAGAAACTCCCCCCTCTTTACCAGTCTGATTACTGGCTTAATGAGGTAAGGGAGTGCGTCAGTGGCTGGGGATCGAAACCCGAACCACATGTGTGTGGGTGGCGAGCATTCTACAGCTTTTGATATGATGAAGAAGATTTGTCGCTCAAGTGGATGATTTCTATGTGGTTTTGTTCTTTGAGCTGGATAATTTATTTGAGAAGCTTTCATTGTCTTACTAGGCAACATCTTCAGTGCATACTTCAATTTGATGAAGTGAGCTTTTAGATTTCTCCACGAGTTTATTCGTCATCTCTCCAGGAGAGATGACCTCTCCACCGACGCACAGACCTCATATTTTAAAGCTGTTTTATAGTAGCCTTTTATTCGATTGCACTTTGAACCTTTCATGTCTAGTTTAGTGTGTTTAGATAGCCTATAAGCAAAATAAACGCTTAAACGCCTAATTAGATAAGTTTATTTTAAATATCGCACAGTTATAATGCAGTATTAACAATTGCATGACTTTTCGAGCACAATTTATTGCTCATAATCATTTTCACTCTCGGTCATATGCTTTCACAATTTGTCTTATGTATATTTCCTGTCTATTCTCTCTCTCTCTCTCCAGTTTCAATGAGGCTGGAATTAAGGTGGCATTTAAACCAATCAAGTAACCAAGTCTCTCAGAGATAAACTTTGTCGGCTTAAGAACTCAATCGATCCAACCAATTAAGATAAATAATATAATTGAAAACATTTATTTGCCGATACGAATTTAAAACAAGCAATAAAGGCTAATAAAGCAGGATTTAATGAATATGATAGAGAAGATTTGTAGCTCAGGTGGATGATTTTGATGTGGTTTTGTTCTCTGAGCTGGATGTTTAATTTGCGAAGTTTTCATCACCTACTGGGTGACATCTTCAGTGCATACTTCAATTTGAAGTGAGCTTTTAGATTTCTCCACGAGTTTATTAATCATCTCCTGGTGACTTGGACATGATTGGTTGTCAATTCCAATACAAGTAACCTAGAAGATGTGAAAACACACATAAACAACCAATCACGTCCAAGGTCACCAGGAGAGATGATTAATAAACTCGTGGAGAAATCTAAAGGTCACTTCAAATTGAAGTATGCGCTGAAGATGTCACCCAGTAGGGTGATGAAAACTTCGCAAATTAACCATCCAGCTCAGAGAACAAAACCACATCAAAAAGGATTTAATGAATTCATCAAATTTCGGTAGAACTCCTCGTCAGCTGAATACTCTACATACACGGATATGCATATACTTTTGAAATTACATTTGAAGATATAAGACTGATAAGTAGACAAACTACACTGAATTAATCATGCAGAAAGACACGTGCGAATAATTTTCAGGTCATGTTCAAATAGATAAGGATAGAGAGAGTATGAGAGATCAAAATTAAGATAAATTGCATTACGCTTCAATTACATCACTTAGATAAACAATTAGTCATTAGAGAATATAACAAGAATTGCAAACAGACTAATATCAATAGTAATAGTTATAACAATAACAATAATCTACAATCTTGTAGATTATGGACATGATATCGACGCAGTCAAGTCATTCACCATTGTCAGCAAACAAAGAAACAAGAAGATGCTTGCAATTGCAGAGGCTTGTGCAATTCGAATTTATAACAAAAGGGGATGGTCGTACTCTGAATCTACCATGGTAATACGTTTTACTTATTATTCTCTACTAGTTATTACTATTATTCTACCTCTTCTTCTTACTATTATTGTTATTATTAGTAGTATCATTATTATTATTCTTGATTCATTTAAAACTATGCTTTATCATTAAGAATATCTTAACTCACTTCAACACTGTTTGCAATTCTCGTTATATTCTCTAATGACTAATTGTTTATCTAAGTGATGTAATTGAAGCGTAATGCAATTTATCTTAATTATGATCTCTCACACTCTCTCTCTCCCCTTATCTATTTGAACATGACCTGGAAAATATTCGCACGTGTCTTTCTGCATGATTAATTCAATGTAGTTTGTCTACTTATCAGTCTTATATCTTCAAATGTAATTTCAAAAGTATATGCATATCGTGTATGTAGAGTATTCAGCTGACGAGGAGTTCTACCGAAATTTGATGAATTCATTAAATCATCCTGGTTTATTAACGTTTATTGCTTGTTTTAAATAATATAATTTACCAAACACCCTTTAGTGTGACTGGAAGTGAGGTCAGTTACATAAATCAGACAAACTAGTATATCGAGGTCAACAAGATTATTGTAACATAAAAATCTAGCTAGTTAAACCTAGAATAACTGATCCTGCTAAGTTAAATAACCAATCATTGCACTTCATTCACTTGCTTGTAATCACATGACGATAAGGTGGGACAGAATGAGAGTATTAAAAAGTAATATAGTTAGGTGGAGAAACTAATCATTGATTAATCATTGAAGGTTTGTTCATCTACTCAACATCACACACACGTACAATCGAAATGACGCACTCACCGCCTATACCGGAGATATGGAAAGTGGCAACAAGCAACAAAAAGAGCTAGTATATATGGATCGATACTTCATTATAATTAGCCATTCATGTTAAGACTATTTTTGATTTGTTCACAACTTGTTGGACATTCAATATTCGAGAAAATATATGCATAAGACAAATTATGAAGACGTGTAACTAAACTGATATGATTATGAAAGGGGAATAGTTTATGCTTGAAACCTTGTCTGTCATCCAGGTGTTAATACCTGCATCATCATCATCATCACTGTGTGCGATTATTAAAATAAACTTATCTAATAACGGGAAACTTACGGAATCCTTCGAAGTGAGGATAGGAGTGAGGCAAGGCTGTCTACTATCGCCACTGATCTTCCTGATTGCAGTAGATTGGATAATCCGACGGACGGCGGGCAATGAGGAAACAGGCACAAAATGGACTCACACAAAAAACTTGGAGGATCCGGACTTCGCCAGCGATGATCTATGTCTGATTTCCCACAAACCGGAACATATGCAAGTGAAAAGCATCAAGGTGGCGATAGAAGAAGCATCCAGAGAAGATATAACTTCAGGTGAACATAGATAAAACAGAGGTGATGAAGATTCCTGGCCAACACCACCAACAGCAACAACAACAACAGACAACAATCAGCCAGCATAAATGGGAGGAACCTGAAAGAAACAACCTCCTTCACCTACTCACCTGTGAAGCATCGTTTCAACTACAGGCCGACGGAGCTGACGAGGAAATCAAAGCCAGAATCGGAAAAGCAAGACAGGCTTTCATTACCCTTAAGTCTGTGTGGAGGTCAACATCACTCAGCATCAAAAATAAGATCCGGATTTTCAACTCCAATGTGAAGTCAGTGCTACTATACGGATGGATCAGAGACTTGGCGCGTCATAAAGAGCACCTCAAACAAACTCCAGACCTTCATCAACAGCTGTCTTCGCTCAATGCTCAAGATCAGATGGCCGGCCAGAAAAGATCAGCAACAGTGAGGGGTCTCTGGGAGAAAACCAACCAGGAATCGATTGTGAAATAAATAAACGGGAAGAAATGGGGATGGATTTGCCATACTCTGAGGAAACCATCAAGTGAGTGACATCACTAGACAAGCCATTGCTCGAGTGGAACGCGAAAGGGAAGCGGCGAGCTGGTCGTCAGTGTGAGGGTGTGGTGACTTGGAGGAGGTCATGTGAAGAGGAGATGAAAACATGTGGGCAGACTTGGAGCGGAGTGAAAAAGTTGGCAGAAAACCGAAGGCAATGGAGACTCGCAGCTGAAGCCCTATGTGCCTCTAAGAATTAAAGGATATAATAATAATAAATAATAATATCGGGAAATTACATTCTACCACAGTGCCCAAATTCTAAGCTTACATTAATAACCGCTTAATGGACATTCAAAACTCTAGTAATCTATTCTGCGTTACTCAGATAGTATACGTTTCTTAATTATAGGGTGAAAATGACTCTGTCACGTCTTATTCTTCTTCATTTCTTGCATTCCGAAGGGGATGTAGGACTTAAATCTTTGAATTTTTAGTAGCAGTGATATAAGAATGGAATTTTGCCACTGTGTGTATGTGTGAAGAAATTATACATATGTTCTGTTTTTTAACACTGTGAATGTGTCATCTACATATGTCCACCATATTTTTGGAGTAGGATTAAATGTATTGAGAGCAATATTTTCCCAACTATCCATAAATATGTCTGCTACGATTACGGATATTAGTGATCCTGTTGCTACACCTTCTGTTTGTCTATATATTTTACCCTGGAATTTAAAAAGTGTGGATGTGAGGCATAATCGAATTCCTAAAATAATTTGTTCAATGGGCAGCTTTGTCCTATGAGTAAGCTCAAGACAAATTACTATCACTTGAAGGTGGCCTTCGACTCCGTGGATCGAAAGGTACTATGGCAATGTCTGACTGTGAAGGGAGTGCCAAGAAAGTACATTGCACTAATCAAGGCACTCTATTCAAACTCACGTAGTCGTGTAAGGGCTTATGGGGAATTGTCATCTGAATTGGTAACAACCAGTGGTGTCCGACAGGGATGTCCACTTTCCCCATTTCTGTTTAACTTCATCATAGATATGCTGATGGAAGTATCCTTAACTGAACGTAATGACTTAGGAATCGACTTGTTACCAGGGAATAGTCTTATGGACTTAGAATATGCAGATGACATAGTCCTGTTAGGGGAGGATGCTGACAAAATGCAGAGTCTTCTGAACACCTTGAGCAGCAATCTTCGTATGTTTGGCATGCGATTCGCCCCTGTAAAATGTAAGATGCTGCTACAGGACTGGACCACGTCAACTCCTAACTTAGTGATAGGGAGTGAAGTGATAGAACATGTTGACCACTTCACCTATTTGGGAAGTTGTATTAGCACCAACGGACTGATTGGCGATGAAATCTCAGCACGGATCCGAAAAGCTCGAGCTGCTTTCGCTGACTTACACCATCTCTGGCGTAGGCGTGACATCCGGTTATCAACCAAGGGACGTGTGTACTGCTCATCAGTTCGCTCCGTCCTTCTCTATGGCTCTGAAACATGGCCAATACGAGTTGAAGACATGAAAAGGTTGACTGCTTTCGATCATAGATGTCTGCGATCTCTGTCTCACGTTAGGTGGTTTAATAAGGTAAGTAATGTTGACGTTAGGCGTAGAGTGTTGGGCAAAGAGGGAAAATCAATCGACGAGGCTATAAAGTTACATAGACTAAGATGGCTAGGTCACGTGGTGCGCATGCCTAACCACCGCCTCCCCCGACGGGCATTACTAGCTGATATAGGTGCAGGTTGGAAAAGAGCCAGTGGTGGCCAAACAAAAACATGGCATCAATCCATGAAATCCTTGACAGTTAAACTGAGTCAGTCAGGTAGGGAGATGCAGACTTCCGGGTTGGGGCCCTCGGGACTCTAGGAATCAATGGCTGGAGACAATAGGTGACATGGCTCAAAATCGTTGTCAATGGCTGGCGCAGATGTATTCAGTCTCTGTAATCTTTCATATTCCTTTCTACCATTACCCATTCTGTTTCACTCTTATACTTGTCAAACTCTATTGATTCTCTTCACTCATCTTCTTGTCTACCTCTGTGTGCTATTTGGAACGTGGCAACTCGAACTGCTGCACTTCGGTGCCAAGTTCTATGTTGAATCCAGACAGACAGACTGTCACAGCGTTAAAAGCAGAACATATCTGTAGCTTCTTCACGCATATAAACTCACCAGTAAAGAGAATAAAATTCACATTTGAATCGGAAAATGAACCAGGAGAATTAGCTGTGATGATAGATTGTAAAATAAAACGAATAGAAGAAGGTAAACTACACACTAGCGTTTATGAAAAATCAACGCATTCTAGTACATATTTAAACTTTAATTCATCTCATCCGTCAACTGTCTGTTAAGGTAGGCTTAGTTAAGTGTTTAACAAACCGCGCAGTAGCACTAAGTAGCACAAGAAAAGACCTAAATGATGAAATAAAACAGATAGAATAGGCGTTGGTGTCTAACCACTATCCTATAAAATTCATTAGGAAGGTCAGAAAAAGACAAAAGCAAAATAAAAATAATAAATGGTGAAACTAATAATGATAACATAAATAAGGGAGAATATAAGGCAACTGCAGTAGTTTTACCATGTAAGGATGGGACATCTGAGGCGCTACGTAGAATTCTCAATAAAGCAGGAATTAGGGTGGCATTCAAACCTATAGACTCACTCAGAGACAAGCTCTGTAGACCAAATGACCAGGTGGATTCAATTAGACAAAATAATATCATTTACAAAATACCCTGCAATGACTGTGAGTTAAGTCAACTACATAGGTCAAACTAGTAGATCAGAAGTAGTTAGATTGTCGCAGCATAAGAACTTAGCTAAGGTTAGAATGATTGACCCCATGAAGGTTAGTAATCTTAATTAAATGCTCAGCAATTGAACTGCATGCGTTAGCACACAACCACATAATAGGGTAGGATTGACAGCCGTAACCTAGGCGAACTTGCGATTAGTCATCATTTTGATTATAATAATGATGGGTTCAAATGTTGTTCGAATCCAAGAGAAGCGTGCTAAATAGCGCCTTGTACATTCTGTTAATTGTTAATTAATATAAAATTATAATCGTGTGTGTATCAAGCCATGCGCTGTACTGTTTGACAATTTGAAGAAAATATCTATCATGGCAGATTATCACCACAGATGATTCATCAATATGTTACTTTGACGTCTTCCATGTTTATTTATTTCAGAAAGGATCCAGTTGTACAAACACTGAATAAAACGCAAAATCCCTCACTGGTCGGTATTTGTCCTAATATATCTTCAACGATTTACTTGAAGGTAATTTATGCCATTCAAGGACAACTTCAAGGAATACCGCTGAAACAGGTTATTTCTGCTTCAATCGAGTAAGACATTTCCCCCCTACTTTCTTTCGTCATTATATTTATTTAAACGTAGGACTTCTCATGCAGTTGTCATCAAACTCATTTGTTGAGCACGATACTCCCCCTGAAGGAAGCATACACATTAACGGATTATAGGAATTTGAAGATTCCGAAGTACTAGTACGTGTATTTAACTAATTTGTGCGTTACAAATTTTGTAGAAAAGAAGTATTGGCACAGTCTCTTTTCTTATCTTGGCTCAACATTTATTTCGAAGGGTATAAACATATGATTGGTGGATGGTTACTAGCAGTGGGATCCAGGACAACACGCACTTCGTCCTATTTGGGACTCGTCAGCTAACTGGATTTACCTGCATTCCCCAGTGAGTGATGATCTTCCCGCCGAGGCTCCAACCCACTGCCAATAATTTCAATTAGATAATCAATATGACCCGTTGTACAAGAGGTGTCTCTCGTAGCCCAAGTGGTCTAGTGGATAACGTTTTGGCCTTTGGAACTATGACCACTGGGTTCGAGCCTCGGTGGGAAAATCATCACTCACTGGGTAATGCAGGTACCCCCAGATGACGAGTCCTAAATAGGAGGGGCGAAGTGGGCATCCTGGATTCCACTGCTAATCACCACCCACCAATTAGATTCTAATTAGTTGCCCAGACATCGTCGAAGCATCTGCACAAGAAGCCGATATGTCAACCTAAAATCTAGCACTTCGGTCCAATCAATCGACGGGAAAATCTAAAATTCAATTAGATATAAACATGTGTTGCTAATAGCAAATCGCATTTATTTAAATCATGAAAACGTTTTCAATAATTTCATGTCTTAAGTTTTATTTAGCACGTCATCAAAAGTTCAGTGAAGAGTCTCTTTTCAGCGATGAATTCGTTCACTTATCTGTACAATCGCAATTATATATACTTCTTTTTGTATAGGTTTGTCCGATACGAATAAAAATAAGTTAGGATTATTATTCTGCCGAGCACTCGGTCCAATCAATCGACGGAAAATCAAGAATTTCATTCAATAATTAATATGACCCGTTGCACAAGAGGTGGCTCTCGTGGCCCAAGTGGTCTAGTGGATAACGCTTTGGCGTTTGAAACTATGGGCACTGGGTTCGAGCCTCGGTGGGAACATCATCACTCACTGAGAAATGCAGGTACATCCAGCTGATGAGTCCTAATTAGGATGAAATGCGCATCCTGGATTCCACTGCTAGCCACCATCCACCAACTGTATAGGATTATTATTGTCAAGACATATTTCAAAAATGTGATGAGTAATCAAACTGTAACTGGCGGGGGAGGGGGTTGAAGATTGGTAAGATGGCAGTGATGAATTGTTGACAAGGAAGACAACTGGTTTATTAACAAATAAAAGGAGTTAAATAAGCGTAATGCAGTTACGTTATAAGGTGAATATTTGAATGAGTGAGTTGTTATTAGGATACACACAGAAACGAAGGAAAATATGGAATTATGTAAGAGTTCTAGAAATTACAAATGTTGTAAGGAGTTAGAAAAGACAAACAAACAAACATCAAGTCAGTAGAAGTCAACACGGTTGTTACCAAGAAAGTAGAAGTGGTTGGCTGATTTTCTTTTGTTTACATAACTCTGGTTTTTCTAACTGAATGGCTAGGGCTTCAGTAGTACAAAGAAGACAAAAGCATATTGCCTTTGGTAGGATGTTCTTCACTTTGCAGATCACTTTAAAGGGGGTGGCGTTTGTTGAGATGAAATGACCAGTGTTGACGAAATTATCGTGCTCCTTAAACAGTCACTACTACCTTTTTGCAACCATGCTGGATAGTGTTGTTGAACACTTTTGGACAGGATACGCGTTGAATGACCAATGTACCCGGCAGGGTCCACAGCAACAGATGAACTGATATATACAAAGAAACAAGGCCAGATGTGAGATCTTGTCCCTAAGGCCTTTGCAGATCAATGGACGACTGGAGAACACTACACTTAGCGTTGCTGCAAAGAATGTTGCTTTCAAAGATGCTGAAATGCTTCTCTTGAGGACTGTTCATTTATATATATATATATATATATATATATATATATATATATATATATATATATATAATGGTCAAGGACCTGGCCTTATATGATGATGAATTTATGGATGCGCATTGGTCTCGCATTGGAGTAAATCAGAGGTCAAATACTATTTGGCTTCCAATATTTTTCAGATTGATGACGTTTTTTAACGCATTATAATTTGAAAGTCATATATTTATATTTGGCGGTATTTGATGTATCTCAGTTAAAACTAAAACACGTTATTATAATTTTCTACAGTTGGTTTGTAAGGATTATTTTTGATTTTTCTACGAGTTGATCACTAATTGGTATCAGTTAGAGAACTATTGATTGAGGTCGTGCTAAATTACGGATTGGTAGAAGTTAGAATTCATGGGCTAGCGGCCATTGAATCGGGTCCCATTGGCTGAATGATATTCGAGTCAGCTTGCCTGCTTGTAACCGGAAGGTCCGAAGTTCAAGCTATGGCGGTGGGTGCGTACTGCCAATGATTCCCAAACTAGTTGGATGAAACAGCTCTCTGATAGTACTCCAGTGTTGGTTTTCAATGGTTCTTTAACTGATATCAATCCGTGATCAACTCGTATTTACATTTTATGACCTGTAAAATTTATGAGAAAGTGTAGACAAAACGTGTCATAAAATGTCACAATTTATTACATGATTTCATCATGAACTGACATTGGTTAGAGAACCACTGGAAAACCTGGGGGTACTGGACAGCTGTTTCGTCCTAGTTTGGGACTAATGATGAAATCCTGTAACCAATCAATCAAATCCCTACAAACCAACACTTGAATTACAATTTATTATTATTATTCTTCATTTTAGATATTCACAAGAAAATTGGCAATTGGTGTGTGATACATCTAATTATCCATCCTTGTGTAGAAGCTCAAATATTTCACCGAGTGCACAAAATTTTTATTTAACTACCGTAATTATGTTCTCTGAAATATCTTCACCAAGTGATGAAGTATTAAATTCCACAAGAAATTGTGATTTAGATACATGTTGGAATGATGCATTCTATGCTTGGACTGGACTGCATAAATTATATCAACAAACTGGTAAAATTGAGCAGACTTTTGAAATTGGCGTTACATTAGGTATATCAAGTCTTGTTTTAATTGTACTCTTTATTACAAGACCATTCTTTTGAATTTGAATGCGAATTTGAATTTTTGTTAACGTCTTGGCTAATGTTTAGAGTGTTTTAACAGTGACATTTCATTATTATTCTAAATTAACACTGTATTCGTTTGTAATTCTCAGGTTTTGTAAAAAAAAACTCTTGTTGATGATTCGTACTCGATTAACATTATGTCAAGATAAGAAATATTCTCCTTTTTGATTCATGAAGAATTCTCATTGTTTATACGAGTTTGACCACGGATTGATATCAGTTAGAGAAACATTGAAAACCAAACCAGGGAGTACTAACAGATAGCTGTTTCATCCTAGTTTGTGAATCAACGATAGAACGCACACACTACCAGGGCTAGAACCCAAGACCTTCCAGTTATAAGGCGAGCTGTCTCGTACACCATTCAGCCATTTAGACCTGATTCCTCAATGGCCAGTAGGCCATGAATTCTAACTTCTACCAATTGGTGATACATTTAGCGCAACCACCAAACAATGTTATCTGTGGGAATTCCATCCTCACTCCCCGACTGGATGAACCTCACTGGTCATGACTTCTCACTAGAACTCCAGGAAACCCCCTCCTGTAGCAAGTCATTAGCGAGCATCAGAATAATTTTCAAGAGTTTGGTTACACCTTACAAAAAAACTATTGAAAATTCCCATTGTAACGCATAGAAAATCAAAAATGAGTGATTCATCGAAGAGACTCTTTCAACAGTGAATCTGTTATCAAGCTGTACAATCGTATATCCTGTGTGGTAACTGAAACATGTTTGAATACATAAAATATTAGTATGAAATGCAATTAAAATTATAATGTTTGTGATTATATTCATAGTTGAATGTCAAGTGGCAAAACAAATGATGTTATATATACAATAATTCATAGGATATAAAGAACTTGGAAGGGGTGTGAAAATTATAGGATTAGTGGGCAATTCGGATAAAATAAAACTAAACACGTTACGTAACATTGTGTGAAATTTGATTACATTGAATTTAACGTCGTAAAACAGAATTCATTTAGAATGACAAGTGGAACGTGTGAAATAATACCGGGGACAATTCTAAGTCGAAATAGTAATAGTAACAATTGACATAAAAAAGGAAGAGTTTACAAATTGAATAGAGAAAGCCAAAAAATTGGAGAAATTAGGAATTACCACACTTTAGCATAAAGGGATTGAGACCATGGAAGTTGGAGGAGAGGGGTTGAACGAAATTTTTCTGTGTACAGAGGTCTGACTTTTCTGTTTCGACAGCCAAAGATGGCTTCAGCAATGAAGATGAATCGGGTATGTGATGATTTAGGCAAATTGCTTTTTGCCTTGTAGATAATTTCAAAGGCGGAGGCTACACAGATAGGTTGATCATTAACTGCCAGAAGTTCAATGATCGCGCTTCTTATTGCTTTCCTTTCACCTCTACCATACAGGATAGTGTCCTTGCACCCTCATGGACAAAACTCGAGTCGATGAATTTAAAAGGTTTTGTTTGAATGCTTTGGTGTATTGTAATAAACTTAAATTTACTCTTCCTTTTTTATAAGCTGGTTAAAAAAGGAAGGTTTCTCTTTAATCTGTGTTCGATTTGAGAACCACCTGTAAAATATAATTCCATGTCAGATGAGTTTCTTATATGCAACACATATTTTGGAACATAAGGTGGCTTCAAGAAACAGGATTGAAGTTTCGGTAGCAGTGGTATTTATTACTTTTACGAGGTGGGGTTTCTAACCACATGCCCAACCTTCACTCTTTATCAGTCTTATTATTGGCTTATCGAGGTTCAGGAGTTCGTCGGTGGCCAAGTCTCGAACGCCGCTACAGTCGATTCCAGTTACCGCGGCAAAGACTTATGGTCAGTATATGTAATGGGTTCATTTCCTCAGACATCCAATGGTGATCAGTACCTCTTGGTAATTGCGGAACATGCGACACGTTGGGTAGATGCCGTAGCAATCACAGACCAACGTGCAAGGGCCGTGACAGATGCATTAGTTAGACACATTGTTGCAGACCACGGCGTACCAAAGACAATACCGACACACCAAGGTCTCTTTTTGATAGTGAAGAACTTACGTCCCATTCGCAACAAGTAGGCATCAAGAGGATCAGAACGACCTCATATCATCCGCAAACGAATGGCCTAACGGAGAGAAACAACCGTACACTGAAGGAGTGGCTGGCCTCGAAGTGCGGTAACTGGGAAGCGGAGCTTCCACTGATTTTACTAACACATCGTGTTACCACTCAGGAAACAACGAAGAAGTCATCCCTTCAACTGATGTAAGGTAGAAAACCACGATTACCGATACACAACGAGACCTGGCCCTTCATCAAAAATGGAGTACGACGAAATTAAAAGCAGAACGGGAAAAAGCAATCAAGAATGTAATGCAGAAGTGGCGGAGTCGCGAGGTCTCAGCTGAAAAGAAAGACTCAGTGTAATACCTTTGCAGTCGGGGACCAAGTGAAGTGTAGAGACAGAAGATATACAGTTGGATGCGGGCCAGGCTCACGGAAACTCCTTCCAAAGTGGGAAAGACCGTACACAATCACAAAAAGACGGGGTCAAGTATTATACCATCTGAAGAGGTGACAAACAGAAACGAGTTAACGACAGTCAGATTCGACGATGGGTACAGTGGGACGAGCCGATCCATAACAATCATGAATGAGAGAATGTTAGATGGTTGGAGGCAATCGGCAGGAAGCCTTGGACCTAGGTTTCGTGCTAGGTGGCACTCGTCAGCAAGGCGTATCTGCAACCTTGAAGGAATTCATGGCCCTTGTGAGACTCGAATCCGCGTCACCCAATACTTCACTCAGAGACGTCACCACTGCCGATCGCCTCCAACCCTCTAATATCATCAAATCGACGTGCACCGTGATGCTGAGCTACCTAGAATGGTGGCCACATTACAACCTGACTGAGAATTCAGTCTGCACCAATGAGTGGGCTAGACACATCACACTAGTTACTAGTGTCGAATCAAAATGAGAGGATGTATCGCTCAGAAGGTCGGAGCGCCTGTATGTGGAGCTATCTGATGGGAGTTGAGTCTGGTGGGTGCTGGCCGCGAACAGGGCGAAATTTTAGACAACAATCTACGTAAATGCTCACGTCCCAAATCAGGGTATTAAGAAAAACAACAGCAAAACTTAACTTTGAGAGGATCACCAACTAATCACAGCGGATTTAACGTGTGCAAGCACGATTCTCAGATATATGGCTTAAAGTTCTGAGAAACGGTAACAAGAGCAATAACAGAATAACTTTTACCAAGAGAACCATCAATCATAAGAAACTACCTCTCCGCTGACAATAACGTACATAAAAATCCATAAATATCTCTTGATTTTCTCAATAAACATTCTGTGGCCTAGTCTTCTGTCGCTACAATAGATTGTGGTGGTTCCAAAGAGTTGAGTAATCTAACCAAACTTAAACCATACGCACTGTGATAATAGCAATGAATCATCATTGGAAAGTTGCAAACAGTTTATGACATACGATTGGGTTACTGGAGGCCACCAAGTGATGACCACTGTAAAGTGGCCCTTGCCATCCATTAGAAGTTTTAGCAACCCAAAGAAAAGCCTGTCACTCTGGTGAAAATTTCTCTTACGTTCTTCAGAATAGTGGTTTTATTACTGTAGAATCTAAAGAACTTGGAATTATACATGTATAAACATACATGATTTGTTAGCGCATGCGGAAACCAAGAATGATCATGTGGACTAAAAGAAACTCTAATTACAGCACACCAATGAAGTCGAATGACTCATCAACAAAAACAAGTACAGGAAATTGATGTCACTTTCCCGCGTTACACACTTTAAAATGAAGAAAGAACGCATTTGTGAGGAGTTCCTGACTGTCTACGCCAGTGTGGCATCGAAATTAAGGCGATCCCCGGAAAAAGCAGCACTTCGCAGCCGAAACTTTAGTTATTAATGTCTTAGATATTATTAGCCTGCTGACCTCATCATTCAGCATAGAATGCTGACCTTCGCTACCGAAACCGGCTAGCAGGCTAAAGGCGCACGGGCAAGCGTCGTCACAGTTCGGCACGCCGCCGTGTTACGTTCCTTTGTTTCTGCACAAATTCTGGTCGGCCATACACTTATCTAGGGAGCATTGTCTCAACTATAGGAGGAACGGACGAGGATGTCGAGAGTTCGAGAATCGGGAAGGCGAGCGAGAAACACATTCATCAACCTGAAACCAATCTGGAAGTCCTTTTCACTCGAATTTTCAATACAAACAGCGTCAAGTCAGTCAGTTCTTCTATACGGATCAAAAACTTGGCGGGCGGGTCATAAAGAATATTTCCAACAGCCTGTTGCAGACCATTATCAACCAGCAACCGTCTTCGCTGGATCTATACTGAAGATCAGATGGCCGGGTCGGAAAGAATCACCAACAAGAAACTATGGGAAGAAACAAAACAAGAAAAAACCAGTCGCCCAACAAATATGCAGGAGAAGGTGGAGATGGATTGGACACTCGCTGAGGAGACTGCTGGGTGACATTGTGCCCACGTCAGACCATAGCTCGAGTGGAACCCGAAAAGGAGGCGGCGAGTGGGACGTCAGTGCAAGGGTGACATGCAGAAGATCGTGCGAAGAGGAGTTGGTTGAAAGAGTATGGACTAACATGGATGCAGGTGAAAAGTGCAGCAGAAGATAGAAGCAAATGGAGACGTGCATTTGAAGCCCTATGTTCCACTAGGAGCCCAAGGGAGCAATAATAATAAAATAATACACAATTTGCCCCACACTTGTAATAATGTATTTCTTATTTTGGACAACCTATCTGTGTTTTCCATTTGGCTTCCTAGCAGTTTTGCCAATGTTGTTGAAGACTGAACGATCAATTCACGGTTGTTTGCTCAAGACCTACTCCTCCATATTTTTCGCGGAAGCCATCAACCCAGCAGTCATCCTCTCATCTTTCGCTGTTCAGTGGAAGATAAAAAACCATCAGAAGTATTATCGTGATTTGCTTTTATGACATTTATTCTTAGACCTTGTTTGTAATAACCTTATTTTGGTTACACGTTGGCGTAATAATAAAGGATTCTCGAGTCGCCAATCTGTGTTCTTGTTTTTTTCGCGTTGGCTGTTACCAATTGTTTCTGAAACTCTTCCAGGGACAGCGTAAGGCCCAGCGTAGTAAGAGCTGGACATTGAAAGTTTCTGAGAGTTGGCTGACAGGTTGTCTGGTCTTAGTGGAATGGGTCCAATGGAATTTGAAGGATACACACCACAATCTTCATAAAGGGAATCTTGCGTACCTACCGACATCTTTCGTCTTCCGATAACTGTATTCTATAACCGTATCGAATCCATTTCGATGGTTTGACATAATGAAATGACTGAACACTTAGAGAATAGCTGGCGGCAAGTAGGCTGGATGGAAGACTGCCCTACCGTTTATGTTGAGAGTATGTAAGACCTCGACACAAGAAATGGTCAGGAAATCGGCAATCTGGCTGATATATGAGAGGAGACAATGTTTCCAGACGCAGCACAAAATTTGGCTGCGGTACCGACGGTGGAATATAAAGAGACGGACAAGTGAATAAAAGGAAGCACTGGCGAAAGTGTAGAAGGATCAAACTGTAGAAATTGAAGAGCTAGAACGAAGCGAAGTAAATGATGAAAACCATATGGAGTGAGGGATCAAGTGAGGTGCAAAGAGGGAAATGCAGCACACGGTGAGTAAGGAATAAGATTAGACCAAATTTGGAAACATATCACAGAGATCCAGTTTATGCTTTGTAAAACCGAGAGGGGGATAAATGATAATCTTTTTCAGCGATAGATACAAGGAGGTCAGGCCTACGTAAATATGCGCAGACTTTCCTGAGATTCATCGACAACGTAAGTCTTGAACTATGCTCCGACCTTATTTATCTGAGCGATGCAGGTAATCACTGCAGCCACTTATGGGAGGTTTCAACCAAGCCGTTGTAACAGTCAATAGCAGCTAGTCTCCCCAAATACTGTATTAGCATTGCTTTATTGTCTTTTCTCGAACATGTGACCAATGGACATGGTATTCACTCATTACTCGAACAGTTGCCGGCGACTCGTGACTTGCGAACACCAGCACTTATGAAATCTCTGTGTACATTTATTGTAATACTAAGTTATCACTGACCCTACACCCCACTAAGTTAGTACGTCCTGACTTCACTGGTAAAACTAATTGAAGGTTGGTTAAAAATTCTAAACACGACCACTCAAGCTTTAAGAAAATTTTAGAAAATCATAATAATCATAGCAAATGCCACTGTGTTAATATATCAAGCTCCTCCCCAGTAAATATGTGGATGCATTCAATATGGATATCGGAGTTGCGCTAAAGCACCTCTAGAACGACACCTGGACATTCTTTCTCATTCTTTTCCAGAAAGCCACTGTCATGTGAAATACAAAACGATGATGCCGGTCCTGGACTGCTTTTCATTTGCGATTTCATCACTCATTCTTGTTGTTTCGCTGAAGGTCAAAAGGCCCCAGTTTTTGGGGGCAATGAACCGTTGTATTATACCCCCGGTATCAAGACAAACAGGTATTGACTGTGTAAGCTTCACCATGAAGACTACGTTTTAATGTTCACATCCGCCATCTGGCGTATTTCTAGTGTGCGGTTTGAGTATAGAGAACAGCTTATCTTAAAATATTAGCTTGAGAGAAAAGAAGAAGCTTCATGCTATTGGAGACAATGAAGCAAAACTTCAGCATTAGGCATCCCTGAAGAAAAAGAGCTGGCTTGCTTCAAGCGACATTTTACTTTATCATGTGTTATGTTCACAGGCAGCTTAGGATAGGCAATTTCTCCATCTCTGCGCTGAAAACTCTTCAAAGCCTTGAAAATAGTTTTTCATCACGGCGTCCAGTCTATAACCAAGCTAATATTAGCTAAGTACGACTAGGAATCAATCGTGGCGTCCGAAATTGTACATTGTTACGGAGTTTGAAAGTGCATAGAAATATAGTCACACCGACTGAATCTTAGTCACACTCGCCTGAATGTCGCCAGTTGATCTCCACCCCTTGCAGGGCAAGCTCTGGACCTGGTGAAAGAAGATACTTGTGAATTCCGGGAAACTCTTTCCACAGATTCCACTCGAGAAAGTTTACTCAATCAAATAGCTAAACAGTTCATATTTTAAAACTCATTTGGCACATTAAGTCTGATCAAGCATGTCACATAAAATATGAGGAAATTTCCTGATAATTCCATCAGGTATTCATCCAGGTTTGAGATAGATCGTACACAACAGCCTCGGGTGAGTAAATTAACAAAAGAACCCAGGCGAGTATCGAATGCACATAATTATTTATTTATTTATTTATTCTATAAGAGCTTGACTCCACACAGTATTTTTGATACAAGTATGGAATTTTGAGCATGAGATATCGGTAGCCCATATTTAGCAGGTGAGCATTAATATCAGGTGTGCGTCGGCCGTGGATTTTACCCCGACCATATGCACGGTCGGTGAGAGTCCTAACCGCTGTGCCATAGATTCACAATTTTCCTTTCATTCAGTTGCTTAAGTTGCAGTGAAGCATTAATATCGGCCTCTTTTCGTATCTCAGAATGCGTGTTACGAAAAATTGGCCAGTATATGCAGTTACAGATGCTGTATTTACCTCATTTGAATAAGTCACTGCTTTCACGACGTAAATGTTGGTAACATTCCCTAGTTACTATGGTGTTCGCTTCATCAAGCCTGGAACAAGAAGCACATGAAATTACCTCTTTCTATGGTGTGAAAAAAGATCACTGGAACTGTATTTCGGTAAATTCTGGTTAATCTACGCCTCAGTGCATATGGACCCATGTGTACAAATATTTTGTTCGAATACATTACAAGCTGTTTGAAGGTCAAGCCATCTGCTTGAACTTGACCTTTAATTGCGGCATTGCCTTACCTCATGTCGCACGTTGTGTAACTCTTGGAGGTTAGTTTAATTTGAATGCTCTTTATGATTATCTGTTCATAACGTTTTAGTTGTTAATTTCGTCTTTATGCACTTACGACTGTTCAACATGTATTAGAATATTTGTACATACATGACGATAGATATATCTATCATCATCCATATGGTTACCTGTTCCTAGTCTTAATCCTGCTTTGGATGCATCAAGTAACAGTGCTAGCATGGAAATTCTACTAGTGCTGGTTATTTGTGTCCGGATTATTGCTGAAATCACGCTATACAGCACAGACTCTTCAGAAAAGGTTTAAAACAAGATTCGAGCCTTCTATTCTCAGTTAATATGTCATTGCATTCATGCTATCCCACCCCATAACATGTACTGCTTCCTCCTGAATTTGAAAAAGTATTCTTTCAAAAAGCTCAAGAAATTTGTCTGTGGTGTGATAATCCGGTTTCTGGCTTGTTGGCAATCATTGTTGATAGTCGTAGTCGACTAGATGTTAAACCAGCGGTCTTGTAAGTTTTGTGATATAAAGGAATGGAGAACTTCGTCCATCGAAGTTATTTGTGTCATGTCAGTCTAACCTTAAAGGTCATTCGTGACTGTTCTATTTCCATGTCAAATAATTGATTATTTAACTGACGAAAGTTTTTGACTCAATTCAGGGTGTCGTACATATACATTCATCTGACTGTCCTTCACTGCAAACTATTTCGTACCTTATTTAGCAACTCATTATAGTAAATTGACTCAGAATAGAAACTGTCAGCTAAACACTAGCTATCAGTGAATACAAAAAGCCCCTGCCAAAAGAATAATAGACCCTAGACTCACGGAAGCATGGTAAGCCAACAAGGAGGAAATAATTACAGGCAGTAAAGAAAAGTATTATGACTGTTTGTGTTTGTGATGGACGAGATAAAGTTTCCTGAGCTTTGCCACATTTGTACAGAACAACCTTAGTAAATATTTCAGTAATTCTTTTACATAATGGTATATCCGTCCCTTACTTGTTCCGTTCGAGGTCTTGGCGTCTTAAGGGCTTTTTTAAAACCAGATTAGGGTGTTTTTCTTGACAGTAATCCAGAATATACTTGACCTGTCTATCCCCTTTTGGTGTAGTATGTCTTGCAATGACCAATAAGTACTGAGTTATGCTTGTTGAGCATGTATATTTCCGGTACTCTGGCCACTCAGTTAGATTTGATATCAAACATTAGGGATTTAATTAGTTGCTTTGGGAAACATCAAAACCACTTTAGTGTAGTTCGAAACATAGTGATGTATTTACCCATTTTAATTGCCTTGAAGTGTCTCTTATCTTCCATGTAACCTTTCTGAACACTGTGAATTCGTTGGAGGCTCTAGCCTGGTAGTCATACTCTTTTAACAATAGGTGAAATATGTAACAGATAGCCCTTCTTCATCATTCTGAGTAATAATTCATGAGATCCCCTACATGTCCTCTGTAATACTAAGACATGCTCTGATGACGCATAGAATTTTAGCAAAAATGAGAATGCTAAGGTTATTGGCTACTCAAATTTGTTCAATCACAGCCTAAACCTGTTTCAAACCACTTATCTTATTTGTATGGCATATCTTATGTTCTCTGTTGGCGTATCTGCCCGTCTGGATTTCTAATCCAGACCCATCCACTTCATCTTGGGTAGCTGGATAGAATTATTAGCTTGCAAAAGATAATTTTCTACTTAATGTCTCATTATATATTAAAGCAGTTGTGAAAGGTGTTCACTGAAAATCCTAATTTTAGCCATGTACACATAAGAGATTATTTCAACTTATATAATGCAGCATTTATAAGACGGCTCTTACTCCTGGAGAGAATTGTAAAAAGATAGTTTTATGAAAGTTGACTCCGTTGCTGCGTTTATTTTTTTTATTTGAGGTTTGTTGAACCTTTATGCTTGAAAGATAGGTTTGTTACGACATCCAAACTCGATTTTCGCTCCGAAGTAACCCCTTTTTAATATTTACTAAAAACTTGATTTCCATTTGCTTAACCGTAAGCGGGGGTGCAGTACTCACGACTGGCCAATTTTGGAACATGGCTAGTACATTCTTCAAATTTCTAAATGCTATTGACAGCCATATCTTTGTGCCTTATTGATCTAATATCCCGTCTTCCTTCTTCTTTTCTTATTTCAGACGATCAGGTTTTCTCCCCCACTTATTAATTGACTAGCCGACACTGGACTTGGTCTTCGCCTTCTAACAACTGATACGTCGAAAAGAGAAATAACAATAATAATAATAATCAGTCACATTCCAATGACCACTCTATTGTATTATATTTTTTGGTTTTATTTTTGTGCGATCACTTGGTTCTTCTGGAGTTCAATGATATCTGCATGTTTCAAAGTTCAGATTATTCAACATTTATATCTGTACATGTTGGATAAATTGTTCTGTGTATGTTCCGTTTTCCGTTTTTTTATGTAGTGTTAATTGTTTCCATCTAGTATGCTGCCTCTGCTGTCACTTTAGAAGATGATCGCCGAGGTATGATAAAGAATGATAGTGTCGAAAATCTTGATACTTATAGTTAGTTTGTTATTATTATCATTATAATTATTGATTCTAATCACTATTGATTTTAGATGATGAATTAATTGAAAGAGATATTGAATTAACTGAGGGTGGTGTAAAAGTTAAAAGTTCTCTTGCTCCCGATAATAAAGGCTTCAAGTTACACTATCCTATCTATTTGGCAAAATGTGGCATAGAGGTTTGACGGCATTTTTCCTAGTAAATTATTATTTTGATTTTAGGCTATTATAGAAGACTCTGTCACTAAACGCTTCTCAGCTGCTGAACTGAGAGTTTGGAATTTTTTAAGTCGTAATCAAAGTTATGTCTATGTTAAGTAAGTGTACTACTTTTTGTATGTATATATATTTATATTTCATTATATAGAAAGGATAATCATACAACATTAATGTGTTTATGGCTTATTGGTGTGATTGTTCGATATGCAATATTCTTACCATGCAGGTAAACTCTGTAGATATTATTAAATAAGTAATTTCTTTAGACTTTTTGTCTTTTTCTCATCTCTTCTATTCACGTGGTTTGTCGTGCTTTAGCACGTAAACTACCTCCATCTCGGTATGTTTTGTATTTTCTTTTAATAATAATTTATTGCTTAAGATTAAAAAAATGGTTGGCTACAGAAGGGATTCAAGCTGCTGTGAGACTTAATCTATGCTCATTCTCTGCAGTCATTCGTTTTCATAACAGGTTTGTTTAAAATTGTTTTTTTTTATCATTATGTCATTAAATTATCAGTTGTTTTTTGCGTTAGTAAATTAAATAAAGTAGGTGGATGTTAATAGAATTTTGCTAGTGAATGCTTCAAAGCAGCTTATAATCATTTCATATGATTATGGCACAGTGGTAGACTGACTTACTGGTTTCAACTCCCATGTGCAGCAGTTCGAGTCACCAACTCATGTAGCACACAAAGCAGGAATAGAAAGTAAAAAGAAAAGCAAAATAGAGACAGTAAACAGATATATAAGGCAAAAGGAATAGTAATATCGAAGAACAATATAGTCTTATTGGGTATTATAAGTCACAAGGAGTTGATGCATCTGCGCTAGCCATTGAGAACGATTCTGAGCCACTGGTTTTTAACATTCCGAGGATCCCGACAAGTCAGGAAGTCCACACCCGCTTAAGTGACTGCCTTTAACTAACTGTTGTGGATTTCACTGATTGATGAAGCCATGTTTTGGTTTGATCACCACTGGCTCTTTTCCAACCTGAGCCAATCCTATATCAGCTAACATTGTCCGTCGAGGAAGGCAGGCGATGCCTAGGCTTGTGTAACACATGTCCTAACCATCTCAGTCGATGTAATTTCACAGCCTCGTCGATTGATTTCTCCTCCTTACCTAGAACTCGACAGAGGCCTAACCTCAATATTGCTTACCCTACCATACCACTTCACACGCGAGATAGAACACAGGCACCTTTGATGAAACACAGCTAACCAGCCAGGCGTTTCATGTCTCCCACTTACAATGGCCAGGTCTCAAAGCCAGCCACAAACGAGGAGGAAGACTAAGCGAACTGCTGAACAGTACACATGTCCTTTGGTCGACAGCCGGATATCACGTCTACGCCCGAGATGGTGTAAACTGGCATATGCGAAGCCAACCTTCTGTATCCGTGCTGAAGTTTCGTCAGCGATCAACCCAATAAACCCGGGGCACAGTGGTAGAATGCTCGCCAACCACGCATCTAGTCTGGGGTTCGATCTCTGGCCACCGACTCATTCTTTTACCTTGATAAGTTAGTAATAAAACTGGTAAAGAGGAAAGGTTGGGCATGAGGCTAGCAACCTCATCTCGTAAAATATAAACACCATTGCTACCGAAACTTCAAGCCATCGGGAACGTGAAGGAGTATAATAATAATAATAAATAAATGGGCCATGTGTCGTACCTGAAATTTTGTCCACTAAATAGTAATAATAATAACACTAGATTGGGAAATAATACAGAAGATTTGTAGCTCAGGTGGATGATTTCGATTAAACTGTATCCTTTGTACAATTAAATCATTTATAGAGAATTCAAATAAGTTCATTTCATACTAAAATTTGCACCGAAGATGTTGTCTAGGTGGGAAACGGAAGCCTCGCAATTAAAATCAACGAGCTCAAAGAGTACAAGCAAATCAAAAGTACTAAATTGTGTATTTTTTATCATTTTTTTTCATGTACGTTCCCAGTGGAACATGGGGGTGCAAGCTCGAGACTCGAAGTTTCGGTAGCAGTGGTGTTAACTTTTACTGGATGGGGTTGCTAGCTCCATGCCCAACCTTCTTTACCAGTCTCATTACTAACTTACCGAGGTAAAGGAGTGCGTCGGTTGGGGATCGAACCCCGAACCTTATGCGTGGTCTGCGAGCATTCTGCTACTATGCCACCGACGCACCTAAATTGTGTATAAATGCGATAAATCTGGTACAGTTTGCTTAAATAGACGCTCCATCATACGAGTAGATAGTCACCTTTCTTTACAACCAATGTAATTGCATTCAGAAATGCCTAGAATTTGCCTCCAGTCTTTTTCAGATTCTTACAAAAGTTTCGCAGTCTCGTTGAGGAGTACGAATTTCGCAGTATGCATGATAGGTTCCTATTTGTAGCTCTATCAAGCTTTTTAATTACTTGTACACAGTCTCTTTAAAAATGAGTTCTATAAAAATTTGATGAGTCCATAAAATTCTCTTCTTTATCACTTGTTGCTTGTTAGAAATTCCTGTGAAGAAATTAATAAATAAGCACTTTCTTAGTATGTAAGAAATAAGATTCAGGTGTGTTAAGCTCTAATGTCAAGTCAGTGCTTCTATAAGGTTTAGAAACGTTTCGCGTCTCGAAAAGCATTCCCAACTATCTGCAGACTTTCAACAGTTGTCTACACTCGATAGTGATGGCCACTTGGAAAGGATAAGCAACTAGGGAACGCTGGAAGACGATAAACCAACCAAGAGTTTATCCCCCGACAAATATGGCGAAGGAAATAGAAATACCCTTGGATATCGGCTTACGAAACTGTTAAATGAAATCACTCATCAGGTCGTCTCTTTTTACCTTTTTTTAATCCTTTACGTTCCCAGTGAAACATAGGATAGCTTCAAGCTAGAGACTTGAAGTTTCGGTAGCAGAGGTATTTAATTTTACTGGATGGGGTTGCTAGCCTTGTAACGACAGAAGACAAGGGCCAAGCAACAGATTGTTTATTGAGAAGATCAACAGATATTTATAGATTTTTAGCAGAGAAGCAATGACTTCTGATTGGTTGTTTGCTTGCTGAAGGCTATTCTGTACTGCTTGTGACCGTTGCTTACAAAGTTTTCCATATATCTGCGAGTTGTATTCGCCCACGCTAAGTCTACTGTAATTGGTTGTTGAGTTCCTCAAGGTTAGGCTTTGTCCTTGTTTTTTCTCATGACCCTGATCCGGGACATAAACATTGACGTAAATTGTTGTCTACAATTTTGGCTTATTTGCAGACTGCTCTCACCACAGCCTCATGCCCAACCTTCCCTCTTTACTAGTCTTATCGAGGTAAGGGAGTGAGCCGATGGCTGGAGATCGAACCTTGGACCATATGAGGCGTGGTTGGCGAGCATTCTACCGCTGTACCACCAACGCTTATCAAGTCGTCTAGTAGAACCGTAATGAGAAACGACTAGTTTGATGTGGGCCTGAGGTTGACATGGGGGATATCGTGTGTGTGTGGAGGAAACGAAAGCTTATGGACAATCGTAGAGCCAGCTGGAGAGGATTGCATAGAACACAGTGAAATGTAGATGTGTGTTGCTGAAACCCAAGGGAATAATGATAAATCAATAAATCTATTAAGCAGTTTAACTTGCCATAGAAACGAGTGCATCCTGAGTTGTGAAATTTTTTTCTTTCAAGCTGTTTCTGTTAAAGCGCTATTTTAAATTCCAATCTAAAGCTTGATAGTTGTACAAAAAGAGCACCAAACCATTTATAAACGTAAATGTTTTGTCTTTTCTCTCTTGATAAATCACTGAGGCCCCTAATATACATTTTGTGCGTAACTTTGTGAATGAATAGCACAGTTTTTCTTTTTTTTTGGTGAAAATTAATCATGTTTTTTCGTTTTCTCTGTGTTTTACAACTTAAAAAAATATGTATTTGTATGTATTTAGAGAAAATCGTCCTCGAGAAAACACAATTTGTGTAGCCAATCATACGACGCCTTTCGATTGGTGTGTTCTATCATCTGATGTCACTTATGCTGTGGTAAGTAAGTTTGTGTGCTTTACAAGTTCATATATATTATAACTTTTTCAGTAAAATAACGTTTTATTCAAGTACAGCTTATTCTCTTGGGTAGAGATACTTAGCTTTAAGCCTGTAAGTCTCAGGTTCGAATCCCACCCTATCTACCCCAGGTTGAACAGCTGGATAGTATCATCAATCCTCATACATCATGTGTGGCTCATTATCTGGTACATGTTTGTGTTCTATTTCCTGTGTTAAATGGCATAATGTATGGTGACCATACCACGTTGAAAGCACCGGTTCTCTTCCGATCACCGAAGTTAAGCAACGTTGGGCCCGGTTAGTACTTGCATGGGTGACCGGCTGGGAATACCTGGTGTTGCCGACTTTGCGTTGGTGGCACAGTGGTTAGGACTCTCGCCGACTATGCACATGGTCCGAGTTTCGATCCCCTGCCGACGCATACCTGATATCTATGGTCGGCCCGCAAAATTTGGGTTACCGATATCCATGCTAAAAATTCCATACTTGTAACATACAGTGTGGAATCAAGCTGTAATCAAAAATCAAATCTAATACTGAAGTTAGGCTAAAGTGCTACGTCAGGAGGGTAAGTCAATCGATTGAGTTTTGAAGCTACTTCGATTAAGAAAGCTTAGGATACGTGTTGCGTATGATAAACCACCGCCTTCTTTGACGAGCAATGTTAGCTGACAAAGGATTTAGTTTGGAAAGAGTCAGGAATGATCGAACCGAAACCTGACATCCATCCATGAAGTCCTTGATAGTTGGTTTGAACTAGCCATGTAGGGAGGTGTCGATTGCGTGGTTCTTCTCCGAATGCTAATAACTAATGACCGGAGACTATTGATAGTATAATGACAGGGAACAAAGGCTAGGCCATAGATTGTTTATTGAGAAAATCAATAGATATTTATAGATTTTTATGTACATTATCGTCTGTTATTGCTTTTGAGACCGTTTCTCAGAAAGTTAAGCCATATATCTGAGAATCGTATTTGCACACGTTAAGTCCGCTGTCATTGGTTGGTGGTTCTCTTAAGGTTAAGCTTTGTTATTGTTTTTTCTCATGACCCCGATTTGGGAAGTAAACATTAACATTAAATTGTTGTCCACAATTTTGGCTTGTTCTCAGGCAGCTCTCACCACAACAGTATGCATTCGGAGATGAATTCATTCTCTGTCATTTAACGCAATCCATTAAATCTTCAGGTTTTTCTAATTTACTGTTCTTTTAACTTCACATTTCTGCTCATCATAGATAGTTCTTCTGAATCTCTGTTTTGTCTGCCATTGTGTGATACATGAGATGTGATAACCTGAACTGGTGAATCTCTCTGCTAAGTTCTATGCTGAAATTCTCTGAGTCAGCCAGTCAATTTGATTTTCTTGACCTTTCATTGTGTTAAAGTCAGATCTCTTAGCAGATAAACATTAAACTGCTTGTGTATGTAATCAAGTGTTGGTTTGTAGGGATTTTATTGATTGGTTACAGGATTTCATCATGAGCTGACATTGGTTAGAGAACCATTGGAAAACCAGCTGGGAGTACTGGACAGCTGTTTCGTCCTAGTTTGGGACTGTTCTTCAGTACGCACCCACCCTACTGAGGTTCAAACCCAGGACCTTCTTGTTTGCAAGGCTAGCACGCTCGTAGACCATTAAGCCACTGGTACCCGATGCAATGGCCAGTGCACGAATTCTAACTTCTGCCAATTCATGGCATAGCGCGACTGGCACTAGCCAGTGTCATCGCTGGCGAGTATTTCTCCACACCCGACCTGCTGCACTCTACTGGTCACGACTTCTGACTAGAACCCCAAGTCGCCAGTGAGCATCCCATCGATATTCACAAGGTAGACGACTAGACTACTGTGTAACAACATCGAGAATAAGTTTAAGTCTAGCGATTCTTATTATAGTTGCCCAATATTGAAATATAGCCTGCGTAGAATGTTCAGCCTAGTGGTCGCCAACCATACGCGTAGTCCGTGTTCGGCTCCCGGCCGATGTACTCGTAAAGACGCAGCGATTACTAGTTGGACTGACTCAATAAACAATAAGTCAAGAAGTGCATATATTGAAATTATAGTTTATATCTTTGTTTTAAAATATTTTCACTTGTTTATCGAAAATTTTGATATTTTTGACGATGTAAACTCTAAACAGCCATTTGTTTTTGTACACTACAGGTAACTTAGTTTACCCTCTAAGCAAATGAATATTTTCGATGTAGTGGTGGTGTTGCTACTGTGTTATTTTTCTCAAATATTTTTGTTATGCATGTATCCTCCCCCCCTTCGTCATAACTTGTTTATATTTTTCATTGAATTAAATTTCAATAACACGTTTATTTTTTTCTCATTTGTTAATCTTCACTAATTAAAAGTGTCTGAGAACGGCAGCGAAGTGAATTGCCAAGTAGTCTGGCGTAGGATGTTATTCTCTATGAGTCACTGAACATTCCATATTGTGGTGTTCATTATTTATAAGTCAGACTTTACCAGGAAGAGAGGCGGGGGAGGGTGGGCGAGTCTTCAGTATATCTCTTAGACTACATCCGATGTTGTGCATCGTTGGTTTCAATGGTGAAATGCATTCCTACTGGCGTCCAACAGTCATTATATTTCTTGACCTAAAGGCAGCAATCGACTCTGTCGATCGGGAAGTTCTCTGGAGATGCTTGGCTGTAAAGGGAATGCCGAGAAAATATATTGCACTGATTAAGGCACTCTACTCGAACTCATACAGCCAGGTGAGGGCTTACGGCCAGTTGTCATCTGAAGTGGTGACGACTAGTGGTGTCCGTCAAGGATGCCCATTATCCCCTTTTCTATTCAACTTCATCATAGATGTGTTAATTGACTTAACCCTAAGTGACTTCAGAGACTCAGGGATTGACTTGCTACCGGGGAATAATCTCGTTGACTTAGAATATGCAGACGATATAGTCCTTTTAGGCGAGGACGCTGACGAAATCCAGCAGAGTCTTCTGAACACCTTGAGCCGCAATCTACGAATGTTTAGCATGCTATTCGCTCCCACCAAATGTAAGATGATGCTACAGGATTGACTGGACTACATTAACTCCTAGTTTAGAAATAGGGAGTGAAGTGGCAGAGCACGTTGACCGCTTCACTTATTTGGGAAGTACCATCAGCCCCAACGGGCTGATCTCTGACGAAATCTCAGTACAGATACAGATGGCTATTTTCGCATATGCCGGTTCATGCCGTCTCTGGCGTAGACATGATATCCGGCTGGCTATCGACCAAAGGATGGGTGTACTGTTCATCAGTCCGCTCCGTCCTCCTTTATAGCTGTGAACAAGACGTGATCATTGAGAGTGGAAGACATGAAAAGATTAGCTGTCTTTGATCATAAGTGCCTGGGCTCTATGTCACGTGTGAAGTTGTACAATAAGGTGAGCAATATTGAAGTTAGGCGTCGAGTGCTAGGTAGGTGGAAGGGGAAATCAATCGACGAGGCTGTGAAATTACATAGACTGAGATAGTTAGGACATGTGTTACATATGCCTAGCGATCACCTTCTTCGACAAAAGGCAACCTTAGCCGACATACGGTCAGGGTGATATTGTTCAAAATCGTTCTCAATAGCTGGTGCAGATGCGTCCACTCCCTGTGAATTATGATTTCCCAATGAAACTATATTGTTCTTCGTTATTACTATACCTTTGTCTAATACGTTTGTTTACTGTCTCTAATATGCATTTCTTCTACCTTCTTCTCTTGCTTTGTGTGCTACATGGAGTGTGGCGACTCGACCTGTCTGTTTTCGACATAGAACTTTGCACAAATGTGCGGAAGTTCAAGTCGCCACATTCCGTGTAGCACGCGAAGCAAGAGAAGAAAGTACAAGAAAAGCATAATAGAAACAGTGAGCAGAGGTGTGAGACAAAGGAGTAATAAAGAAATACAAAACAGTTTCATTGAAGATCATAAGTCACAGGGAGTGGATGCATCTGCGCCACTGAGAACGATTTTGAGCCATGTCACCAATTGTTTCCAACCATAGATTTTTACCGTCCCGAGGACCCCAGCCTGGAAGTCTACACCTTCCTACGTGGCTTAGACCAACTGTTGTGGATTTCATTGACTGATGCCAAGTTTTTGTTTGACCGCCGCTAGCTTTTTTCCAGCCTGACCCTATATCCGCTAACATTGCTCGTCGAGGGAGGCGATGGCTTGGCATACGTAACACATGTCCTAACCATCTCAGTCTTTGTAGCTTCACGACTTCGTCGATTGATTTCCCCTGTTTACCTAGAACTCTACGCCTAACCTCCATGTTGCTCACCTTATTATGCCACTTTACACGGGAAATAGAACGCAGGCACCTATGATCAAAGACAGCTAGTCTTTTCATGTCTTCCACTCTCAGTGGCCAGGTCTCACAACCATAAAGGAGGACGGAGCGGACTGATGAGCAGTACACCCGCCCTTTGGTCGATAGTCGAACATCTCGTCTACGCCAGAGTCGGCGTAAACTAACAAATGCGAAACGAGCCCCTTGTATTCGTGCTGAGATTTCGTCAGAGATCAGCCCGTTGGGGCTGATGGTACTTCCCAAATAAGTGAAGCGGTCAACGTGCTCTACCACTTCACTTCCTATTTTTAAACTAGGCGTCGATGTAGTCCAGTCCTGTAACATCATCTTGCATTTGGCGGGAGCGAATCGCATGCCAAACATTCGTAGATTGCGGCTCAAGGTGTTTAGAAGACTCTGCATTTCGTCAGCGTCTTCGCCTAGAAGGACTATATCGTCTGCATATTCCAAGTCAACGAGATTATTCCCCGGTAGCAAGTCAATCCCTGAGTCGCTGAAGTCACCTAGGGTTAAGTCCATTAACACATCTATGATGAAGTTGAATAGAAAAGGAGATAATGGGCATCCTTGACGGACACCACTGGTCGTCATCAGTTCAGATGACAGCTCGCCGTAAGCCCTCACCTGGCTGTATGAGTACGAGTAGAGTG